AAAGAGGCTGGTGCCGTCAATTGCTTTCCCCGCCCTTTCACTGTTTTCGCTTCTTCGAGTCCCCCTGGATCGATTGGCAGACATGGCAGCCCATGTACTTGAATCCAAGGTCTCTATTGACCGTGTTGATCAGTTTTTAAGTGAGGAAGAGACAGAAAAGTATTGTCAACTGCGCCGTACATGCCACAGCGAGCCGTCGAAGATCGCTCTCGAGAATGCAACTCTCTCGTGGGGCTCTAGAAATAGTGCGAAGGTGGCGGATGGCAATGGTGCGACTCCGGATGCATTCCGTCTCATCAACGTCAACGTATCGTTCCAGGTCGGGAAGTTCAACGTTATTTCCGGACCGACTGGTTCTGGCAAGACATCTATGTTGATGGCACTCTTGGGTGAAATGAGACTCGTGGAAGGGGCAGTCTATCTTCCCGGTGGAACCAGTGACCGAGTAGATCTACCCGTCGATCCAGTTACAGGTCTTACCGAAAGTGTGGCGTACTGTGCTCAAGAAGCCTGGCTTGTTAATGCCACCATTCAGGATAACATTTTATTTGCCCTGCCTTACGATGACGGCCGATATAACGCTGTGATCAAGGCTTGCGGGCTGGAAAGGGACTTGGAGATCCTTGACGCTGGTGATCAGACTTTGGTTGGCGAGAAGGGCATCAGCCTCTCGGGAGGACAGAAGCAGCGAATCTCTTTAGCCCGAGCCATGTACAGCAATGCTCGACATCTTCTTCTTGACGACTGCCTAAGCGCCGTGGATTCACACACTGCCAAGCATATTTTTCAACAGGCCCTGATGGGGCCATTAATGATGGGTCGTACCTGTATCCTAGTCACGCATAATGTGTCATTGGTGTTGTCACGGTGTGACTATCTGGTTGTCCTTGATAACGGGCGGGTTATGTCTCAAGGCTCTCCACAAGACGTTGTCTCGTCCGGTGCTCTTGGCAAAGAATTTCTTCAGTCCCGACCTCCATCTCGAAGTCAGTCCCAAGCAGTCTCCGAGGCACAGTCTCGTGCGGAAGAAGCGAGCATTGAGGAACAAGAAAATACGCGCGAAACCAACAATAAGCCAAGCGATGAGAATGGAACCAATGGAGCGGCAAAGAGACCAAAGAAGTCTGGGGTTATCACGGAAGAAGAGAAAATCACAGGCAGTGTCCCGCTCTCAACTATCTTCATGTACCTGCGAGCTATGGGTCCGTGGTATTTCTGGGCCATCGCAATAACTGCCTTTTTTTGCCAGCAGTTTGGCTCTCTCGCTCCCAATATATGGATTAGGAACTGGGCGAACGCATACAAATCTACTACCGATGAGAATGAAAACCGGGGTTTCACGAACCTTCATGTCACCACGCTCAGTAACGCCAACATTCCACGGCCCTACTGGTGGCCATCATCAATGGTGAAATCCACTAGTGAGGTCTCATTCGGCGTGAACGTCGATGTTGTGTACTATCTTACCGTCTACGCCCTCCTAGCGGTCATCTACATCATTGTCTCCCTCTTCCGAGAATTAGTACTCTTCTGGGGTTCTCTACATGCATCCTGGAAAATACATGGATGGCTACTACGCGCGGTCGCGCACGCAAAGTTCAGATTTTTTGATTCGACGCCTCTGGGTCGCATTATGAACCGCTTCTCCAAGGACATTGAAGCGATTGACCAAGAGGTTGCTCCTACTGCAATTGGCATGATCCATTGCATGGCCTCTGTCTTGATGATTGTTGTGTTGATATCTGTTATTACACCTGGCTTCCTGATTGCCGGAGTGTTCATCACATTACTGTACTGCGCGCTTGGGTCTCTTTATCTTTTCTCTTCCCGTGATCTAAAGCGGTTAGAATCCATACAACGCAGCCCTCTATACCAACAATTTGGGGAGACTCTGAACGGCGTAGTTACGATCCGAGCGTATGGTGACGGCGCCCGATTTATTTTGGATAATCACCGCCTCATCAACAAATATAACCGACCGTATCTTTATCTATGGGCAAGCAATCGATGGTTATCTTTCCGGGTTGAACTTATAGGAGCCATAGTATCGTTTTTCTCCGCTGTGTTTATCTTACTTAATGTTGGTCGCATAGATGCCGGAGCTGCAGGTTTGTCGTTGACATATGCCATCACCTTTACCGAAAATATCCTGTGGCTGGTTCGGCTGTATGCGGAAAATCAGCAAAATATGAACTCTGTTGAACGGGTGGAAGAATATCTCAGGGTTGAACAGGAGGCACGAGCTATTGTCCCAGATAATAGGCCTCCACGTAACTGGCCGAGCAAGGGAGCAGTGAAATTCGTTGAATATTCGACTCGCTATCGGCCCGATCTCGATCTCGTTTTGAAGCGTGTCAGTTTCTCTGTGCAGCCTGGCGAAAGAGTGGGTATTGTCGGAAGAACTGGTGCTGGAAAAAGCTCCTTGGCTCTTGCGCTCTTCCGTGGCCTTGAGGCAGAGAATGGTAAGATCATTATCGACGACGTTGACATTGGCTTGATCGGCCTACAGGACCTTCGAGAGGCCATCACGATCGTTCCTCAGGATCCAACTCTTTTCACTGGTACAATACGCAGCAACCTCGATCCGTTCGGAGTCTTCACAGATGAGGAGATCTTTACGGCCCTTCGACGAGTTCATCTCATCGGTGCCGCCAGCTCTGCCCAGCAATCTGATGTGGAATCTCTGGTTCAGGCTACTCGGAGCTCCATCACGTTATTGGAAAGTGAGCTCATGGATTCGGACACGGATATTTCATCCAATGCCCGCTTCCGCGACAATAAAAACCTCTTCCTAAATCTCTCATCTCCAGTCACGGAATCTGGCTCCAACCTTTCCCAAGGTCAACGACAACTCCTATGCCTTGCGAGAGCCCTCCTCAAATCTCCCAAGGTTCTCATGATGGATGAAGCGACAGCATCCATTGACTACGCAACCGATACCAAAATCCAGGACACGCTCCGAGAATTGAAGGACAATACGATCATCACCATTGCGCATCGACTGCAAACAATTATCGATTATGATAAGGTTCTGGTCCTGGACCATGGCGAGGTGATTGAGTTCGATGGGCCATGGCAACTGATCAACAAAGAGGGCGGTGTGTTCAGGAGTATGTGCGAAAATAGCGGGAACATGGAATCACTGATTGAAGGCGCAAAAAAGGCTTGGGAGCAGAAGAGACTAGTTGACGACTCGTGAAGATCTGTTTGTTGACCATTGTGCCTCTTTGGCGTCTGTTTCTTTCTTTCTTTGCTTCGGAAAAACGCCCTGGGAGTTGCTCTGGTTGAATGGGTTGAAATTTATTTTTTTTTCCCCCCCACCACATCGCGCATGCATTTTGAATACTTCATAGCCAGGTTTAAAGATAGCAATCAAACAAATCCTGATTCATTGATTGCGCGTTACCTTCTTCATACTGGGCCATTTCCGGATGTGATAGTGCCCCGAAAGGCATAAGCGACTCCATGCGGTTCCCTTTGCAATTCCTAGGTTGAATTTTGAACAAAGCCAAAGTTCCCCCTTCATCTTGCCTTCGGTCACCAAGCCACCGGCATCGCTTTTCCGACGGTAACAAATTGGCGGTCCAGCTCGCCTTGACAGAGAGCCATCAACTCAATCTCCAAAAGTCCAAACTCAACAGAGACCGAGGGTTGACGTAGACAGCAGCCCGTCCTCGAAAGTCTCTCCCGTCGTCTTGCGGGTGTGGTGGAACTCCTGGGTGGCGATTGCAAAGTCCAGAGCGTCGCGAAAAATTCAACTCGCGAGCCCATTCATGGAATAGGAATTTCCACGACACTGGTTTGGCCCGAATGCTAATGCTAAAGAATTATGATTTCCTCCGTCCAAAGTGTAGGAGTTATTAGAGTTCGACGGGCTCTTCCCATTAGCCAGTCACTTCGGGGAGAGGGGCTCGCGATGCTTATACAATTGTACTGTGCGCCGTCAGAGTTCGCCATGGGATGTCTAAATTCTGTGGGCGGAAACGGGAAGGGCGCTCTGAAAGAGTGGCGAGCGGCGATGAGTTAACTCACTCCCAAGTTTGGTGGTTGGCCGTCCTCTTATGCAGACTCCAGAATGCAACCTGCTGCGAGGCTCGACAGCCTAAAAAGCAAGTGATGATGATGATATTGACAAATAATGATGATGATGATGATGATGCCTTCTCGCACATGGAGGAGTGGGCCTCGGGCCGGTGCACTGACAATTCACTATTGAGATTTGCTGGGTCAGAGTTGGTGCTTGTGGAGTTGAGACGCAAGCGATCGTGAACTCTGTTTGGGTCGCCTGGTGAGACGCACCTTTTTTTTAAGCGATGGAGTGGTGGACGGCCAAGGAAGCACACAGACAGCGACTAACTAGTATGTAGTGAGCGAAGTGACGGAAGACAATTTGGCCGCAAGGCTAATGTCAGCTCCCTGCTTTTCCCAAATGAGGTTAACAAGGGGCGCTGCGAGGGCTTCCCGTGGAGAACCGAAATTTGGAATGCTTTCCTCCACACAGAGGAGGTTCCATCGTTGAGGTTCATATCGACTACCTGACGAAGTCTCCGTTCACCATGGCATCTTGCAGTGCCAGCCCTTGGCCTAGACCCAGGCCAAACGGTTCCAAATTTCCTGCGCGTTCTTCAGCTTCAACAGCTCCGACTCCGCATGCCGAGTATCCTGTCTGTGGGCCTCCACCCATGGATCGCCCAATGGTGGACCGCAGCCTTGGATAAGGTTGATAGCGTCCATGGCATTGAGTGGGCTTGTCCTTGACCGTTTTAGATCTGTCCAAGGTCGTTTTATTGGCCGAGCTGCCATGCTTTCTATGCCACTCCGCCACGAGTTTCAGCGCTGGCGTTGCTCTGCATGGGTGCTATATTTTATTATTCTTCCATCCGACTGTTTTGCTCGGCCTTCAACTATTTCGCAAATGCTGTCAGTTAAATCTCCTCCTCGCCCGCGCCCTCTTCCTCTGTCGGCACAGCTTTAACTTGGGCCGATATGTACTCCCAATCATGCGGCACCCTCCACCAGAAGTTATTGCCTCCTGGCCCACTCCGAACTATGTGAATCCGGAGTTTCAAGGCCCTCAGCTGGCCGTGGTTGGAATCACATTGCTCGTGATATCCTTCATTGTTGTTTTTCTCCGTATGTACGTGAGAATCTGGATAAGACGCTCGGCAGGTTGGGATGACTGGCTGATGCTTCTTGTGCTGGTAATATTTATTTTTCCAGTCTTACCGCCCCTTTACCGCCATTTTGCGATTTCAATGTGGAGAGAAATTATTGTGTTTGCTGACTCAAATAGCCCATCCTGCTTTCGACGTCCGTGATCAGTATTATTGCTACACGCTATGGATGGGGTAGGTCCTCTCAAATGCTTATCTCGTCGATGCGGCACTCGCTACCTTGCAAAGATATGCTCACACTAGAACCCAGGAATCCACATCTGGGACAATAAGAAGGAATGGTTCAGACCATCTCGGATTGTGAGTTCGTTCGCATTCCCGACTATCTGCTTGTATATGATATTGCTGGGCAAGTCAACTCATCGAATCTGCTATTGAACTAGTCGAGCTGGAGCTCGGAGGTTCTATACGTTCTTCTGATCACTCTTCTCAAAATCTCGATCCTCTTATCCTACCTCCGATTCTTGACGACAAGGACCTCTAGGTTTATCACATGGGCGATGGTCGGCGTCATGGTAGCCTGGTTTATAGGTAACTTCTGACCCATCTAGCTGCTTTTCGGAATGTTTCCAATTAACATATAGCGGCTAGCATATGAGGTCATTATGTTGCTCAACTGCATGTAAGTGCTCCCTCACCATGAGCCATTCCATAGTTTCTATTTGCTGACATTATGCTTCCGTAGCCCCCTTCAGGATTACTGGGACAATCCGACCCCAGATGCAAAATGCATAGATGAGTTTGGAAAACTTTTCTCTTCAGCGATTACAAATTTTGTTACGGATTTTGTCGTTCTTCTTCTGCCAATCCCGACCTTATGGACGCTGCGTCTTCCCATACGAGACAAAATCGTTTTGGTCGCTTTAATGAGTCTGGGATTTACGTATGCAGTCCCTCAATTTCACCTTGGGATGATTGCTCCGTTAATAGGGAAATTCCTTGATACTGACATCCTGATTCTATATAGCGCTTGCGCCGCTGCCGCCATAAAAGTATATTATTCTTATAAAGCAGTTCTGCTAACATATGATGTAACGTGTAAGTGCCGCTCAAACCGTTGACTGGCATTCTTATCGCATAACTGATGGATCTGCGCGACTCACTAGGGGAGGGCTATGGTGTCTGGTTATGGAGTGATGTCGAAATAAACCTCGCCGTGATCTCCCCGTCAGTCCCGATTCTTCGACCTCTAGCGCAGAGATATTTCCCTCGACTTGGATTCCGATCGATGCCGCAATCGTCGGATAGGACGCCCAACCGATCAAGTTTCAAGGCACCCCGGGCTATATACAGACAGGACACCATCCAACAGATCATCGATGACTCACCGGACCATACCAGCTCTACGGAGGCCTTTCAAATGTCGCCATCCCCGATATCAGTGATACAGCCTAAACAAGGCCGTCGGCCTTCGAATGACTGGTCAGAGTGTTAAGAGCAGCACACCGCCTACGGTCTCAAAAAGTTACAGCTCCATGTATTTTATTACACATCGCCGGTCACCGGCGTACATACATACGCGTGTTCAGCACATATATATTATAATAACCACGGGATTGGCTAATTTACACTTCCCGGCCCCTAAGGCTAAGTGCGCCGTCCTAACCATCTCCAAGTCTCCCCAAAAGGCCCAGTTGTCTTGCGTTCATGCATGTGTATCTCAATTCTGTAAAAATTGATGGGGTTTTAAGTGAAACTGAGCCATGTGACATGAAGCACTCCTGTTCACAGGCAAGCCGGCCCCAAACCGCAAAAGTTCAAACTCCAGCGCGGGAACCCCCAGCTGTTCTCAAGCTGTGATCGTGAAACAAAAGCTTTCGCCGGGCTGTCCCTGCTCAGGACTGCCAGACCCAGCCACTAGTCCCAATCTTGTTTAGCCCGGGATATAGTTACTGCGGAATATTGATAATCCGGATAGAGTTCAGTTCGGTGGGGCCTGCCAATTTAGGAAGGAGAATAACTTAAAGTTTGGCGCTTGGAAGAGGCAGGCGGCTCTGGGCTGGCCTCTTCTTGGCAACTCCAAGCCAAGCCAGGGGAGATTTCGGTCGGTGCTTTTGCTCTGGACGGGGAGGGTGAATACTTCACTTGGCGTTGGCAGATTCGTCTCACCACCAGACTTCCTCGACAGAAGAGGATCAAAGCTAAGCTCGTCTGAAATAGCCCTCCTGGTGCTAAATGCTCTCTCTGAGTCCCTGCCTCGCCGTGCAGGGACGATGACCAAAAAGGCCCGCAGGGGAGTCTTTCCATCTTTTGAACGCGGCTCCTCCGTATAGGGCTTAGTTAACTACTCCTGGATTAATCACACAGCAAGCCCGGAGACAGTCCAGACCACCGCTGTCGTCAGGCCACTTCTCCAGAATGTCACTGTGCACGGGGCAGATAAAGGATGTCACCCTGACGTCCCCAATCCTCTGGCAAAACTTCACCCAAGCTGCAAATTCACATCTCCTCCATGGGTTCTCTTTCACCAACTACATGAAGCTGATGGGGTTTATTCGCACCGAGGGGGCGACGGAAAGTAGCACTTATCTCCTATGAGAAGACGAGGATGGCGATTCAACTCCTCTCGCCTGTCTAGAACCCCCCCCCTCTCCCCAAAGTCTGTTGCCTTTTGTATCCTGGGACATCCTGGTCAGAAGTGTGTGTCCATGTTTTTTATGCGTCTACAGAGTAAACAGAAACTTAATCAGAAACAGCTTCATAGGCACTTCATTAATTACCGCAAATTTAATGTCTTCTTGACTATTTGATTGGGTAAGCAGCGCCGGTATGGAGTACAGAGTACATAATTCGGGATTCAAAGATAAATCAAGGACAAGGCTCCTCAGTTCACATGGAGTTAATCCGTTGCCAGCATCAGTCAATGAATTCAACAATTTTTCTAAACGTGTCATCACCACATGCCCATTTTCGAGCAAGAAAGATGTCGCATGTCCAATGGTCAAACGGCTTTGAATGCATCTTCTGGTATCTGTGGTGCTCTCTTGGTCCGCATTTGCTTAAATAAAAAGTTCTCCGTGATACGCACGGAGAATAATGGCAATGCAAGGTTACAGCCCACCCAAAGCTGCTATCTTTCTGATCAAATAGCAAAACAAGCAACCAAATATGCTCAGCCTTTTCAAGCGGATCATATTGCAGGAGAATGATATAACTGCAATACAACCGGCGTGAAAACAATCCTTCCCGGCAATGGCTAAATTAAAGGTCCAGGAGGCTAGGCTCTTCTTTCATCGACCCGCCATTCACTTGAGTAGGGGCAGCAGAGTAGAACTGGACGACACGGAACCGCGACGTGCCGCCGGTATCCGCAACGCGCTCCATCAGAGGGTTTCCTGTCGTGGATACATCGGTGGTTACCTCTCCGAACAATGACGCGTATGCTTGCTCATCCGCAAGCCTCAATTTCTCATTCACAGCTAATCGGCTCGTCTGGAGTGCTAGCTGCGCATCAGCTTCCTTTGCACCCCCATTGGCAAAATCTCGATAGTGCTGGACAGAAGCCATCTGTTCGGCGCTCGTAAGTGGAGCTGCATTTTTCGGATACTGCGGCACCCGTGGCTGAATGGCTGATCTGTGTGCGATACCACAATCGCACTCACAGGGGCGGAAGCACTTCCATTTGCATTCGTGACCGCAAGGAAGAAGCTTTAGGCACGGCCGCTCACACTTGACAGCTTTGTGAGGGAAGCTGTAGAGGCGATGTTAGCTTGAGTATATCGGACGTTTTAGGGTTATTTTGAGGCCCTTACGCGTGACAACGAAGAGGACATTTATGCCCGCAATCCAAGGAAGCCCCGCAAGGGGACAAACAGCCTCCGTCTAGCTTCTTCCACGTGTCTGGGTCTTTTCTAAGAAGTTAGAGAGCTTCGAGGCGAGGTATTCGAGAATAAAAGGGTGACGGGAAGAGCAGGAACAAGAAAGGCGGCTTACCTCTCACAAGAGTTTTCTTGTCGTGGCCAGCACAAGTTACGGGAATGTAGTACCCTAACCGCTTTGGTTCCTTGCGCATGATCTGAACAATCTCCCACCAAAGACCATTATGGATTGAGAGGGCCTCTGCATTCCCGAAAATATAGAAGCCGCGTTTGGCTCGTGACAAGGCAACGCACACTCGGTTCTCGATGGAGAGGAACCCGATGTTGCGCCCGCCGCTACGCACAAGTGAAAGTAGAACAATCTCATTTTCTTCCCCTTGGTAAGAATCAACGGTAACCACCTTGGAATATTGTCCTTGCAGCAGTGGAACCTCCTTTAGAGCTTTGAGGATTTTCTTCCGCTGGCCGTTATAGAATGTCAAAACAGTGATGTCCTCAGCAGGTATTCCGTTCATATAGAGGTATAGGTAAAAGCCTACCACCATTTTGGCTTCGCTTTCGTTATATTTGGACAGAAGGCTGTCCGACGACTCGGGCCATGAATGGCAGAAGAAATACGAGCTCACGTTGCCCATCCCGGGAACACCAGGTCGATTGAGAACATCCTCATGGTCTTCCAGATTATCATAAATTGGTGTGAGAATCCTGCGGATTTCGGGGGCCATTCGTCTTTGTTTGGCTAAGCATTTGAATTCCACGCCGTTATGAACAAGTCTTTCAAACATCGAAATGTTAAGGTAAAATGGGTCACCTTCCAACTCCTTGAGGGCGCATTGACCTTGTAGCTGTTTATGATCGCCGACGAGAATGAGATGCTCTAGGCTTTCCACACATGCCGCTGCAACTGGTGCCTCTATAACCTCTGCTGCTTCTTCGACCAAAATAATTCTGGGCTTGAGACTTGAAACGAGTGCCCTGTATTTGCTCAGACCGGTAGTTGTCATGCCTATCACCCTCGCATCTCGTAAGATGATGAGATCTCGTTCCCATTTGCCGATCTTCAGGTTGGAAGCTGTGGTTTTATATTCTTTCATGAGGGACCGCAGTTTCTCGCTGATAATCTCCTTGGCACGTTTCTGAAGAATCGAATAGACATTGCCGCGGGCACGCGCTGGGATCTTCCACATATCGTCGTATTTTAAGTATTGATTGCTCACCGTTTTTCCGGCGAGCATGAGGTTCGTGCGACCAGTAAATCCTTCCTTTAAAGCTATGTAGTGGCCTCTGAGATTCTCATAATCGTCGTCGTCAAGTCCTTGCTCGGCTTCAAGCTCTTTCAACTGTTCATATTCGAGATCGATCTCGTCTTCGACAAATCCGAAGTTTTCCATCTTATAGGTCGGATCGTACTTGATCATCTGCTCCCCGAGCCACGCAGAAACGGGGTCTATCTCATCACCAGAGTGAATCCAGCCCTCAGCACCTCTAAGCAGGGAATCGTGTTGGGATTGGGTGATAAGCTCTAACTTGAGAAAGAGCGCGGCTTGAAGTGGCATGCCCGACCTCTCCAACGTAAAAGGCTGAATTAATTCTGCAACCTTGTCCGATAGAAGCCTATATTGCTTTCTTGCCGGGCCTAATGCTCCGCCAGGAATGAAAGGAATGTTATATTTCTTCCTCAGCTCATACACGGTTCGTTTCCGAATCTCGAGGTCCATGCTTCTTCCGCCGACTCGGACATAATTCCGTTCAAAGGTTGAGACGTGACGGAGGAGTTGATCAAGAGCATGATTTGTCTGTGCGGCAATGATGATTGGTGGGTCGTTTGGGCCTATATTTGAAAGCAGCGTTCTGATAGCGACGACGGAAACGTGAGTCTTGCCAGTTCCCGGAGGCCCTTGCACAACCGACAACCTCTTGGTTAAAATATGCTGCAATGCTCCCCATTGCGATGTGTCCAAGCCTTTGGGAGGATTTGGCCACTCTCGTAGCATGTTTATATGTGATACCCCATTTGAAAGAGGGAAAAGCGGTGACGCATCAATTACAGGGTTACGTTTGACGTATTCCGGTGGCTCCACATCGTGCTTGAGGTCACAAATATACTCATGAAGCGGAAAGCTACCCTTTATTAGAAGCTGAAAAAAGCGCGAGAATAGAAGAACCTGGACATACCTTTCCTTGCTCATCTTCTGAAGGGCTAGAAGTGTATGCCTCAATGCCTCATAATATCCGTTGCGAGACTCAACCATGAGCCATTCTTGCTGATAATCAAACGCTGCATGGTCTGGGTTGGCGAAGAAAAGGTCAATTTGGCATGGGTGTGACTTGAGACCTTCCAAAGGCCTTGCTGCAACTACTGCAACAACACATCGACTTTTAAAGTTGTCGTAGGCAGGAGTCAATGCAACAATTTTACCGGTTGTCAATCTTTGAGAATATTCCCAGACGATATTCTTGCCTGCTCGAGCAATTGAAAATTGAACCCTGATAGCAATGCCTGACTGGGCGCATGTTATTCCGACGATTCGCACCTACAAAAATAAACTTTTAACTCCTGTTTAGTCATTAGGAACGTGGAAGAGCTTTACCTTTTCGTAAATGCAAATGTCCAAAGTATCCTGCATACGAGGGTCCTGGCGGACATAAGCGACTGCATCGCGAAGAGGAGCAACTGCGTCCTCACGCAGAAGCTCGTAATGTGCCTTAAGGTACATCTCCCGAGAGTGCCAAGGGCCATTAATCTGGTTTGGCAAGAGAAAGACAGCATCGCCAGGGTTGATATCGGCATCAATGCCTAGAATCTCACCGGATGATGGAACTTCGGTTTTTCCTGTCCAGGAGCCGACTTCTACGACATGGCTGGCAGCCTTGACATATTCTCCAATGCTCCTATTTAATGGCACTGACGGCGGCTCATTGGTCGGTGTCTCGCCTCGATGGGGCAGGCCAAAGTGGCGAGATGCCATTTTACTATAGCCGATATCAAATGCTTTTTGAGTGATAGGGGAAAGGCTAGAGAAAGAAAGGATTAAAAGCGTTCTGATATATTGTAGTAGGGGATAAACAACGCGTCTTTGGTGCTGTTGGGGATCGACTTACAAAAATCAACAGAACTCAAGGAGAGAGTCACCCAGAAAGCTAATAAGTGCTGGAGGTGAACTAGGCTTCCTTCCGGCAAGGAGAGAAAAGAGAAGTACCAGCGAGATTGGCCTGTTCGAAACTGTAGACTGCGGAGCTACAGCACCCTGGCCAAAGAGGTCAGTGGGAGAAGTTGAGGAGGAGAAAAAGAAAAGATCGAAGAGGAGTAGAGAGTGAAATAAACCCAAGCAACGGCGGCAGGGGAAGCTCCGGCGGGAAGGAGGCCAGCAGCCTAGCCCTGTTGGGCAATTTGTTTCTCGGCAAAATCACTTTGAGGATTCACCAATCCTCAGCCAGTTCACCCAGAGAAGATGTCTCCCGTGAGGATATCACACAGGCTTTTCTCCTCAGTCTAGAGGAAAGATGGGTCTGGAGACGGATTGGAGGGAGAGCTTGAAGAAGTAGGCGCCCATGTAGAGAGAGGCAGAGAGTGAAAAGGTGTGTGCGTGCGTTAATGCGAAGAGACGGCAAAAGGGAGCCTCCATATGGCTCCCGTAGAGCAGCATTGCTGCTGAAAGGTAAACAAACACAAGAGCAGGCCTTGTGTGATTGAAAGGGCATCCTGGGAGAAACTTCCTGGTTGATTGCATCCAGTGGACAAAGCGTCCTGTTTTCACTGGCCTGCTTAGTTAACTGGTTAAGTATATGTTTGTAACTAGTCCGGAGGCGGCACATTGATCTTTTTAGCAACAGACGTTTCCCCCTGTATGCGCGATCTCCCTGGTTATTTCATTTATCCAGCAATAGGACGCGATCACCAAACATTACGCGGTCTACTCTGTGGAAGCAGCAGCAGTCGTCGCATTAAAGCTGTTCACGTGGGCTGCCTAGCGCACCTGTAGTTTAACTGTCGGATGGCTGCTTTCTCCGAATTCCGGCGTCAAGAAGTTCAGACGAAAGCCAGCAAGCAGATGAATTGAATGGAGATGGCTTCTAGTTAATTCCTCAGCCAATTTAAAGAGTATGAAGATGTGATGATCCCATGCGATGTTGCACATTGTTTAAAGCTTTCTGATACCCACCTTCTCTCATGCAAACACGCAATTCAGATGTCATTCTTACCATGATACATGCGCTTCTTTGAATCCTGGTTCAGCCATCCTACTATTGTAAGTTTGGGCCAGTGTAAGTTGCAAACCGGTAGTTAATCATCCCACTCCGAAACATGCCTTCAATGATGGAAGAAGATGACGACCGTGACCTTGCGGGTAAGCAGCAAAACACTCCGTCTTTCATCCATTCAACCCCTCCTAACACCCACCCCCAGGGTCACAAGATGGCAGCTCTGACAACGACATGGACGAGACTATGAGAGATGCCGATGACATGGATGTCGATGCCGACCCTGAAAGCCCCTCCAACTCCAGCATGGCCTCCGAAAGCCAAAACATGCAGAATCCGCAGGTCGTCCTGACACAACCCTCTCCATCAACAGCCACTCCCGACGCTTCCTTGCATTTGCGCCCCGTTCCCCGGCCCGAAGCAGTGACCGCCTCCACTTACGATATTGTGCCTACAACAGCAGCACCACACAGCACCTCGATAAATGCAGTGGCGGCCACGGCGGATATGCGCTGGGTGTTTAGTGGGGGATCTGATGGATACATTCGGAAGTTTAATTGGGCCGACTCGATCAACAGCAAGCTCATGTTGACTGTGGCCCAGAGGCATCCCTTTGTCGACAGCGTCGTGAAGGCCGGCGTTTTAATGACATACTGGGAGAACATGGATGGAAATGCGCTGTCGCCGGTCTACTCCTTGGCCCCGCAGTCAGAGGGACTCTGGCTTCTTTCCGGCCTGGAGTCCGGCGGTATTCGGTTACAATCAGTACGGCACGACGAAGGAAAAGAAATCGCTCTTCTCCAGCAACATACTTCCGCTGTCTCCACTCTTTGCCTAACGGCGGACGAACAATCTTTGTTGTCTGGAAGCTGGGACAAGAAGGTCTTCGACTGGGACTTGAATACTGGACAAACCCGACGGACGTTCGGAGCCTCTGTTGGACAAATATCCGCTATCGAAATTCGACCAGAATCAGCCTTACCTGTGCCACAGGAAAGTGGAGAATACCCAATAATGAATGGTACATTTTCCTCTAAGGACTATGTGAAGACATCTGGCTCCAGCACGCTGAATGGCGGAACGAATGCGCATGGTTCGGGACCAGAGCTGGGTCAATCGGCAACATCTCCTGCCGATTCTCTCTTCGAAGCTGATTCATTATTCGGAGACGATAACGCGACTGGCGACCCAGAGGTTCCTTCCGGAGGTGCTTTCGAGGCAGAGGCCGACGATGAAATGTCGCAAGCGATTACTAACGGCATACGGCAAAGTAGAGAGGAAGAGGAAGCTAATGCGCGAACGGAACCGGACGCTCAACTAAACGGGACTTTAAACCATCAATTCGCCTCTGACTCCGCGACCTTAGCAGGTACTCAGGAAGAAAAGCCACCATCTTTGCATGATGGCAATCTTCCCAATGGCACCATAGAATCCTTGACTAACGGCCTTCCCCATGCAGAAGACTTAGAGTCCTCAACTGCGTCAAAAACAATACCCGATTTATCTCCAGAGTCCGGCTCCAACATCGTTCGCGACACGACGTTCCTATGCGCATCCATCGACGGAACAATACGTGTCTGGGACCGTAGACAGCCAGATCCAATTGCCCGGATAGTGCCCCGAAACACACCTCCGTGGTGTATGAATGCTTGCTGGTCACCAGACGGGAATTACATCTACGCCGGACGTCGCAACGGGACTGTGGAAGAGTATAGTTTACATAAAGGCCTGCGAGAAGCTCAGAGGACGTTTAAATTTCCTCAGGGCAGTGGCGCAGTGTCTGCGCTGAAGGCAATGCCGAATGGAAGGCATCTAATTTGGTATGTTGGCCTCCTACGCTTCTCTGTCCTGCTCCTTCGCTACGTTTCATGCCTTTATTGCGAGTTCTAGCAAGGCTCCAAGCTGACTGTCATAAGTGCATCCCACGATATCCTCCGTCTCTACGACCTCAAAGACGACCAGTCCACCCGCCCCTCCACGGTACCATTCCTTATCATCCCCGGTCACCGCACCGGCACTATTTCCCAGCTTTACCTTGACTCTGCGTGTAGATACTTGATTTCCACAAGCGGAAACAGAGGCTGGGAGGGTGCGACCACAGAAGTACTACTAGGCTATGAAATTGGAATTCCGCCACTTTGAGCGGCGTACGCACAGTAGCGACCTGGATCTGGGGAGGGGCTAGGCGTTTCCGGGTTGGTTCATATTTGCTTTTTATATACCCCCCTTGCTTCCTACTGCGGCGTTGGTGATCGTGATTATTGGGCATCACAAAGGGAAATGGGCGTGGTAGAGATTTTGAGTACGCGGATTTGTGAAATGCACCATGCCCACGCCGTTGATATATGTTTGTACAGTAAGTACGGAGTAAATACGTACGAAACCATAGTACCATTATTTTACGATAAGAAGTCATGATCAAGGACGTCCCTAAAAAGAATGAATGGATTTCGTGCTCGCCAAGGTACTGCATAGATCCCGTTTCATAGATATCATCTTTTGTCCCGCTAGCTACTTGAAATACAAGATGCCTCTCAGTTTCAGAACTCCCAACCTGTCAATCATCAAACCCATAATATGTAATATGGCGGAATAAATGGCCCAAAGAAAACCTTTAACTATACCGATGAAGCAAGTTGTCCAAAATCATAAAGTCGTCACTGTCTCACACACAAAAAAGCCAAAAAAAAAAAAAAAAAAAAAGAAAGGATAGATCAATCGCTCAAGTCAATTCCCTGACAAACGCCTTCCAAATTCTGCCTCCATTCCAAGTAAAACAAGCTACTTCGCTCCTGTAATCGATTCTTATTCTTTTCAAAATAAACATATGCCGGCTCTTTTTGGCGCGCTCCATCCTTGTAGCCATTGAGCACGCCCATCACGGAATTCACATGATTCGATCGTATTGACGAGCCGAGTACATGGGTGCGGCGCGATAGTATCCCAGGGCGAAGATACTTCGATGTAATGAGGACAGCTGGCGGCAAGTCGGCGTTTATAACAGTTAGTTCAGTGGGAATCCACGTCCTCACCCTAGTCTTCATGTGTCTATCGAATAACAGCCGCCACCATGGCGATGGTGAAGAAGCTTCTGATGCCAGATCGTCCTTTTCTGGGATATTCATTAACCGATCGAGCTTTCCCGTGTCAACGGCCACCCCAGGAGCCCGCAAATACAGAATTCGCTCATAGATTTTTAATTTGGCCGACGCTCTTTTCAACAAGCGCGTTATGGAGGGATGTCTATCCCTTGGGTCACTCATGTCTATTGCGTGTAAAATAACATTATATCGCTCGCTAGATGTTCGAAGGATGCGCAATGCTGCAGCGATATTGGCGGTCGGGGCACTCATGTCCCATGATTCTGGATAGATGATTATTCGGTCCGTGGCAAGAGTGCTGTTTGAAGCCAATATTTTAGCCAAAAGGAGCGTGGAACAGATATCCGCCGCGCTTGGTTTGGATAGAACTTGAAGATAGGCTTGCCTATCGGCAAGATTTATGTCTATGCTGCTGCCTATCGGAACCTGTTGGGAGTCCAATTTGTAATTCGGAAGGATGTCAAAAGGACCTGTATCTTTGAGCCCCTGCGGTGCAAACATGTTGCCTTTATCATTGGCAAAGCCATCTTCTCTCCGCCATCCAGGCTCTGGCGAGATTGTGGCAACGAAAGTTGGAGTGGTAGCAGGTGTGTATCTAGGCAGGGCGGCTTTTATGTTGCGGACTGATTGCTGCTGCAGCACATAGCCTGATAGAAAGAGGAGAACCGTAAAAATCCCGATGATTGACGATGATATTGCGACCGATATGGTGCCGGAGGTGACCAGGACCATGGCTCTGCTGAAGCTTCCAGTTTGTTGACGCTTCTACTTATCCCGACGGAATGGATAGAGGCGACATCGGCATCGAGGAAATCAAATTTTGAAGCGTCTTTCATAAAGAGTCAGGTCTGGGTCCCGTTAGATATCCTCTTGTTGGATCTTTGCGACTATGCGATGATGAGCTTCCCGGCGTCATTGTTTTCCTCAGTCCGGTTGCCCGGCCAACAGCCTTATCGATAAAATCCAAGCCTTATCGTTAAAATACGGTATCAAAGTTACGACAACGTAAAATTCGCAGCTTCAAAGCAGCTCAGCTTGAAGCCCATCCATTTCGACTCTAACGCCCAGTGCTCTAGAAACCGATCTCTCCTATCTACTACCATTCGAACCAGATGGCTACCCACCGCGCCGATGCCAGCGCCCTCCTCGACAACCGTGGCTATACCGGCCCCTTAGTCCGCGGCGTCAATCCCGCCACTCTCTTCGAAAAAGCCGTCCGCGACCGCATCACAGACTCGTACTACTGGAAAGAGCAATGTTTCGGCCTAAATGCTGCCACTCTCTGCGACCGAGCTGTTGAACTTGGTTATATTGGTGGAACGTACGGTGCCAACCAGAAGCCGACGCCGTTTCTCTGTCTAGCGTTTAAGCTGCTGCAGCTTGCGCCGGAAAGGGAGGTTGTGCTCGAATATTTGAACTTTCATGACCCGGCAGAGGATGACGATGATAATGGTGATGAGGATGATGGTGATGGAGCAGCGGTGTTGAAGTCAGTGGGGGATTTTAAGTACCTACGTGCGCTTGCGGCCTTTTACATTCGGTTGACATTTGAGCCGGTAGAGGTATATAATGTTCTTGAGCCGTTGTTGTCGGATTATAGGAAGCTGAAGAGAAGAACAAAGGATGGGTTTGTCTTGACGTATATGGATCAGTTCGTGGACGACCTGCTTACCAAAGATCGCGTATGTGGTACAAGTCTGTGGAAGCTGCCTGCCAGGCGGATTTTGGAGGATTTGGATATGCTGGAGGAGAGAGTGAGCCCACTGGGCGAAGAGCTAGAAGATATCGATAGGGACAGCGACCAAGATGAGAACGGAGAAGTGAGTGAAAGGGAATCGCAACGGGGAGATGATTGAGCGCGGAGATTATCACCTATGTCTTGATTCCTATGCTCGCCGCCACGCCCTGAGCCCTGAGATTCACCCGACGAAGATCCTCAAGGACCTGAAATCTCGAGCACGGAGAAATCTCGAGCACTTCATTGAACCAGCATCCTCACACACCTTGCAGTGACCCCTCACAAAGCCCCCGCAAATATATATATTGGAAGGAGGACGCATATATTTGGCTTGACGCGGTTCGCGACTCGGAGGATTCAGTGCTCCACTGCAGCTTCTCTATCGGCTTTTACTGAAACTCGATAGCTAAGCCTGTTTCTCAGACTTCTAATGAAAGGTGGACGTGATCGAGCGACATAACCTTGAAACTACTAGGGCGGATAGTCTCTTGTCATTGTCGCAAACCCTCCTTGGAGAAACGTTTAAAAATCGAACAAGGTGCCATTTGCTTTCGGTATTAACTGGATGCAAAGGATATATGCAGAAAAACCACATGTTTTGATGGTCTATGTCTTGTTCCATCCAATATCCAAAATATCCCAATCTTCTCCGTACATTCCGAGAATAATCATTTATACAAGACATACGGGCTTCAACCCCTACATATCAAACAAATCCGTCAAAAATCAAACTCCCTACCTGATGGTTAAAAAAAAAAAAAAAAGGAAACAAACACAACGTAAAAGACGCCCAAAAGGAGCTTAAAACCCTTGCTGGCGGTGCCATTTCTCCTCCCATCCCTTAAAATATGGACTATCCTCCAGAGTCGTAACATTCCAGTCCTTCTCAATGATACCTTTCTCCTCCTGCTCTTTCGCCCACTGGTCCAAGGCTGGCAACACTACATGCTCTACATGCCATGTATTCTTATATTCCATAATATTTCTCTTCCCCTCCCTCAGAATCTTCGCCACAAGCGCTGGAATGCCTGGCTCGTCACGGAACTCTGTTACAGGCGTGAAAAGTGCCTTGAAATTAAATATGATGGAGCCAGAGAGTGGGAGACGACGGAGAGTTTGCCAGTCGACGCGAAGGTAGCAAGAAGAGAGCTGGAGGGAGTCGGACTGGGAAAGTCGGTGGAGTTCATGAGGGTCACCAGGAGGCATGAAGAGCGGTTGTTCGACTTCAAGTCCCCATGAGCCACGCTGGATGGGCTTATCAGTTGGCATTTTGGCAAAGTACCTATATAGTTAGGTTAGCAAATAAATAATGCACCATTTGGGACATGCGAACGTACCGATCCATAGAGAACTGCATCTTCTCCTTATAGTCTGGAATAGGCTCGTGGATCTCATGTAGCTGCATGCCCATTTTCGTACTCAAATTCCATCCCAGGGAAGAGCATATCGACCCTGCCCGTAAGACATAGTTTCCAGTTTTGTCGTCTCTCAGCATTATCCCAAAGTCCTCAGGGACATTATCCATCAAGAAAACAAGGGGGTCCTTCGTATGAAGGTCCTCGACTGTATCAAGAATGCCATTTGTGAAATACCTTTTGTCCTCCGAAAGAGAAAAGTATCGTGGGTACCTGGCGCAGAGGAACTGTATCACCATCTCCATGAGCTCCTTGCACGCCAGCTCAGAACCCGGAAGTCTATCGAGAACAGACTTGCCATGTTTGGCATGTAATATTTTTCGGTGCGCAACACGGCTCTTGTATGTATTCTCGAGTTCAAGCCACCAATCTGGCTCCATCTTCGTGAGCGCTTTACTCATCATGTCAGCGAACCTCAACGAAACAGGAGTACGCACAGAACATGCTTACACATAGTTTGATGATAATTCCAACGGAATGGTCGATATGGTCTGGGCAGAGCTTTATCGATATCGAACTCCTCATAAACGCTCGGCAAAGGAATACCGCTCAGAGTAGCATAGTCGGGGAAGTTCCCCAAAGCTCTAATTTCGTCGGTGGAGAATCCTGGGGGAGTAAATTTAACTTCCGTACAAGTCCGATAATTTGCTGTCAGTGGCAGAATCGATCGTACCACATCGGAATCGCCCAGATCTTTCGGAGCGAGGACGTCTTTAACTGAAATGCCGGTCCTAGCAACATCGTACAGTGCTTCCCGGCGCAGGGGCGGTAGAACATCCCCATAAAGTGGGCCGGAAAGCTGCTTCTCAGGGGCAAGATCTCGAGGAGGAGTTCCTGCCGATGAAACCTTTCTACCACGGGTTTTTAATCCATAAACAAGGCGCTCGCGCTGCGTTTTATGGAGGAATAGATATGTTGCCGTAATGGCAACCAAGATGCCCCCGAAAACAAAGATTGAAGTGTCCATTGTTGTCAGAAAGTTTATGTGCGCTGGTATTTGTTATCAGGCTTGGGTCTAGCTCAAGACATTAAAAATGAGATGCAAGGAAACAGGCGCAGGATTGTAGCAGAAGCAAAACATAAAAGATGGCGCCCGGTTTGTCAGAGCATTCCCGTGAGCTGTAGGTGGTAGAATGGGATAATTGAAGCAGGTGGGAGGAGCTCCAGCGATGTATGTGACCAGGATAGGACGACACCTATTTACTTCGCATGGAGCGCAAGAAGCCTTGGGAAAGGGCTAGGGCATAAATGACAAGGGGCGCACAACTCCCAGACGAGTTGATAGAAGACTAGGCCGGGGTGATAAAGATGAAGGTCGATGTTGCACAAGGCTCGAAGCTTGACGGACATGATGCGTACGATCCAGTGGGATATCACGGTATTTTTATCTTTCAAGCAGGCAGTAAGGTTAGATGAGCCATGCGACGAGTGTGGTAGATACATTCGTATCTCCCTCAAGACATTATCAAAAACCGGAAATATTCACGCGATAAGTCACCTTATCATGGTGGATAAGGGTCGTGTACCCCCGGGGGGGAAGAGGCGAGCATTATTGCCATTGTGCCCTTCCCCGCAACGTCGAGCACAGCAGAGTGAAGGCTTCAATAAGCTAACCAGCTACCAAATGAAGATGAGGATTCCGGTGCGACGGTCAACCAGATAGCGATGCGTCCGTCTCAAGTTCAGGCGGCGCGGTGGTGAGCGGGAGGATGTCGTGGCCGCATTGGGGAAAGGTTCGCATGTCCGCCGAGCGCGCACATCCCGAAACGGCAAAACTATCCCGACAAATCAGAACGCGGGACCGAGAGCATCGACTGCGACGTTCTATTATATGATGAATGTCAATTCTGGTCGATTTACAACAGTCTAACGGCAACATCCCTACTATACAAGCAGTGTGGAAACAGAAAAACACGGCTAGCAACATTTCATATCGTTCCGATCGTCATGCATGATTCGTCCATACTCCAAAAGGAGTCTCCAGAACGTCAGCTTAAAGTCTTCCTTTCGAAAGGCTTTTCCCATCCATTCCCGGCTGTTGCTGGCAACTTTCTTTCCCAGCTCTTTGCCCTCCGGCTCATGGACCAGATATCGGACCATCTCCGGGAGATCCGTCAGATTCATATTCACGGGGATGTAGTGAACCCAAGGAGCCAGGCGGTCGTCATGCCATTCCTGGAGAATGGTTTGCTTGAGCACGGCGGATTTTGAGCGAAGAAGGCGGTAATATCGTCCGCTTAGGCCATTGCCGTCGATATCTAGGTTGTATCGTGAGAGGTAGCCCGCTCCGAGGCTGTCTCGATTGGACGATGTGTTAAAAGCCGCTTCTTGGTCCTTACATGCGTCATCATCGCACTGGATCACGCTCGAGATCCGCACTTTGAGGGATGAAGAGATTTCAGATATCGTTGAATTGTACGCCTGCCATGTGTAAGGGGCCTCGGCAGCTTCACCGCCCACTGGCGCTTTCACTTTCTTCATGAACTGGATGGTTCGATCTTTATCCTTTACCATCAAGCCAAGTCTCTGTCGCTGGAAGAATTTCCAGTTCTCCATCGTTGTACGTCCGCCTGTGGTGGAACCTACCCAGTATAGCGTGTCTTCTTTCTCCTCCCAGTCCATATCCTCTTGCTCCTTGTACTCATGCATGTCGACCTTAGCATCATACCACGGAGCTGGGTAGAGAACATCCTGAAAAGATGATGGTTTTGCGGTTGAGAAAATTGGGAAGAGCGAATGGGCCAAATTAAGCGTTTCGGGATGTCTAAGAAACGCATGTAGGTCTCGGAGCTCAGGAGCAAAGCATACATCTTTGCTCATGCTGACATTCGAAAGGAAGCCGAGCTCCGACATGGTGTACGATGATGGGGGCTTGGAGAACTGTCGCGCTGGAGACTCTACTGGGCATGACAAAACCAGGACATCCCACGGATTTTGGCTCCCCAACTTAAGAAAATTGACGGATTGACCAAGCTTTTCATTTTCGCTGGGTTGAACTACGGAATTGTTCCGTGCGCGCTCGATTGCCTTGTCCAAAATGTCATGAGGGACGACCATTTTTGGCTCATCAAAGCAGTTGACCGCGAAAACAAAATCGGACAAAGTGTCTAGCATTTCTGCGGTGAACCAGCTCCGTACTTGGGATCCCACCCATTGAGCAGCCTCAGCCATAGAATACGAGGCTCGATGGCCTTTGACCTCAAAACGTATCAAAGACCTGTCGCCGGCTGCAAAAGCGGACTTTACTCTACCGCGAAGGTCTGATGGAGATACACCCCAAAATGGCTCAAGTCCTCTCATAATGATATCGAATTCATCAATCAGAACAAAGTTCTGTCGGCGAGCAGCTTCAAACCATTTATCGAAATGGGGTGGAGGTGCTCGGTGGTATCTGCGGATGTATTCTGTTATGGCATCCTCTAGAGTTTCCGACTGCCGCGAAAGCGTCTTTTTGAAAGCAGCCTCCGCTTCAAAAGCTAGTCTTTCAATAGGGTGCATACCGGACGTTCCGGCCTGCGGTGGGTTGGGAACGTTTTTCACGACGGGTCGCGGAAAATGATGGATACTACGAATTATACCAATGATGCTAGGAAGGAGTAGAAGGAGGACAATTAGCTGACCTTGGGATCGGAAATATGCAGGCAAGCCTAAAAGACACTGCACGACAGAAACCAGGGAGACTGTTGCTGCAGTTAAACTCTGAGGCGAAGTACCGATGAGGCTTTGTACGCTTGTTGTGGAAAAAGCCTCCAAAGTCGAGGAGGAGACCGTGCATCCGAATAAAATCTAAACAATAGTAAGCATAAGCACAGAGTTATTCCACTAAACGCAGAAAAAACACACCAGAAGTAACACAACAGCTGTCTCCAAAGCCAGAATCAAAGCCTGTCCAGCGGCCGCAAGCGAAAGATTTATCCGAGGAGGTAGCACAACCATGAAAATGGTTGTGATACTTAGGACTCGGAAAGCTAACGCCTCAAGACGAACAATCGTCCGTAGCGTTCCGCTCTGCTCATCATTCGAACGAATGCCATAATTTCCATTGCTTGAAAGCAAAACGAAACTAGCTGTCCGCGAAACTACAAATCCAATGCTAACGATATAGGGTGCCATTTTCGCAGAGGAGGCGAAAGAGAGGAGCGTAGAAGCGCAAAGCCCCACTGCCGTCATCCCGATAGCTTTGAACCATGATGGCGAGCTAGATTTTGTGGGTTGTTCGCTGGCAGCCCCGGGGATTGGGAGCACGGACTCAGGTCCTGTCGACTTTTGCAACAGGAACAGATACACCAGGCTGGATACGAAAGGCTTCACGACATAAAAGTCAGCAACATGTTTTTGCGTCCAGCAATGGTTTCCATGAGAAGCAGCAACACTATAAATACGGATAAACGGAATGGGGTACCAGACCAACAACCAGTTTGTCTCAAAAAATAATCCTAGACTTCGCGACACAGACAGGAAAAAGGCAGCAATCCATAGCTTCCAGCTTACTGTCGTGTTGGCGCTCTCTGGCTGATCATGAATCTGGCTCGAAGTCCCTCCACTACTTCTGCTGCTATGATGTCGGAAAGCCGAGAGAGCGACAAAGAGCCCGCACCAACACAGCCATTCCGTCCGAAGGTCCGTTTTCCACCGAGTACTGATAGAGATGCCCTCTGCGACCAGGCTGGTGAAAACGCCACTAAATAAAAGAAGGGAGATGGACTTCATGAGTTCGATGTCTCATTGCATTTCCGAAGTCCCAACATAATCGCATTCATGCGCTCCGTAGGGAATGATAGGCCTGAACCAAGAGCTTTCTCTCTGTCCATGACAGGGTGGCATCAGCCGCTCAGGCCCTGGAGGGACAGTTTTGCTTTGTAATATGCGTTTCGAGATCGTCACCCAAACATCCTTGCGCATGACAAACGGTGTTTGCAACATCGACTGGCGCTGAGTCGCTGACCCCTGCTAGCTCTCCCTCTTTTTATGGAGCCAACAGCTTGGTCCGCTGCTGATTTGTGGTTCTGCACGGGAGCACCGCGCTCGGCTCCGACGGGCTAGCGGGCCAACATCTAACCCACCAACACGATTGGCCCTATCCAAAACTGCAGCAGGGGAATTGGGCATCGCCTTCGGTCATTAATATTGAAATCTGTTAGTTCGCTTGTGGATGACCCCAAAAGAGACGAAGACTTGCCAAAATCAGAGTTTATGGCGTCGCCCCCTTTCGGATTGTTTAGTGGCTATGGAGCCTCTAAAACAGCCCGGGGCCGCAAGGCTGGTTGGAATTTTTGGTCCTGGAGAGAGGACTTTCTGCTTCATTCCCGCTATCCTGGGCCTGGGGGACTATTCCTTGTGTGGATAATATCAACACGTTAAGAGGTTCTGATCTCGGCCCACCTCAGCACACTTTTTGGTGTATCTCTTTCTCAACTTTCTCGTCCTTCTCCATATGAACGTGAGACAACAAGTGCTCGTTCAGTCACTCGTTGGCGAAGATATTGAGTTCTCAACGCCGGTCTCGTGAGCAAGAAAACGAGGCCGACCGCTCACGATGAATCTAACTCCTTTGCTTTGGATTGCCTGTCTTCGTGTCGGCTTGGTATTTGGTGCGGCAAATTTTGCAGTTCCATGGAGCTCGACCAAATATGGGCCAGACGGACCCTGGCAGGCAGTTAAGGTATCTGTGGGAGGGGTGGATGAAACTCTGCGTTACAATCTCCAGTCCACAGATTTGGATCTTTACCCGGGCTCAAGATACGCGTCGCAGATTCTGGTTCCCGAGGCATGCGAACCTCATGAAAGAGATGGAATCTGCGGCAAAGGGGGCAAGTGGGATATCACAGCGAAATCGACAATGGCCATCAGTTGGCCAGGCTCTTATGAAAACCCTCCAATGAACCAGACCAGTGGAGAGTGCGATTTCAATATCCAAGGGCTTACGATCAACGATATCACGGTGTGGAATACCAGCCTAGTCGCTGTCGACAATGTGACCATCACCACGGCAAAAGGCATTACCTACGGCCCACCCGTTGGCCTGCTGGCTCTTGGAGGCGACAAAACTGTACAAGAATTTACGACAAGCTCCTCGAGAACGGGTGCATTGCGCACTTATATCTACCCCGGAGGTCTGTATGATCAGGATATCATACCGTCGTATTCATACACGTTGCAAATAGGGTCTGCAGCCCACGACTATGTCGGCTCATTGGTGTTTGGCGGATACGACAAAGGAAGAATCATCGGGCCATATACAACCTCCGCCGAAACTACATTTCGCCTCCTCGATATCGGAATCGGTGTCCAAACCGGCGGCTCTCCATTCCCTTTTAAGAAGAAAGACAACCTGTTGGTTACCGGTACATCCTCCGATGACCATGTTACCGTTTACCCGGACGCGACATTGCCGTATATGTTTTTGCCTGCACAAACCTGCGAAGAAATTGTGAAGCACCTGCCAGTTGAGTGGGATTCAGAATTAAGCTATTATCTGTGGAAAACGGATGATCCTCTTTATAAGTCGATAACGTCGTCGCCTGCTTATCTTAGCTTCACCTTTCCTCCCGCGAGCGGTGCGGAGGATAATGTGGTCATTAAAGTTCCCTTTGCGCTACTAAATCTCACCCTCGAGTCACCGATTACGGAGTCACCGAAAATATATTTTCCATGCTACCCCTTTAGCCTCACAGAGAATGATGATAACTATCACCTTGGACGAGCTTTTCTCCAAGCCGCTTTTCTTGGGAGAAACTGGTTATCAAAAATGACATGGCTCGCGCAGGCTCCCGGGCCAGGCAGCCAGCTTGAAGGTCTGGGTAAACAACTTGAAGATATTCCCGACCGCGCCAACACACTTTCATATTTTGACCCCGAAGGCCAGTTTCAGAGATCATGGGAGAATTATTGGCAACCTTTAGAACGTGATTTATCACCGCAATCACCCGAATCGACGCCGGGCCCTCCGACCGACGACAAGGATGACAGCGGTCTCGGCACCGGGGCGAAGGTCGGCATTGCTATAGGAGCCATTGTAGGAGCTCTTATTATTCTTGGGGCCGTATTCTACTTCAAACGGCGGAGCAAGCGCCCCGTTATGGGGCCAAGTCACACGTTTACTCCAGTAGAACAAGGAAAAGAGCAGCCAATTCAATACTATGGGGGACCCGCAGTCGAGATTCAAGGCTCAGAGCCGACGAGGTATGAGATGGATGCTGGCACGCGGTAACAAGGGAGTATTTGGAAGAAGTAGATCAAGATGGATAGGTGGAGTATGAGAAAAGATGCTGGCACTTGGTACATTCAATGTAGATACATAATATCCGGACCTAATCGTCCATCGCTATACGCTAATTTTGTATGATTTTTTGATTCTATTCGCGACTGGAGTTATAGGGCACAGAAATCGTGAGTTATGAGTATATACATGCGGAGTACTTCATGGGAAAGATTTTACTTAGTTTGTGATTGTGCGAAGTGTTTCCTCAGTTCTCTGTCGCGTGCTCGAGGTGTGCAGGCCAGCTGTGAATTGTGCTTTGCATGAAGATACTGTAGCCCACACAGGCTGGACATGAGATTTCAGGAAGTTCTATGAGAGGCAGGACTAGAGGGATTAGTGCGATTGAACAACCATACTACGGAGTAAACTGCCATGAATTGCGAATGCCCACTGAACCGAGTGAGCAACCGCGATGATGAAGTTGTATCCATGGATAAAGCAGCTAACAATCTTCTCCAAAATAGCTTTTCGCTGAAAGTGCTCGAACTAACGATCTCCCTTGGCGGGAAGCCCTCTTGGGTCGCCATGATTTGCTGTAATCGAGTTTGTCTCTCGCCTTGGCCAAATTGTCCAACTGGTCGAATTTGTCTCCACAGAAAAGATCTGGCAAACCTGGCTCACACGATCCCGAATTGAAAGAAACAGCACTGCGTATCCCAGGTACTCAAGACGATAAACAAGGTAATCATCTGCCGGATTCTCGGTTCCCTGTCGGGGTTGAATGACCTCTTGCTGTTGTCAGAAATCAACTCACTGGTGAGCCGAAGGAGTTAGTTTGCCAGGGAGACCCAGCAAGCTTGTAATAGCCTGCTGGCAGCTGTCTCTTAACTACTCGGATCTCAGCGACCCATTTCTGATGATCACCTAGATCTCTGCTGGCCACGGCTCACGACAGAGGAAGACCAAGAGGCAGAATGCGCTGATCCACGCTGTCATCGATGAATCACTCGTTCGGTCCGTATTCCATGAAATCTCTCAAAATTAATGCAAGAAAGGAGAGCCTCCATCCGAATAGTGCGGACGCCACACTAGTGGAACTGGCAATTGTGAACGCGTCCAGAGTAGCTGATATCTGGTTATACCAGGAATCCGCCGAATATCTTCGACGTCATTTACAGTGTGCCTCGGCTTGGTATGTTAAAATCTTAGGAACGCGGCTATGACAACCACATTGTGCACGGCAGTCTGGAAAAGGAATCCTTATATCTATCTGAAGATTTCATCTGACTTGACGTCGTATCAAAGCCGTTTCTATCCCGGCATAATACCACCATGAGGCAAGAGGATCAGCGCAGTATGACAGAAAGTACACAAATATCAGTCACCTTTCATGAGTTGCTTACGAGGTTGAAGTTTCATTCCTATCCCCTCTAATTGATTCCTTTAGCCTCTGAGTACGGAGGTATTATGATAGCTGTTGGCTATCAGTGAGCAGCCCGTGCACCATCAATTAGTCCAGTTAGACATTCACATTTTTGAATGTCATTCCTCCCTTACCTAGTTATGTATAACTACAGAAGATATGGTTACAAGGGTTCTCCAACATTTTCTCTGCCTTTGTTCGGATCGCGTACGGGGTATTGCTGTGAATGATCAATGGCAGGCATCTTCCCAAAGATAAACAAGAAAATCATGGCACATGATCAAAACCCCAGCTCCAATGCTTAATGCCCTCGAAGCATTTGGAGGGGTTGTGGGCCTAGAGAGGTTTGTCAACAGTCAAGAGCATCAGCTGTTCTAGAATGGTTCCAGAACCAACCCTTGCGCCATCCCCCCAACATACCCATGATATTTTCCACTAGGTGAACTTTGATTCTTATTAACAAGTTCTGTTCAAATTGCTGATGTGTGTGTATAGCTCACTGAGTCCCACAATGATATGTTTGTAATACAATTGCATTATTACTTCAAAAGGCTTGATCAGTGACTGCACATTGACATTACCTGTGAAGGAAGGTGTATCCAGTACTTTACAACAAGTATCTGGATGGGCTGACCACAAAGCACAAGAAGAGGTTCACAAGGTTGTGAATTTGTAATCCTCTTCATGTCATGTCCAATTTCTCTTCATTAGCTTTGCATAATTATCTTCAATACTCAGAAGATAGCCTTTATAGTTGATCATCAATTGTCCTTGGTCCACCAAAAGCACAGTTGTTGACATCTCAAATCCAGCAGACTAAAAATCATTATTAGCAATAATGCTCAATGGGCATTCTTTATACTTGTTGCTAGAGAACTCAAATGTTTAACAGACTTGTTCATATACATGTGGCGCTTGCTGGTCAATTCATTCCGCGAGCAATGGCTTAATTTATCATCTCATAGATCACAAGTGGGAGCAAGTTGGGTACAGCCTTTTGGAAAAACCACGTCACTCTTGACAAGATTGTCACAGTTTACTGAATGGCTTCAGCCTGTTCAAAGGCTCAGGCTCTCAGCAGTATATTAAGTCAGCTTGAATTGAGAACAAGGAATAGAGCTGTCAAAATAATTAACTTTTTCATAGTACTACAGCTGGCAGAGCGTATTGAATGACATATACTAAGATATTGTCTTGCTAGCCTCAGGCAAATTGCCACTGGGAGATAAGAGAAGTGCATTGACAGGAAAAAACCTCTTATTTTCACTGAATGCACTTCTGATGCTGCATCAAAAAGTGCAACAATTATCTCCACCAAATGCCAACAATGTTGTTTTCCAAAGGAATTGTCGGTCAAGGAGCCCCCATACTGGCAAGTACATATCTATTCAAAATTGAATTTAAATCCACTAAGGGATTGCTGTCTGAAGATATATTACTGGTTGCCTGTTTTCGCACAGCAGTGATTGCATCATGGATAGACACCCAACTGGCCAGCATTCATATGTCGCCCTTCAATCACTTGTGGTGTGGATTGACTCTTAAAGCAGGAATTGTCATCTGCATCTCATTCAAGCCTGAGAAGTTCAGCAACTTCACCAACTTTGAGCCCGCGGGCTTTGGTTTAGGATCTCTTGTGTGCCAACTTTCACTCTAAGAAAAGATCCTGAGATATAATAGCTGAGCTGTTAAAAGTTTAATGCAAACATAGGTTTTTGGGTTGAATTACTGTAAGGTGTGCTAACCTCCTTAAACTTGGCTGCTTGAATCCCGTCACCCCAAATGCCTCGCGTCTGATAACCTACCCCAGTGACAGATGGAATGAAAAAAAAAAGAAAAAAAAAGAAAAGGAGACCCGCCATTGGAATCTGAAAACAGGCAGAAGTTGATAAGCAGAAATGTGCTCTAGCTGCATCTACTGGATCCTACTGTGTCAGTGAGACTAGGTCATACTTGATTATACAGCTCTCTTGTGGGCTGGTTCCATAGATTAATGTATTGTTATAATTCCTGTTGCACCATACACCATAAGTTATTAACATATTACTGAAAGAATACATCAAGAGTTGCCCAATATTATATAGTTGAGAGGCAACTTGAATATCTGCGCATCATATCAAGGCCTGCTTGGTGAACTGATAAACAATCTTGGAAATGGCAACAATGATGGACAGCAGATGGCTACATGATGATGTCCAGGCCTGTAACTTTTCAACTTCAGGGACACCTGACCCATACATGAAATTATAATATTATCCATTATAGGTCTTATGCAGTCAGAAACTATGAAGACGGATTTATCTCATATTCAGGAGATTTAAAACTAATAAGGACAGTCTTTGAACAAGGAAAAAACATAAAATCAAAAGAATCTCAAGGCCATGGACCCCATTTTCTTACTTGGAAGTGGTCCATATACTTCCACATTCCCTGACACAAGCAGACCCAAATTCCAAATTGGTAAGCCACCTTGTCAAATAACTAGAGATCCTTCCCATGCTAACAACACACATAGGATGATTCCAAAATGGTTGAACTCATGATTCTCAACATTTTAACTATGATCATTTTCATATCTCCTTGACAGTATCAATATTGACCGGCCGTCCAATGCTATAAGTTTCACTCAAGAATTTCATCGGGATTTCAGCAATTTTTGATATTTACGGAGTATCTTGAACCTATTTCAGGCCAGGAGCATACTCACTGAATTGAGAGCCTCCTCACTTTTTACCCCACAGAAGCTGATGCATACCTTCTATTTAATGAAAAATTAGCCAGAAAAGAATATCCTATCTTTTCTTCTCTTGAAGGATCCTAAGACTGAAGGCAGTATTACTACCATTGTTTTCAAGGACAAAAGCCAGAACACAGATCACCCGGACCTCTTATGAGGGCAGCACTAAATCCCTAACAGAAAGAAAGGGGTGGCAGGAAGCAGAAGAGCATGTGTTTTTCCCATGGAATCACACAACTGTCCTAAGTTTCAAATTCTGTCACCTTCTGTACAACATTTTAACAAAAGTGTCGACTTGGTCGTTGCAAGCGCCGAAAGGGAAGCGGACAATGTTGCTTGACAAGCTGGGTTGGCCGCCTCATCCTACCATGTGACTAAGCAAAGTTCATCTTACATGTAAATTACTGGTACTTACTGGTAATATTACAGGCTGAAGTAACGTGGCAGATTTACAGAGTACTCTGTACTCCGTACAGATTAAGGGGATTGAGGAAGGTTCGGGTATTAGGTGCTAGGCGGGGGGGGGTTGGGGTTTGGGGTTAGGGGGTTAGGGGAAGTGGCGATTTGTAAGTTTGGTACTGAAACTTACATTATGTTACAGATGGTCAGGTCAACTTGCCATGAGCTCATCGCATCATATGTTGATCTGTACGCATGGCGAAAAGAGATAGTATACTCCAACGACACATAGTATACATAAAGACAGAATGGCCATGATGAGTAGAAGCATTGTGTGCAACTTGTGGGGCCCGGTATGATCTGCTCAGGAGTGACGAGTAGCGGCGTGTAAAAACATGGTCTTAAGCTACCCTAAAGGGGCATGCTCTTGGGGCAAACCACAACTGAAAGGAATCTTTTTGAGCGGAAATCGATTCTTTCGATATTGCCATCGTAAAAACTTGAGACTGAGAGACATTTGTCTTTGTAGTTGGAAACGATAATTAGCTCATGTTTGCATCATTTCTCAAAAAATTCCCCTCAATACATTAAATTATCTGTCAAGATCATACGCAGTAAATATCGCGGACTTATGGAGGGGATGCTCTAGATGACATGTAACGATCTCCGCAAAGCAACAGTCTGGATTGCAATCCTCAGACAAATCCTCTACTGTGAAACGATGAATGGAAGAATTGGCGAGCCAATTCCTTGGCCTCTTTGCTTTTTGAGACATTTGAGAACCGTTCAGCCAGCCATTTCTGCAGATGCAAGCAACAAAAAGGATATAGTCGCAGAGGGTCGCTTAGCAAAATGGGCGCCAAGAGAAGAGTGGCGATTGTTCATGTTGCAAGTCGGCACTCGTTCTCGGAGCAGTGCCGGGATGCGTTTCATGAAACAAAGATCGACCCAAGCGCCGAATTTGAATCTCTCCCTTCACCAATGCTTCGTCTCTTCCAATCCTATTTTGAGACTCTTTAAGCGCTTATAGGCCGTATCAGAAGGATGGGATTTGTGGACTATCGCTGGACAAGCAGAGCCGTTAGGATGCATGGCGGTGTGACTAAGTAACTGCTGAGCTAATTCTGCGGTAGCCAAATATGAGTAGGTGAAACAGTGTTGAGCCTGTGAATTTGAATTCAAAATATCAATTTGGAGAGGCGTATGTATCAAACGCACAGCATGCATGGGTGATGAGGAGGGTAATGTACCAAGTCCGGGGGTATGGAAGCCCTGTTTGCGTGATGTAACTCTGAAGTGCTTATCCCGAACAGCATTGCAAAAAAATCAAGTCAGAGGGAGGCCAGCCCTTTGCCAAATGTGAGGAATTGCTGCTGCTGATTGGTGGTGCGGACCAGTCGCGGAGCGGCTCGGGGGGATGATTGGGACCGAATCATAACCGAGGAAAGGAGTACATCTCCAGTGTCTTTAGCCAGTAACTTGTTGCTCATCTTGCGAGAAGAGGGCATGGGATAGGAATTAGAGCTCAGGCGCCATGTGATGAGACCAGCAGGTTGACAAGTTGGTTACATTGTTCAAGATCTCCAAAAGGTAGATGAGACCAGAACAGGTCACAGAAGGTCATCCATCCTTCGTCCGGGCTGATGAACTTCCGTTTTGCCGTCAGTGTCATGACTTGATGACCTTAAAATATGGTATCGTCACCTCACAAAAGGTAACACCTACATATTCCAGGCTCCTCTCAAGGTACTCCTCTTCTTGCATGTATACATACAGCCATCCCTTCAGCATACATAAAAATGTGAGCCTTTCCCTGCAGATACATAGGTACAGGCACCGACACCGTTGGATAGGCAGTCACATGGCACTGACGTCCACTTGCATTGGATGCTTTATTTCTTTTCTTTTTTCTTTCCTTGTCGATTTGGTGTGCTGCTTGTTAAAAGGTGTAACTCCGTATTTCTCGCCACCTACCTTTGGAGCGGAACCTTCGACCACGAGCTGATTTATTATCATTTGGTTCCGGCTCTGCTGCCATTAACCAGCTTTTACTTCCCACGAGGCCTACGATAAAGTAGAAATTAGATTATTTCCCTTCCCTGCGAGTAATAAGAATACTAATAAAAAATAGATGGGCTTTGCTGGCCAACAGGTGGAATCTGGAGCTGTTAATATTACGGAAGGGAGCTTCGGTCCCGGTCCTGTTGTCAGATTCATCTCGGAGATAATATGTTCAGTGTTTCTGTAGCGGCAAGTAATTTCTGAGCTTCTGCCAGGGTTTCTCTTTAGCATGACCTCCGTACCCCGGGTACGGAGTCCGATTTGGAGTGTAAAAGGCGGCATGATGAATCATGGATTGGTCGTTCCAAGGAACCAGTCGAGGTGGGTGTGTGTACCTGAGCGTCCCACGGTACGCCCACTCGAGGGAGTGGGAGCGCGAGGGAGAAGAAGAATTGGACAGTGCGAGGGCTTAGAGAGAGCAAGAGAAGAGATCTCTGACATGGGACAAATTCCTGGAAGGCTGTGATCCACTTAAATCCCTGTTGAGCGCGCTGCTGAAACAGTGATAAGGTTGAACATAAGGGCAACTCACCCAGTCGGAAAAAAAAAGCCAAGCAAACAGAGCCGGGAATTGAGATCGACCCGTGGTTGTTCAGCGTCAACTTTCCGTAGAGCTTGAATTCTCCACTTGGACACAAGCCCAGTCTACTCAGGTTCAAGAGCCGGTTTGTTCCTGGACAGTCGGATCCTATCAAGCGCGGAGAGATTGCTTGAGTGCAGACCATGAGCGATCCGGGGATTAACTAGTAGTCAATAGTTATGCAATTACGGAGTAACCGGACGCAGTTAGTTTGGACGCAGCCAATTCCGTCTTCTTGGTTTGTCCCTAGTCGCTATGATGCAGCTTAAATAAATGCTGCCCCTTGGCATCGGTCACTCATCTTCGGCCACATCAAAAAACAGAAGTCTTGTCATCATCGCCACCACCACCTCGTCCTCCTCCTCTGCTGCCGGGAACGTGGATCAGGCCTCTGTCAATTCACTGTCGTTACCTGCCCGTTTGTTTCTTTGACGGCTGGTCGCTTTGCTTTTCTTCTCCTCTGCCCCCCCCTCCGACGGATGTTCTTCTCTCGTCGCGGCCCAGTTTACGTAGCCTCCCACGTTTTCTCCAGCCGATCACCTTTCATCCTGTACATAATAAGTCGACTTTCTCGTTTAGCGTCTACTCCGTAGCGTCTTGCCGAACCTCCTTCCCCAACCACACGGACAACGATGTCTTCGGCCGTTTGATGTCTCTTTGACTGAGCTCTTGAGAATTGTGGTCATAGCTGCCCCCTGCTGCATCTGTGCTCTGCGTGCAGATGGAGGTCGGGCTGGGGTCAAATACTCAAGGTCTCTCGGCGGTATCTTCGTGAATGTATGCCAGAAAACTGGATGGGATCGCTTCCTCTCCATTTAATGAGCCATTGACCCATTCTTTTGCTGAGCCTGTGCTAACTTGTGAATGGTGTCTTCTCCCAGTGTAGGGAAAGCTTTTTGTTGGAAACGTCCGCGTTCTTTGTACATCTAAAAGCTCTTGCTCCCTCGTCCCTCCCGCAATCTCTCTCCCTCCCTGTGAGTCTGTTGCCAAAGGGCCATGCGCCCCAAACATCAACATCACATCGCACCATTCCATCGCCACGGCGATGACCAGTCTCTGGCTTCAGCCCTCTTCCGCCGAGCCTCTCTCTTTTTTTTTTTTTTTTTTTTTTTTTTTTTTTTTTTTGGCACATATTTTCTCCTTTTTTCGGCTCATCCCCCTCCTCTTCCTCTCCCCATTCTTCTCCCACACCGTTCCCTGCTTCGTTGCTGCAATCATCATCCGTGAACGTACTCGTCCCCTCGTTCGATCCTGCTTTAGTCTTTGATGTTGGCTCGTTGTCCACGTCTATCTCTCAAGTCTCCGTCGAAAATCTTGCTGATATTGGCCAAAATTTCCGCAGTCAAGGTCTTATTTGGCTTCCTATCCGGTGATATCAACCACTCGGCCGTACGCAATGGCATCGGCTCTGTTCTTCGTGTTCTTGTACGTTCTCACCTTCCTTCAATCGTCAACTCCAGTCAAAGGGATTGAATTACTTTACTGCTCTCCTCTTAATACTGGATCCGACTTCGACACTGGTAAGTCTTTTGAGACGCGTTTTACCCTTGTTCTATGACGTGCAATGGCGATGTTTATACTGACGCTGCTTTCCCCCTGTTATAACAGTTATCAGTGACTTCCAATCAAATGGACGATGCCGTGAAACGTGTATCGGTAAATACTCGTTTGCAATTCTGCAAGGTAAATCTTGCTGGTGTTCGGATGCCGTTCCTGGAGATATCACGGATGTCAGCGACTGCAGCGATAGTTGCCCTGGATACCCCAAGGACAAATGTGGAAGCGTGAGAAAAAGACTCTATGGATACATCCAACTTGACAAAAGACCAACCACCACCATAGCCGGATCGACCACCTCGTTGGTTAGTACCCTTGGACCCGACACAGTTGCCACCCCGAGTTTTATTTCAGGTTCTACTTCCATTTTGATCATTTCGTCGCGTGCTCATTCTTTTGAGACGTTCTTCTCTCTTTCCAGAGAAGTGCCGCTGCCATCAGGGAAACAGGGCACCAGTTCCAATGATATTTCAAGGACAGTTTTAACCACTGTTATACAGACTGGTACCCCCTCCCTATCATCATCATCATCATCATTATCCTCACCTTCATCAACATTGTTTGCAGACCAGGTAACAGTGACTGTTACCCTCACGCAGACTGGGAGCCCCACTACATTTTTCACCTCAACGAAGTCTTCCTTAGTATGAAAGATCTCCCCACTGAGTCCCCCCGGCACGTTCTTTTCCTTTTTCTTTTTTAATTATTTCTGTTATTATTTCGTTTTATTTTGCGATGCTTGGTTGCTTGTTTGGGGATGGAACTGCACCGCGTCTTTTGCTAGAAACTCTTTAACTTGATGGAGACTTGGCTAACATGTGTTTGTTTTACAACTCTAGACCACCAACCCTACCAGCTCCGAGACTAGCAGCGTGTCAACTCAGACTATTCCAGGAGGGATCGCGACGATAACGATCCCAAACAATACTCCTGTTCACACGTCTGACCCTCAGGCTGACAGCTCAAACCTTAACGGAGGCCAGATTGCAGGAATCGTCATCGGTTCTCTGGCTGGCTTTGGTATTATTATTGCATTAATCTTTTTGATCGTCCGCGCCCATCGTCGTAGGGAACGACAGCGATCACAGAGAAACGAGCTTTTTAACCCTTTCCACGAACCGGCAGTCCCAACTCCCGTTTTTCGCCCTCACCTTACTACCGAAAAGCCGCCAGCTCAATCGTTTCTCCGAGTTCCAAACTCTAGAGACACACGCCTCAAAAATGGGATTTACCCAAATGGAAGCCGCCGTAGTAATGTGTCTCTGCAGGATCACCAGGATTATTCTCGACCTGTCTTGCGGGTGAGTGTTGATCAACTACTTTCCACGCCAAAGCTGACCCCGTTGGACTACAGTTAACCAATCCCGACCCCCCAAGCTCTGATTAATTGGCGGATTCTTGATGCGGTTCAGAAGCGCGGCGGCGGGTTCTCGAAACAAGCGTACACGCCACATTCCACCTTTTGATACTTGAAACGAATCTCATTTACGGTTGTTGGCTTCTCTTTTATTACAATGAAACGCATTTCAGCTAGACGGCGTAGCAGCGCAAGCTTCCATATTCGGATTCCCAAGTTAATGGCGATAGTTTTGACTCTCGACTCTATCTCGCACTTTTCAAAATTCCCCACCGGAACGAGATTATCACCTGTTGTTTTTGATGCCTCTAGCCAGGGAGGGTCATCCTAGCATGTTTCCGTGGTCCATCGGAATTTCTTATTCATCGTGATTATTGAAGATCCGTTTATTTTCCTTCCTTCTCTTGTTTCTACATAGAGCATTTGGGCGAGACAAAAACAAAAGAGTTTCTACATTCCGGCGTCGGCGGCATAGTGATAGTGATGGAGGCTCTTCGGGATGCTCTGGAGTGTTTGGTTTATTATTTTATGGTTCATATCTTGTCTTTCACGCCAGGGACCCGGGGGACGCTGGTTTCGATTTACGACGACGCAGCTTTCGGGGCTCTCGTGTCCTGAACCTGTTGCATGTACTCTGATCCGTTTTCCATTGTTGCATCCCATGTTTTCTTCCGAGATTCACAAGCTTTGGTTTTCTTTAACTGTTAAGAGCATTGGAATGGTATGTGAATCTCCTTAAAAGAAAAATGCGACTCCCCTACGTCATAGCATGTCTTCGGTAGTCGATGTGTCATATAGTTGCTAGGGGCAAGGCAGACCCGGCAGTAAAAGGCCTTTCCCACAAGTTTGTTCCTCGAGCATCTCGCGGCCATGACACTGGCAGGCCGGAAGAATTCTGCTCCGTCTCTCTCAACGGTCGTAATAAACCAATGTAACACGGAGTATGAGCATTTCGTACTGCGTGGTTCGAGAGAAGATGCGTTGTGTTCGGAAAAGCCACTGTTGATCTGCCCCACTCGCGAACGACATCACATCCACGAGCCCCAGCCAGCTTCGTCAACTCCTTCTTTTCAGTTGTCCACCTTGTGCTAGCTCTACGATCACCATCGCTTTGACTACCCATGGTCTCCGAATGAGATAATATTGTCCGTTATTATCTCGTCTATTGCTCGATATTAATACAATCTGAAGAAATTTAGCCACCAGCAAGCGAAGTCGGACTATATTTTGACCATCTTCATTCCCCCCTTGCGAATTCTCGCCATGCTGACGAGGAAACCCCCTACAATCATCACTACCCCTGAAAAGCATATCAAGCCCTGGAAGTCGGACTTGTTATGCGAGGCATCCTTGATCGCACCGCTGATGGGTAATCCTGTCAACGACCTGCAGCGACACGCCATTGGTTACCTTTCTCGTTCAAAGCGCGTGATGGTGGAGGGAAGGAGTCAATCTTACGCTATTGCAATCACAAACATGAATGCACCCAGTTTGGGGCCCAGCTCTTCGGATTTACCGTCACAGAGCGTCACCACACACGGCGACATGAGGCTGACAAACCCCCCACTGGCCATACCGTAAACAACGCCAAAGGCGATGATTGCCGCGTTCGTCGGGTGGAAATATACCGGGAGCCAGAATGCGAGGATGGAAATGCCTGATAGGAACGCAACTGAGATCATCACGTTTAGCTGGCCCACGCGATCAGAAATAGCACCCGGGATAATTCTCCCGAAGAATGATGCTGCACTGTTACAGAAAAGAGTGGCCTCAGTTAGGTCTTCTTTTCTCTCTCTTTCTCTGTTCCTTTGGAGAGAGAAGCTGGATACTTACTTGGCGATGGAGATCGTGTACGTTGACAGCATCTTCGAAGCTCCGGCCTTGAGTGCCATCAGAGGTAAGTAATTGATGGGCGCGAACAATCCCCACCTATATCGACCTATCAGCCGGCTTTTAGGTTGAGAAGCGGGAAAGGTTTAACATACATCATCAAAAAGCAGCCCGAGGAATATAGGATCCATGCTAAGCTTTTAAAAGCCTTCGCCCCTGCTAATTTTCGATCCGATTTGCCTTTGGGTGGAATCGGACCGGAAATGCAGAGGTTTCCAATGACCAATACACATGCCATGAGCAATCCAGTCCAGCGAAGAGCGGAAGCGAATCCCACTTGGGCTATCAATCTTGAAACCACGATAGGGAAGATGATACCTCCTATATAATAACCGTGCATATGCGTTAGTCTAGGTTGCTCGGCACTTTTCTACGATAAGCACCAAGGTAGCACCCACCAAGGCTGCTTCCACTCGCAACCAGACCCGTTGCTAGTCCTCGTTTCGTGGAGAACCATTGCCCAACAGCGATTAGTGGCGGTAGGAATGTCGCCGCCGCACCAATACCGTAAACAATTCCCTGCGCAAGCATAATCTGCCAATACTTGTTGCACAAGCTGAGCATAAATATGCCAAAGAGAGCGAGAATCGACGCAGGAAAGATCAATTTCCTCGGTCCCAAAATATCAACGAGCACCCCCACGATGGGGCCAAGAGAAAACATCAAGAAGATCTGAATGGTGACAATCCATGATATTGCTGACGATGTATGATTGGACAGAATATCCGTTTCGTAGTAGAGTTGAAAGATCCCGCATCTAGAATTCTCGTCGTTGTCAGCCAATCGCCGGCTTTCTTATCAATACATACTGGCCCATGCCGGATTTTTGAGACATACGCATTCAAAAACCCAAATGAACAGAACTGACAGCAGAATCCACCCAGGACACACAGCCAGGCACGAATTCCACCGTTTGGCGGTACATACTTGGGAGCCTCTGGTGGTGATTCCGTGCTCTCGGAAGCGGAGTTTGTTTCGCTGATCGGGGAGCCGACCTGTTTCTCCTCCTGGCCCACATCCATTGCGGTTGCCATCTTGTCCATCAACGAACAACAAGTGAAATCAATAGACTTTGAACAGTACACTGCTGCTTGACAAAAGCAAGCTTGCGATTTTCAATTTAGGCGACCTGTGACTAAAATACTAACTTTCTGACCGTGGTACGCGGCCGAGTACGGCCGAGGCGGGAGGCCGCCGTATCGTACGCCGCGCACGCGGACAGCCCCGGTTAGCGCAATACAGCCAAACATGCCTGTTGTGAGAATCTTCGCTGTATTTTTTTGGGGCAAGACTGTAAGCTTGGCTGTATATATATGTTTGTTCGGATCAGAGGTTGGATTCTTCTTGCTGACTTTGCCATAGTTCATCCTGATCTTGCAATTCGCGACGCATGGCCCCAACAACAGAAATCAAATTGTGAACAAGCTATTCTTCTATCTCGTATGGAGTACTCATTCATTTATCCTACTCGCCACCTTTCTTTGTTCTTACAGAGAATATACACCCCCGCGCCAACCGCATTCAAATGGAGACTGGAGCCCCAAGGGGAATTGTCTCCAGGTTGGCTTCCATGAGTGCCGCCGCTCTTCCAACAGTCTCAAGCACTACATGCTGCCACATAATTGTCTTCAGCGAGAAACCGGTGCCCAAATCGAATGCTTCATACTTGCGCTTCTCCCAATCCCCTCTCAACCACGGATCTGCCTCCTCCATGAACTTTCCTACAACCTCCGCCTCCCCAATCCGGCCATCTTCACCTGTGAGCTCGAACGAATAATGCTTATGCTCGGCAAATATTGCTAACGCGATTCGATCCATATTCACGGCCTTGATTATTTGACAATGCTCGAAGTTATCTGGGCATTGATCATCATCATGGACATGAGCCGGAGACTTAATTCTCATATAGTCATCGTAGGTACCATTCAGGCTATTCCCTGATATTACAATATGCGGCTCAACATTTGTTGACGACAACAGCTCTTTGGCCGTTACTTTTGTCAGTTGCCAGCGAACGGGTGATCCAGGATTTTCGGGCAATTCCTGGAACCTGCCTGGTCGTCTGGCTCAGAACGACCTATGAAATAGTTGACGTGAAATCCTTCGACAGGTTAGTGAAACCCTTGAATTGCGAAAACGTCGTTTATATATACTGCGTACCTGATCCACAAAATCGCTTCTCCATGATTAGAATTGGGACTATCGTCTGGGCCCAGAACTGCCGGAGAGCTAGGAATCCGATATAGTTGGGAATCGAAGTCAAGCCTTTGGGGCTGATCCTTGTCGTTTGCTCCAACAATCTAGCAAGGATAATTCCCGTGTTAGCTTGCCAAGATGCTTCATATGATAAGAGTTTCCCGGGGAAGCTTGTTTACCTTGGCAGCTTGTCATCTCCAAACCTGCTGGCTAACAGTTTTAGCCATGAACAGCTAAGTTCGCCAACCCAGTTCTGCATCGACGCAAAATCTTGTTCAAATCGTTTAGGTCCCGTCAGAAGAAGGAACCTTCGATTTGTCGTGTCATGATCCTGTGAGACGAGTCGATCTCTCACGGACAGAGGTAGTTTGGGGTTCAACTCCGCACCCACAACGTGCGTACGTCGACAGAACCGCTTGTATTTAGACAGCATATAGCTGTAAACGATCAGGCGTACCACCTGGGAGAAGTTCGAAGGATCCCAGTTTTCGGGGGAGCCGGGTGTCATCTTTTCCGCAATGGGACGGCTTTTTGAACGGTATGGCGGACATTTTTGTCCTGGCATAGATATGGTGACACCGATTGTGACATTGTGCCGGCGAAACTGCCACGAAATCTGAGGGCTCTCGTGTCCGACTAACGGCGTTGGTTTTCTCGAAACTTGGGATAACTCAGCGATGTACGAGCTGAATCCGTCCTGCCCTAACATCACCGGCTCTTGCCAACCCAATTTCTCCAAAAGCGATTGACGACTCTCCCCACTCTTGCTTAATCCTAAAGATTCAGGGCTCTCGCCAACTTTCGTCAGCCTGCGGCACGTGTTTTTCGCCATTTTTATGAGGTCCTCGAGTTGTCCGATTAATAGTGACACCATCGTTCGAAACAATGAGTTCGTGGGCTCCTTGCGAAGGTGTTGCAGGAGCATCATGATCATGGAAGCACGGAGTTGGCATGAAGTGTCTCCCACATGCGCGTCGAAAGCCATATATCCCGTGGTGGACACATTTCCGTCGTCATCATTATAGAGAGAAAGGAACAAATCCAGTGCGTCTCTTGCATCCGAGGCCGCGCACACCATGTCGGCAAGGAGACTCGGAACATAACAAGCCTTGTGGTTGGTGACCGTGGTGAGTCTGCTATGTTTTCCAACGGGAAAGAGTGCTGTTGCCATGGTGGAGTTTTGAAGGCGAAGATTTCAGGGCAACATTGGCCAACGGTTGTCATGTCTGCAACAGCAACAGTTACTTAAGTACTCTTAAGTTTGCGCCTAGGAAGCCACCGTTAAATCAAGCTTCATGCCTGAGCTTGTCGTCGTCTTTTGCTCCAAATTCGTGATGTGCTTTCGTGTGGGATACGAAGCTTACGGATCCTCCTTAGGCCCTTTACGAGAGCCACAGCGCGCCAATTTCCAATGTCAGAGTGCGGAGTAGCCACGGGTTAAAGGTACCAAGATTGGACCCTACCGGGTTTAACTAAGCTAGGCTTAACATACGGAGTCGTAGAGTTACATGGTGTTGGTATTCCAGCTCTCGAATTTTCCAGCAGGAAGCTTCTGCATAGGATCGACAGCCGCAACCTTTTCTAGCGTGGATGCCCGGTGCATTTCTGTGTAGCTCCCCTATTCCGCGTTTACAGGGTTGAGCGAGTGATACATTTTTTGGGGCCCTACTATTGGCTTTGAATAGCGCCAGTGGATCTGGGGGTGGAGATTTATGGGTTGCTTCGTTTTCCTTGCACGCGTTGTATGTTTAGATGCACTCCGTACGGAGGAGTTCAAGTTGCTGATCTTCAAAAACACGACCTTGTGAATGAATCTAGGGCACATAAGCTGAGCGGCTGGGTGACCGGCCGCTCTCGCTCCGCTTCGGCCGAGCTGCATAAGACAGGGAATTGGGCAGACTCTGTATATTCGCCGAAATTGATCTCTAAATATATATCTTTAGTAACTCTTATGATATGTGTTATAGGAAACGTATTACGCATTAGCAGGAGGCCGTCACACAAAAGAATAGTGCAGGGATAGAATCAGTCAATTCCGTCTGCCACTTCGTACTTTGAAGCTCAAGGGCGTGGGAAAACACGGTCCATGAGGAAGCTCCTGGTGAGAGCTTGTTACTGGGTGATTAGATGATGCTAGAAAAGCGGGCCAACCGCAGCTGATCGGGTCGAGAATGTATGGGACGGAAGAAATACCGTGATTCATATTACAAGTGACGCGGATGGCGATGCAAAAATTCGACATCGCGGCCGACATGCGGACGTACGGACATGTGCGGCCTTGAAACTCTCAGACGGGCCCTCGCCTAAGTTGTATTTATAGAACACCTGCCCCTATAGCTATTTCGACCTCAAATACATCTTTAGCTTCCATAGCCCAGTCAAAATTTGTCGTTATAATGAATGGGACAGCAGTGACACACGGCGGACCGTTGGTCTCGTCCATTGAATTCGTCCTTCTCCATCCATTCCTCCAAGGACAACACAGCTTAATTGCAGCGTTGATCGTGCTAGTGGCCAGTGCCTTTTTCATATTGAATGCGCAAGCACCGAAGATCCCCAACCATTCAATCTACTTCAAGAATAATGAAGGTAAGAAACTCCAGCTGATGGCTGGGGACACGAGATTTCGCAGGTTCCTCAATGGGTAAGCATATATCGAGCATCCGAAAGTCCCAGTCGGAGTGAATCTAGGGTAGCTGACACTTTTATGTTTCACATTGCAGCAAAGATATGTCCGAAGAGGGTTCCGTCAAGTTCGGACAAGACCCATTTATGGTGAAGAATGGAAGGAGGATGGAGCTAGTTATCTCAACCCCAGAGCAGGTTACAGATTTTCTTGCTAAAGATAAAACGGGTATATTTGTCCCTGTCCTATTTGGAGGAAAACATCTGCTAACAGCGACAACTGGTAAATAGACCATATGAAGCGGTCTGATTGCAACTTGGGGGACTATTTTGTACGGTAGGGAAATCCTCGGTGTCCACGGAGCCTTGTTGTTAGAGGTAATGGTCATTAACAACTGTGGACTTTAGGACATTGGGTAGCCGTGTCGGTGTAAAGAGCGGAGAGAAGTGGAGGACTGCTCGGCACCATCTGGAACCCCATTTCTCCTTCCCCACGGCGGCATCGATGCTCTCAAATTGTCGTGAGATGATTCTCAACTGGGCTCAAAACCTAGCCGATGATCCCATGGTTACTTCAAAAACGAGAAATGGTTTCGATTTTGATGCTGTTTCAACTTGTCGTCAGCTTCCGTTCCGGATGATTGCATTGGCACTGTACAAAGATATGCTCACTGAAGATGTAGGTTCGCCTCTTTGCTGACGCTTGTTCTGTTCCCAGTCATCACGCAGCTAATACATCTCTTCCTATAGATGTTTGAAAATTATGGGCATTGAATGCATTGCATGAAAAAGTCACAAATATCGCCTTCTTTAGCAAATGGCCAACAAAGAGCTTTTACCGCTGGCTGCCAACAGAAGCAAACTCTCTGTTGAGTGAGTATGAACAAGAATGGGAAACCCTCAACCTCAAGACTATCATGGAGGCAAGAAAGGTAAAAAACAAAAAAGAAAAGAAAAGAAAGCAATTCATTCTCGTATGATTGTAAGAATGGTTCTAACAAATTATTTCAAATAAAGACCGGGAAATCTTGTCCTGCTGAAGTTATGTATCAAGGAGTGGAAGCTGGGGAGCTCACATTGGACACAGTAAGTTATGCACAACCTGCAAACTGTGAAAGTACTGACACCTCGGACCGGACAGTATATGCAATCATTGGACGAAATCCTTTTCACAAATATTGATGTGACCTCGGCCATGATGGGCTACGCATTGATCAGCGTTGCGAAAAATTTGGAGGTCCAAGAGTCCCTTCGTTCCGAGATATTGACTGTCGGCAAAAGTGCCGCAGAGATTGCTGAGTATACGCGAAAAGAAGATACGATACTTCACAAGACATACTTGGAAGTACTCCGAAATAACCCCCCAACATGTAAGTTATAAACTTTGGAGATAATCTTGGAACAAAAGTTCCAAAAAGGGCTCACAGCGTACAACAGGGTACTCCCTCCCCGAGCTTACGGCTATAGATAAGCGAATTGGGGGCTATCTAATTCCCGCCGGAACCGCTGTTGTGTTAGATCTTCAACGACTGAACAAAGATTCACCCGTTTGGCAACCGGACGGTAGCGAATTCCGTCCTGGACGCTGGGACTCGATTTCAGCAGTCGCAGCGCGGTACAGTCTCCACGGCTATGGCATGGGACCCCGGAAGTGTTTAGGCAAGAACTTTGCCAACATAATCATTAAGCTTCTTCTAGTCGCAACACTGGAAGAGTTCACGCTTAGCGCGGGAACCCACGAGACCAAGCTGAGAAAAGATAGGTTCACTCGTACGCCAGATGATGTGGTCTCATTTCAGCTGCGAAGGAGTGGATCTAAGTGAATGTATCAGTGAGGCTTCTATTAGGAATTTATAGCATCCCTCAGCACTGAAATACATCAAGAAACTGGGATTAAGTCAGGACATCTCCACTCCGTAGTTAATGTATGATAATCATATAGTTGATGGTATTAAGATCAAGGGTGGCAATTTGGGGATTGCCTTAAAAAATATCAAGAAAATCCATGCTACTTCCGAAATCCATGTTTTGATATGCTGACAAAGCATTGAATGCATTTGTCATGTCCAAGTCGGGAATCGACAAAGACTCAGGCATAGCGTTGTTGTCGAACACCGTGCCAATAGATAGGCGGGCTCGAACTCGAGTTCTTAGACACTGTAGGAATGTCCAAAGCTTTTCCTCAACGGTGCCACTTTTGGAGGGGCGAGCTGGTTCCATTGCGACGTTATCAATTGCAGCCCATGCCTGCATGCACAATGTTTGGGTCTCAGTGTCAAGCTGTGCAATGTCAGTAGTCGAGAGTTCATTGAGGATATGCAGCATAGCATGGAATTGCGAATGCCTGCGCGTATGCCACTCGAACTGGTGGACAAGGGGATCAGCGAGGGCAGTTTGGTACATATTAATCAGATTAACTGCCGAACTCATGGCCCTAAAATATTCTAATTAGAATTCCTTTGGAAGAGCGTTCAAACGGATATCTGCTTACTGTTGGCGCGCTGAATTCCAGGAACGATCGTCCCTTGATGGTTCGGTTTCTTTCAGGAATCGGTGATAGAATAAGAGCCGAACTTTGTATTCAGTTAATTTTCCAAGCACCAGTGTGTATTTTTGGAATCCTTCATCTTTAATGCAATAGCGTAGATGGGATTTCTCATTGCGCTGCACCATCTCTTCAATAATGGCTTCCATGCGAGGGGCAACGGTGCTCTGCGCATCTTTGCTTTCTGCCCGGATATCTTCCACCTTTAGAGAGGTCAGACGTCGGAGGCATAATGACGTATTGAAGCGAACAAGCTGCATAGTCATTTCAGTCACTCGTCCACGGTCTTCAGCTAATTCGGGACTTTGATCCAACAAAGCGTTCCCTGCAAAAATCTCCGTGTCATCAAGATTTGTCGGCAAGGCAGTCCCGACGTTTTTTGGCCAAGATTCTAGAGGAAGTGGTTCCGGATCGACACCATGTGCTTCGCTAACCATCAAATCTAGACTTTATCGAGTCAATGGGAAGGATGGCATAAACTGGCTGTGAAGCAATTGACATACTGCAAAATTAGATGCCAAAGCCGTCGGCGCCTCTCAACATCAATAGGCCCCATAATGGCCGGGGTATGATTTCCTTGCCGTCTGTTTTTCCCTGCTATAAGAACCAATGCTTCAGGATCCATGTGGAGTGCAAGGGTGCGCGAAACCCTCATGAGAACACCAGTGAGAGCGTATAGGGACGGGACATCGGCTTCCGCGCAGCTTACAAACTATACATATTGGGTTAATGAGCCACTAGACATTTTTAGCGCGTCGAAGCTTACCAGAAACAAGCAACACGCTGTGACTGAGTTAAGAGTCGGCTTCTCGAGGATTTGAGATCTCAAGAGACTTTGTTCCAATGCAAAAGAGAATATTCGCAAGTATGAATGTTTCGTCTGCCTTTCGTCCTGAACTATTGACCGGCGAACATCGTCATTCAAGTCCCCAACATAGTTATTGACTTGGGAAAACTGCAAGAATTCTTCCTCCGATAGACTGTTCAGAGCACCATAAAACACTGCGAAGAGAAGGGCCTCAAATGCAGCTGCTGTCCTGGTATTCTTCCAATCTTCTTGTTGAGATTCACTGGGGGATGTTCCGAGTTTTGCGGGATTGAAGTAATACGCCCTCATATCCGTCTCAAACGTAGGTTTATGGATTATACGAGTGATGGGGTCAACTCGACTGCGAAAAATTGCGTACAACCTCTCTGCTCCTTGAAATTCCGGAAGGCAATCGCGTGGTTGGAAGTTTGGATCTGGCGGTGCAAACAAGAAAGACGGAGTTAACCCGGGGGTCGTGGTTTCGCACGTTGCATCGACACCGTCATCTTGGTCATGGCCTTCTAAAAGAAGTTCCAAGTCCCTATGCTTTTCTTTAGTTTAGCACATTGGTGTGATAATTCTGAGAAGAGACTGGTCTTACCTGAGCTGCCAATTTTCTCCAATAGGAACCCACCATGTGCCTGGGTTCGCTATCTATGATGAGCAAGTCTCCCAAGTCCGAAATGACGCCTTCGGACACATCTCTTGAACCCGATGGAAGCGTCTCGGATTCTGGTGGAGTATTAGTAGAAGAAACGGCAGCCAGGCCGCCGCAATGGGCCACCAGCTTGGAGACTAACGACTCCAATTGGCTGACTCTATTTCGAAGCTCATCATGGCCCTGAAGGGATTGTGACGAGTTAGCTGGACTTTTATCAAGCGTGCTGTAGCCTGATGCGCCAGCGACTGTATTGAGGTATTCACATTCGTATCCGTAGCGGATACAGTTCTGGCAATGGGGCCTTTCACGCCCGCAGCGGATTTTTCGCCGGCGACATCTGAGGCATGACGTGACAGTTCGTTTGGAAGTAGCCATATCTCCGATATGGGCCATTTTACACTGACAACAGCTGTTCTTTCGTCCTGGCAGCCGGTGCGCTTCAGTTCTGCAGCGGTTTCAATGTGCAAGCGGCGTTTTGGCTTATCTTGTCGAGCACTGTTCGGCTCTCGTATCCTGCAGACAGTGCAGATGTCTGCATTAGTCATGCCCTGCAGCGTTGACAAACCCGCTAGTCACTCAGGATCAATCGGCTGTCCAACTGTTGAAAGTTGAACTGAGCAGCCCGAGGAATGCCGATCTGCCGTATGCATAGATTGGGTTTTCATCGACTCTACTCTATAGTGCTTCTCCATTTGGATCTTCTGTACTCCGTACTTCCATCATTAAGTTACTCGTCGGAGAACTCCTCCGTCCCCCTTAGTGGGAGGTCGAGCACCCGCCGTTGCGGCGATACCTAGTTATCGGGCTCTGCGGCCCGAACTTGTCCCACACGAACCTTCTTGGGCATCATCAAGCATGAAAGTAAGCAGCAGGAATTAGTGATGAAGAGTCCAAACCTTATACCATTCCCTAGTTAACTAACATGCAGCTGGAGTAAAATTGACTTTATCACAGGTAATGTCATATATAGGAAGGCCAGAAGGTATCATGGCGCCAAAGAATATTAAGTGAATCATCCGACGTAAAGCCTGAAAAGTATCACATAACAAGCAGCAAGTGTGTGACAACCAAATATGCGAAAAGAGTTGCGAAGTCGTCATAATCCAACCTCCCTCATCGGGAGCAGATGGTCGCAGAAGATCGAAACATAGCCGCCCATTTGTAGTACATACATACGATCCTATATACGGAGAATGGGCAATATGTCCTTGCAAGAACATACCGGTTCACCACCTACGGCCCCGGTAACCTCTCCGACCAGGCCCGGTTATCACGTCATCGTCCGAGTAGAATTCCTCCTCTACTTCCCTTGTTGTTCGATCCACCAGCACTGTTGTCGGATGTTGAGTGGTGGCCGGGAGAGCTGGTGGTTGAGATTTCACAGCACGCTCGGTTTGGAAATCTCGAATCCGTTCACGCTGAGCACGTCTACAGTCTTCTGAGATTCGAACAAGGTGGGCAACATCATCCTATGGGTCGTTAGTATGGATAGACCAAATCATTGAAGCTAATATCATTAATAAAATGGACGGATTGTCTTGAAACCTACATATCGTAAATAAGAAAAGACGTAGTAGATATCTTCCGTCTCCTCGTAGTCATAGGCTGCCTTCTCAATTGCCTTTTTGGCAACCAAATCCTTCGTTATCTCTGTCCAAAGCCTATCCTTCTTGTTCTTGACCCTCATATAGCGCTTGCCAACGTTTAGCCTCTCGAAATCCGCGTCATACTCTTCTCCGTCAGCACTGAATTTTGATCTTCGAGCGCCGTTATATCGCTGCCATATGATTTCTTGGCTTACACCTCCCACGCCGTCCAGAGTTACTCTTTTGGTCCCGGGAGGTACATCTATCATGCTCCAATCCTTTGTTGCTCCATTGTATGCTTCACCAATGGTTGCACCAGCAGTGTGGTGACGATAATAATAGTCGGCTTCCGTCATAATGTCGGCGCTCTCACGATGGTCTTGAGCGTTTTCACGGTCACGAATGACTAGGACATCCTGCTCACAATCTTGACCAGCTCTACGGTTCTTCGAGTGCGATAACATCACTTCATCTCTTTCATTTCGACTTCGTTGGGATAGAGATGGCTCATAATCATATTCTCGGCGATGGATGACCTCCGAGGCTGCTGGTTGTAGCGAGCGTACTATCACGCATATTCAAAGAAACCTACGGTTGTTTGGCAGCGCCAGTCCGCCTTTAATTCATGCTGGCCAGCCTAGAAGTATTACGCCTCCGATGCTTGACGCCCTTTGTGATCATCTCATTAAAAAACCCAGCCTCTATGTTGATGAGATGGTTGTCTTCCTTCAGGACGAATTTGATATATTAACATCAACAGCTAGCATCAAAAGGGCGCTCTGTCGCGCGAATTGGACCAAAAAGAAAGCTCAACAGAGAGCAAAAGAGCAGAACCCTGATCTACACAATTTCTATCTGCATAGACTGTCCAAATTTAGTTCATATCATCTGGTCTACATTGATGAATCTGGATGTGATAAACAGATAGGATTTAGGCACAGTGGTTGGTCTCCACTGGGCGTGACACCAGTCCAAGTGTCGAGGTTCCACAGGGGCCAACATTATCAGATACTGCCTGCCTATACCCAGAATGGCATCCTCCTTTCTCATGTCTTTACTGGTTCAACTGATGCAGCTTTCTTCAAAGATTTTATTGGGCAGCTGCTCCAGCACTGTGGGCAGTGGCCAGAACCAAACTCTGTCCTTGTGATGGATAATGCATCATTCCACCACTCAGCTAGGATAAAGCAGATGTGCTTTGATGCAGGAGTGAAACTACTATATTTGCCGCCCTACTCACCTGATCTGAACCCAATAGAGGAATTCTTTGCTGAGTTGAAAGCTTATATCAAGAAGAACTGGTAATTATATGAGGAGAATCCTGACCAGGGTTTCAGCGTTTTCCTTCAGCAATGTATTGATGTTGTTGGAGCAAAAAAAGAGTGCCGCAGGCCACTTTCGAAGTGCTGGGATATCAATTGAGCAGTGCGGTTTTGAATAGGATACTTTTATTATCTTTGATTATGACAAGACCTGTGGCATCAAGTTATATATAAACATAATATCTATCGCGATGCTGTGGATTTTCTCATAAGTCTTCGGCATTCGTTACATTGGCAGGTGTTTCCCTCCTCGGAATTAAATCGGTTGACAGCTGCACGCTTTACAATAATACAATTAACTGCTACCTATCCTATTTACCAGCAAGACTGCCTCGGCCAGCCGTCAGAAGACAGCCAATGTCCTCAACCAACCACCAAGTCGTAGGCTCAACAGACGTCCTAAATTTGTTGACCCGTCTTCTTCCACCTTGACATCTTCCATATCTCGAAGGATATTCTCTATGTACTCCCCTGCGTCACTGAGTTTGAGAATAAGAGCAATCGCACGGTGAACTTTGAGTAGTCGAGGGGAAGGGGGTTCGATAGTACGGCTCGGGCTAAGGGTAAGCGTACGAGTAATGGGAAGTAATCGATCACGAAGAATAGGGTCCCTTTCTGTCGATCTAATTATGTACCGGTTGTGCACCCCTTCTATAGGCTCGAAATATATTTCAAATTCACCGAGTAGCCGATGATAGTGATGGGTTAACGTCAGGGCATTTTTTGGACTGTCAATATCTTGGCCCTCAATAAGGTGAGTGATTCCGGGTTCGAACATAGACAAGATTTGGATTACGTTCTTCTTCGAGTCACTCTAGGAGTCAATGTCAGTAGGGCCGAGTGTGCTCTTATAATAGGATGTTCATACCAATTCTGTATTTCCTGACGCCATAGAGTTTAGCGAATGAGGAAGTATGTGAGCAACTTCTAGATACTCGAAGTCATCAGGTTCGTTTCGAAGAAGTTCTCCGTCATCATCTTTGCTCTCAATCCCATCTTGCTTTATTCGCCGCTGGGCTTCTTTCCTATCAAACCGATGGGTGACGACACAACGATGATGGTCGCGGATAAGACAACTCTGTCGGAGGATAGACACGCGCTGCGTTATACCTGTTGGTGTGGACGCCTGCATTGAGGAGAGTGAAATGGGTGTCGGCTGAGGTGTCTTCACCGACGAAGCCCTGACTGAACAGGTTGAATTAACCAGTTTTATCAGCCATAAATGATATGTACTATAATGAACTTACGTGGAGTAAAAAAATTATCAACCACGTAGTTGGCAAAAAGCTCGACAGCGCTCCGAACTTCATTTTTCTTGTCTGTATCAAACGAGGAGAACCCATCGAGATAAGCTAACGCAAGAGATATATCAGGCTCGACAGTATTCCCATCCAGATGTTCGTGAATATACAAAATGAAGAAGTTCAGGAAGGCATCCTTGGATTGCGCATGCACATGTTCGAATGTTGCGTTGATTAGCATCGCGGGCATGTAACCCCTCCGTCCCGGTTTTTCTACGCCATAATCCTCAATCAGCTTATTGAGAATGCCACTTGCTGCCTTATTTTGTTGCGAAGTTAAGGAAAAGGGCTCTGAAAAATCCAGGAACCCTTCTAATGATGACTTGTGTCGATGGAAAGCCATTGTCGATGGGTTTGCGCATCAATATTGTGGGGCTCTTTGACTGTAGCTGGTGGTCTAGGGTGGCCGAATACTAGCTACTGTGGAACACGTGGTGAGCTAGGCCGGATTAGGGAGAAGTCTTGGCACATGCCAAGGCTGACCTCCAACAGAAGGTAATATAATTGCCTAGCGGCGCTACAAAATCTCTCCATGCGCAGAGCTTTCAATACAGCAAATTCCAATTAGGATGATGTATGGCCAGCCATACTTAGTCTTCTACTCTATCCTGATGGTATTCTCTCTGCGGCATATCTGTGCCCACATGTGCAACCCATTCGCGGATGTCCCGAACCAGCTCAAGGTCGAGATGATGTGCCAGTGTTACGTCGCATGCTTTTCTGAAATCAGCTTTGTATGTCTCGTCATTCACCTTCGATTCCAGCCACTTGCAGTAATCCCTCACAGATATATCTCGCAGTCCTGGTATCACCAGACGCTCGTTAGAAGCTGAAGGTTTGAGTGACGTAGCCGCAGACGCACTCGATGTCTGTGCTGGCAAAACATTGATGCTGATTGGAGGGTATGGCACTCCTGTCTCAGGTAAGCTACTGGCATTTTTATACCTCTTATCTGCCTGGTGTCGATTCTCCCGGTACAGGTCCCGACGGATGCCACCAGGGACGTCATCATGACCCTCTAGAGTACCGCCATCTTTGACATACTCAACAAGCCGTGCCAGATGAGAGGACTTTAGTTTGTAATGCTGTTTGTCACTGGGGTCTTCCCAGCACCAAGAAGACTGGCATGAGCGCGCCTCACATCGCATACGCTCATAGACAAACCTCCAGTCCGATGGCCGTCCAGTGCTGTTTTCTTCAGCATCAATTTGTGCGTCACGTTCGGTAAGCATCCTTCTAGTCGCTGATACCCGGCTTCTTTTGTCGACCTGTCTTCCCATAGTCATTTCGCCACTATCATCACGCTCATAGTTGAAGGAAATGACGACTCTAAGTTTCTTGCCCATGCGAAGCAGATTGCTCCACCTCCGGAGCTGCCTCTCCACCGGTGTCCAGTCAATGTTCGTAGAGTTATAGTGCTTTTCAAGGTTATTCTGTGAACGATCATTTACAGATACAACAGTCTGTACCATCCGATCGAACCCGCTGATTACGCCTTTTCACGTGTAACGAACTTTCCATCTTTGGCTTCAGAATCTCCGTCCAGTAATCGCTAGGTGTAACAACCAAGTCCTGCTCAGTATCTCTGCACACAGATTTACGGTTGAGTACGATTTTCCACGCGATTGTGTAGCAAATATATCTTGGCGGATTCTCTTCGTATTCGCCTTCCTGGTCCCATCCAGCCAATGGGAGAAAGCCGAGCTGATCTGTTTCCTGCAAGGTAGGGTGCGGGGAGGGACTGAAGGAATATTGGGTTGACGGCGTGCCACCAAAATGCCCTGGGGTGGGGGCGTCATATAGGCTTTCATCCCATGGAACAAGCGTCTGTGCCTGAGAGGTGGTATCAAGGTCGAAGACGCTGTTCGTCATTGTCGGATGAAGTGGCACCGGCAAACCTAGCATTTGTCGTGAGATATTAGCCTGAAATCTACGGAATCAGACATGAATGGCAAGTGGGAAGGGTTTGTTTGAGTAGAACAAGTACTGTACTGTGGATTCTGGCTCTCCTGCTTGCCTCTGCAGAAGCTCCTGAAAATGTTTTGTCTCTTCCAGTGTAACTCAATGAACGTTGAAGATAGGAAGCCGGAATGGGCACAATAGCAGATTGCCAGATCAAACTGTTGCCAAGCTTTCACCATATGCATGGAACCTTCAACCTTGTATATACCATACGTGTACGGAGTACGGAGTATTGTACTCCGTATTATTTTTGATACAATACGTGAACAGAACATTGTTCATTCCAGAAATAGACCATGTCAAGGAACTAACTTTATATGGCTAGAAATCTTACATAATTAGGGTTGGAAACCAAACATGAAATGCGGTCATATGGAATCCAATTTCGAACGCTACTTGTAATTAAAAATATATTGCAAATCTGGAGTCCGGAGCCATCCGTATGCCGGTAGAAGATTGGAATACTTGGTCAACGCAAATGATGTCACTGGTGCTGATCATATTGCTGGCTGGATGACACCAGGCAGGAGACAACGCCGACAGGGGCTCACTCCCCAGAGGTCCACATTCTCGACAATCGAATGTAGAAGCGGACAAGGACTGACTTGTTCTGGAGCCAGTCTTTTGAACAGGTTGGCCTGCTAGACTGGAGCCCTGTTGGCGGCTGGTCCTAGTGATTCCCACCGTTAGTCTCCAAATAGATGTACGATCCAGCTTCAAACGGAATAGCTTGAACAGACAGGGAACTTCTTTCGAATTCTACAAGGCACCAGTGTGGCAATACTGTGGGATCGACAAGCTCATCAGAGCCAGCTGAGATTCACCCGAATGCTAACCGTGTCTGTCGCTTGCCTCTAGACTTGTCAAGACCGCGGTTCGTGTTTTTGTAATGCACCATCCTTCTTTCTTGCAATTGCAAGTCTTTCGCAAAGTGCCAGTCTTCGTGCTCATCGAAACCAGCTTCAGGAATCAACTTTCTACATTTGGAGCATGGAAACATCCCCAATTGCGGCTCGGGAGAACTATCAGTTGATAAAGCACCTTTGGAACCCAGCATAAGACTTTCAGCGGTATGTGTCCCTTCGTCATCTATCCCTGTGTCCAGAGGAGAGTATCGGTCAAAATCATGGTGGAGCTTCAATGTCTTGCTCGGATGCGACTCGCTCGTATTGTCCTCGCCTTCAAGGTGTCGACGAAGGGATACTGGCGTTTTCTTCTCTGTATCCGTGGCGCGCGTGAAAAAGCTGTCGAGGCTTTGGTTTCCAGAAACTCCATCCTCAAATCCGCTCACTGTAAGTGCTAAATTCATGCAGGGCCACATATGGCCCTCGTTGGTAACTTGCTTCAGCAAATCCTTAGCCAAAGCAAACAGTGGTTCTTCGTCGATGGCCATGCCCGTCGGAATAGGAACCTGGCGAGATTTTGTGTGCCCACTATGCCGATGGTGAATAGTTAGAACTTTCGGGCGGCGCTTATGCTCCAGGACGCCTTCTTCAACGAGCCGCCCATATATCTCAGCCGCGAATATTCGTAGCCATTTCTCCGCCTGCTCCAAAGAGTTGATCCCTGGACGGAATGATTTCGTCGATATCATTGATTTGATCTGGGTTCGAGGATTGACCTCACTCCAGTCATTCCCTCGAATAAGTTCGTATAACCACATCCCCGTATCGTCATCCAGCTTTGCTTTAAATTGTTCCAGCGGAACACGCAATAATTCATCCACCTGTTCGGTCTCAAAGGTTGAAGCGATTTGCTTTCCTAATTTGCCACCCAACATCCTGATTTTGGTAAATTTGAAGCCACCAAGGAACTGCTGTATGGCACGATTTCGAACAATTGTCTGCTTATTGGGTTTATTGCAGGCACTCCCTAGCTTGGCCATCATTTTATTCCGCGCAATTCCTGCAGAACACGTGTAACCTAAGCGCTCCCGGATCATAAGACGAACTGACCTGACGATATCTGCTCCAACGAGCATAACCATATCATCCCAATCCGGGTCATCCTCTTCCGTCTCTCCCTCATCTAAGTCGACCAGCTCATCCTCTTTTCCCCAATCTAGCGCCGTAGTAGGTGGGCGTGGTAGGCGCTCACTCATCTGCCTTTTGACCTCCATCTCCTGCAACATCGGATACCTCTCTAGCAGAGTCGCCCACACCAACGCCGACAAATCAATAAAAACCTCATCAATCCCCGCCTTCTCTATCCTCACCATATTTGTCCAATCCTTCTCTTTCTCTTTCACACTTCCTCCACTCTCCGTTCTCCGTTCCCCAAGTCCACACGGATCAATCTTCTCCGCCCACGCAACCAACCCATCCTTAATCGTCCCCAAAATCTTCCTCGACTCCGCCCTATACGGATCCAGCGAAACCTTATCTGTCGCCACATTATGATCACCGTCCTCTCTATACGCCCATTTCCCGCCCTCGCCTTCCCTGAACGTGGCTACGTGCACCGTCATGAGCTGCGGACATCTCGCCTTTGCCTCTTTCGCTGTGATCATCCGCGATATGTTAAACGACCGGGCGGCGTAGTTCACGGCGATCAGGGATTCCCATTGCTGGACGGCGAGGGGTTGGGTGCGCGGAGTGTTGAGTCGGACCATTTCGCATTGGGCGTAGAAGGCGTCGAGGTCGATGTGGGCGACCACGCGGAGGGGTGTGCGAGGGGAGAATGTCCGGAGGAGCTGTAGGTTGCGGTGGGTAAACTGTGAGATGTAGTGGGTGTGCAATGGGGAGGAAGATATGGTGTCCATCGTGGTGGCTGCGGGTAAGGAAGGGTCAATGAGGCCAGTCAAGACTGAAGGTGCCATTATCTCCTGTGTCCGGTGATATCATGTTTGTGGAAGTTTCTCCATATTCTTCATCCTCCCAATCTAGCTTCAACGCGTTTGTGGAAGCGAAATGGTTTGGGACGGGTGAATGTTGTGGGAATACAGGGTGCATGGCGAAATAAATCTCTCCCGGTCTTGCTTGGCTTGTCCAGGCGCCCAAAAGCATCCCTAAGTTCCGGGCAGGCTTGGCTAAGGAATCCCCGAAGAGTGCCAATAGTTTGCAAATCATAGATCTGATCGCGTTTGCAGTATTTTCAAGATCACCTCTACCCTTGACCTATTTTACATTGCTATTTTACATGTGAAAACATTAGAAATACAGAAGAGCCTGCTCAAAGCGTGGAGATAAACTAGTAGTTATACAAAGAGCAAAGAGGAACTCATGCGAGCTGTTCAACCCTCAAATATAGGTTGGCTCAGCTCGACTCCCATATCCCTTGCCATATGTTGCATTTGAGCTTCGATCTCATCCTCCATTCCTCCTCCCCAGCCCAGCATCTGCCGAATCCGATACCAGTAGAACAGTATGTCGGAGCTGAGTAGTACAAATCTAAACACGATGTGCCGACCATAATTCTTTATCTTTTCTAACAGCGGCAAGTCGGCCGATTCGACAAGGGCACGGGAGGCCCATGTGCCCGTGATCTTGATCCGGTTAACTGGTGAGCCTAAGAACTGATTGTTTGCTTGCACGATCCTCATGTTTCGGGATATAAAGATGAGCTCGCGCGGCCATCTGGTCTCGTCGCCAAGAATTTCGCGAACGGCTTTTCGCATCGCCTGCTGCATTTCGTATTGTAATTTGGCTCTGTCCTTCTTGCTTAAACCTTCGAGTGCTTTTGACGTTGTCCTTTCTCCGCCCTGGTATGGCCGGAGAAGGGTGGCGGACGCAAACAAGTCAGCGTTGTTAACGCCCCAATCGTTGACGATCTTGGTAATACTATTGTTATCGAAAGTCAATAGTGCTTTCCAGAGACGTGCGTATTGATGCCGGAAATTAGGCTCCATGTGGACGTAGAGACCGTGATCTATGAGCACAAGCTCGGCCTTGCCGTTGGGCTGGCGGCGGACGAACCAGTTGCCAGGATGAGGATCGCAATGAAGCCAACCCCAAAGGAACATTTGCGCGGAGAACAGATCGACCATTGTCGTCATCACTTCGTTAAGTGAGAGTCCCAAACCACCACGGCCAGCTCTTCCTTTCCAGGACTCCCGTCCTGGCTTTAGTCTCTCAGGAGTAGAAGTACTGTAGGATGGCCGACGAGGTGTCAACTTCGCACCGGGAAGATCCAGAGGTGTTCCATGGCATCCTGGGCTGCCTTGTCGCCAACCTCCCCGCCAAGGTCTCGTTATGGAATCTTTATCCCAAAGTCGAACACCCTCTATCCATTCAGCAGTCATGACTCGCTTAGAACTTAGTTCGCGGTAGACCTTTGGAATGTATACTCTATTTCGGAGCCGCGGCTCGGCCGCGACAAGCTTGGCCATTCGCTCAGCGTTATCGGCCTCATTTTCAAAATCTGTTTCCAAGAAAAGACGCTCACTGACAAAAGGTACCAAGCTGTAGAACGGGATATCAAAAACACGACTATAAACCCATGTAATAATCCTGCAAAACGGTTAGAGAGGTCTCACTCAGGATGGGAAATTTGCATCGGGCGCAGGTTTACTATAGATAATTTAAAAAAAAAAAAATAAAAATAAAAATAAAAAAAAAAAAGAGTTCAAATAAATAAAACAACTCACTTGAAAGCCCACAGATCCCACTTAACTTGCGTCGCAATCTCCTTCTTCTGGATCTTGATAGCAACCTCCCTGCCATCGCTCAACTTCGCCCAGTGTACCTGTGCAACGCTCGCACTCGCCCTCGCCGTCCTCTCCATAACTCCACGGCTCGGATCTCCCGAAAACGATACTCCAAACACCTCTTCAGCGGGCTTTCCGAAATCCTCCTCGATGACGCGCGCCACGTCCTTCCAGTCGTTCTGGGGCGCATCGTCGAACATGCGCGAGAACATCTTTTGGAATTCCGGTGGCAAGATGGCCGATTGCATGGCGATAGCCTGGCCGATCTTCAGGTATAACCCGCCATTGGTGCGGAGGAGTTCAGATAGACGCTCGGCGTTGCGCGCGTGCACTGCGGCTATGGACGAGGCGAGCGGTGGGTTGGGCCGGAAGTTGAGCTTGTAGTCGAGAGCGACCAAGATGCCGAGGGCGAATGTGCGGGCGGTGCGGGTGAGGCATGAGGCGTAGAAGTAGCTGTCAATGGCATATATGGTGCCAACGGAGAGACTGAGGTAGAAGAGGCGACGGAGCCATTTGCGGGTTCGTCGGTAGGTTTTCGCGGCGGTGGGTTTTCCGAGAGAAGAGGGTGGAGGGGGGACAAAAGGCTGGAACTGCTGGCTATGGATGTGCTTTTGGCACTTGGTCGGTTGGAGGCCCAATAGAGAGAGGTTCTGCAGTCGAGATCGCGAGGTCAGATGCAAGCTGGCTTTGGGAGCTCGAAAGCAGCCGCGGATCGAGATGTTTTGGGGCGGCGATCTCAGAGAGTTAGCAGCAAAGATAATGCTCTGGGAAGATCGGAGGCCGGCCGCGAGTGAGCGGGCATAGCTGCAGCCTGCCATAGACCTGGTCCAGCAGAATATCGCGGCTTCCGCCTGTGAGAAATTTCAGTGTCCGATGATGAATTCCCCGCGGGCATCGAATGCGAAATTCTCCCCCAGAGTTCTGCGAATTCTCAGGCAACACCGTCAAGTAACCTCGCTGGCCTGTTGCGTCAGAACCCAAAAAAGCCGCCCGCCAAGCATCCGGCACGCCGCACGGCGGCCGCCCTCGTCCGTCTCGATCCTCTGCTTCTCCACGCCCGATTTGTTTCTCGCTGCGCAAGATTATGACCGCCAGCAGCTCTGCTGGAGAGAAAACCTGACAGGAATCTCAAAGCTCGAAGACAATTCATCATGCAGGCCGCGATGAGAATCAGACCGAGGAAGCTTCGGTCATCCGCTATGAATGACTCGTATTCTGATCACTCCTGATTCGCTCGGTATGAGAAGGATACCAGAAGGGTGAACGAAAGTAGCCTCGGTTGAAGAATAATCAGGAGTGCAACAGCCTCTTCTCCGCCTTCATGGGAGGGCCCTTGGAATGGAGTAACTACTGAGTAGCGGCCCTGATCCATCGGACGATTGCTTTCATCCATCAACTATCAGCCTTTCTTTTATCGATCTGTGCTGCTACAAAAACAGCCTGGATTTACATTTCGTCTTGCGATTTCTGTTCAAAATCAATGAGTTATCTTTATCCTTAATTATCCGGAACAGTCAATCCGCACTGAACACGTTTATCATGGCCCAGGACCCTGAGATCGTTTTGTTCCACTACACCTTCTCGCCATACGCACGGCGAGTGGCCTGGTTTGTTGACCCTGACCTCCGTCTGTTAAATCATTAACGGAGACCAGCTGATTGAACAACGTAACTAAGGTATTTAAATCTACGCGGCATTAGATATTCGCAATGTGTAGGCCAATGGTCCACCCCCCAACTTCTTCTCTCCTCACTCTCTTGAGGATGCAAATGAATACTTGGTGTCCGTTCTTCTGATTAGATGACTGCCAGCTACAACCACCGATCATGCCCCGACCAGACCTTGCGGCTCTGGGCGTCCAGTACCGGAGAATCCCGGTGCTTATGATAGGAAAGGATATTTTCTGTGACTCCAGGCTGATCATACAAAAGCTTGAGGAGCGGTTCCCCGCTGGAAAATTAGGTGCAGACGATGGGGATGGGAAGGCGATCGAGAAGCTAATCGACATATGGACGACGGATGGAGGAGTGTTTGGCAGGGCTGCCCAGCTGATACCCATGAATACTCCTCTCACCTCGGACCCTAAATTCATTGCAGACCGCCTCGAGTTCTCGAATAGAAAACCTCTGTCAAATGATTCTCAGTCGAATCCGCGGGGAGAGGGAATGGTCCACGCCAAGCAGGCATTTGATATTATGGAGACCACTCTCCTTGCCGATGGCAGAGATTGGATCCTGAAGACAGGAAAGCCTACGCTTGCTGATATCCAAGGCGAGTACGACCAGTTTTCCTTGTATCGGTCAGTATTATTGACTGGGTTTGCATGCAGGCGTATGGGTATTCGACTGGATGATTGGGCTCAAAGGAGCCCTTGATCCCGCTCAGATATCAGAACAAACATACCCCATAACCTTTGCGTGGGTTTCTCGTTTCCGGAAGGCCTTGTCTGCAGCTAGGTCCACATCCCCCATGCCCCGAACCTTGACTGGCAAAGAAGCGCTAGACGGGCTCAGCCGGGCAGACTTTGCCGAACCAGAAGGCACTGTTGATCCAGCTGATCCGTTGAAATTGGAAAAGGGCGATGAAGTCCTTGTATTCCCGACAGATACCGGTGTAAACAGGAGAGACAGGGGCCATATTGTAGCTCTTAATGCGCAAGAGGTTGTGTTGCAGCGTAAAACAGCAGACAACCGGTTTGACGTGCGCCTCCATTTCCCTCGGACCAACTTTAGGATCCTTAAAGTTGATAGAATGGAAGGAGGGCGCTTATGAGATTACTCCAAGGCAACAAAGGAAGAATGTGATCTCCAACCCAGGCTCTTCGGTTTTATGATGGGAACCATCGCCCCCACCGCCTTTATTTTCCGCAGTTGAGACTGGATGCCATGGGGTAAATAAGATGCAAGCATAATTGAGAAGAGAACTTAATACAATGAACCATCTGCAGGCAAAGAACCGGGTCAAAAGTGCCGGGATGTATGACGATGAAAGAGGCAAGTTTGTTGCTCTCCCTCCCAAAGAGTATCCCGTAAGACTAGATTGCCACAGGTGGCGTCATGCGTAATATGTATTTCCGCCGGGGGGTACCCAAAGGGCATTTCTACTTGATAGCATATATGCCAGCTCTGCACAGAACCTTCGCGACACGGGCAATTGGATGGTTCGCAGCCGACACGAACTGTACAATGGGCTGTGGAAACCCGAAAGATCATGGAGCCCAGAAATTAAATACCAGATATCTGCAATGACCTAAAGAAAGAGGAGGGGGGAGCGTATTTCCTGTGGTGGCACAGACGTAACGTTGGATCCAAACAGTGGTCAGAAACGAATTGAGCTTTACTTGTAGAGCGTAGCAGCCGGGAACTCGCAGTGGTTATACAGATTCGTCCTAGGCCCGTATCGACATGGGTATAAGTCGATGAAAAGATTGAAACCAAAAAAAAAAAAAAAAGGAAAAATTAAAATTGTAATTATTAAGAAATATAAATGAAAAGAAGAGGTTGAAAAACAAGCAGGAGGGCAGAGTGATGATGCCCAATGCATGTGTGCCTAACCGTCAGAGCCGCTTGCCCAACCACGCAACTCCGAACCCCTGATTGGCCCGTGGAGTCGACCGACACTGCAGGTTTGATTTTCAGCAGGCAGAAACAAAGTGAAAAGATCCATGTGAGAAGGGTGAGAAGCAACTAGTTTCCGACGCTGTGTGTCCCCCTGCCCAAGAGATCCTGTCTGGTGGCATCAGGAGAGGCTGATCCACCCCGCAGGCAGGGCCCATACAGCCAGAGAAAGTACCATATACCGGGCTGGGTCTGCGGGCAGGGCATGAACGGTTGGGTATCAAGGACCTTATCCAAAGGTTCCTTTTTTTTTTTTTTAAAAAAAAAAAAAAAAAAAAAGGGAAAAAGGGTAGCCAGTAGAAAATCACAGGTGGCCCGTGCCTGGATCCTGATGGGAATGGAAGATGCATTGGGTGAAGCAGCCGGGGCATCGGGATTGGCCGCCAGGTCGCGCCAGGAATGCAATCGAGAACAAGGCCCAAAAAGTAGGTCGTCAGCCGTTGGTTTGGCTCGCAGGCTGATCGGGTGGCGAGAAAGATCCTGATAACGTCGTCTCCATCAGCTGCTGAGGGGAAATGCTTTTTGTCGTCGTCGTCGTCGTCGTAGTCTTCGTCTTCTGTCCTTTTTGGCCTCTCACGAACTACTCGGCTGACATAAGCTGGCGCGAGTCCGTGCTTCGCTTAGGCTTCCTCTTTCGTGGCACCAGCCAGGCAGCCCCCGCGCCAGCCAATCGCCCGCCGCCCTGTTGCCCCCATCGCTGGCCCCTCCCCGCGCCCGTCGCCTGCCCCAACCCGCTTTAACCACCGCCCTGCGCTCGCGCACCCAGCCTTCCTCTCCCTCTCCCTCTCTCCCTCTTCCTCCTCCTCCTCTTCTTTTCTCTTCTCGCTCTCTCTCTCTCTATCTTCTCTACCTGAACGTCTGACCACCTGTCCTTTTTCCCTGCTCCTCCCTCTTCTCCCTCATACGTTGTCGACGCTCTGTATTCCCCTCTCTCTCTCTCCTCTCCCTCTCACATCCTTCTTTTCTCGTGGCGCGCCTTAAAAAAGGAAAAAAAAAAAAAGAAATATACATACAAAAATACAAACACGCCTCTACAGCAGATTTGCCCCTTTTACGAGGAGGCAGTGAACAACCAGTGTTGATATTAGGGCTTATTACTCTGTCGTCTTTTTCTCTCTCCTTCTCCAGCTTGATAATATCCGTTCTCTCTCCTCTAGCGAGACGACTGCTCACCCCGTTACCCTGGTTTGACCGAAGGACCACGCTTGATCCCTTCCCTGGACTGGACCATTACCCTTTCGGATCTTAGAAAAGCCTGTTATTCCCTGGATCCATCGTTTTTCCCTCTGGGAAATACACTTGCTCCGTCTTGAGAGCTCAGAATACCTCAGGTCCTTGGTTTCCTTTCGTGGCAGCAGTTGAGCTGTTACCCGCACTGCCAATCAGCCACAGAAAAGCAAATAAAAAAAGCAAAAGAATAAAAAAAGGATCCGATATCTTGCATCCGGGATTTTCACCAGACCAAGTGATTTTTTATTTTTCTATTCGCCCTCAAAACAAACCTGACCTTCAGCGGCCTTACTTGCCATCCAAGCGGAAAAAATACTTGCACGTGGATTTGTCCGTCCTCTTTGCCTCAGGGTCTTACTGGATTTCATTTTGTTTAATCCGTTAAAAGCAAGCAGTGATATTTTGAGATTCAACTCCCCACCAGCAAGAGCATATCATGGCACACTCGGAGCGTCAAAATGAATATTTTATTGAAAAGGACGGCATCAGTCGTGAGGTGATCCAGGCTGACATTTGCCGCTATCTTGGAAATGATGCCCTGGTTAAACCTGGGGTCCACCAGGTCCGCTTTCCCAATCCTCAGAGCCCATCACCCATCCTGCTGGCCTCTTCGTTGCGCTCTTCCACAGCTGACAATTTCGTTGCAGGGGCGCCAAGGATACTTTATTCGTGCCTATCGGAACCTGACTTCTGTATGCTCCTCCTCCTCCTTTGAAATCCCTATCCTACCGTTGTCGATTGGCATATCTGCGTTCCAGGTTCGCACTAACATCGATCTTCTCCTGTGTAGGAAATGATTGCCGATCTCAAGGCCGATTCTGCTCGATGGGAGGCGGAGACATCTCGTAGAGCCGAGAGAGGTCACCCTAGAGGTAATTACTATGATGATGCGAACTTGTCGCAAGGCCCTAACGGGGTTCCAGCTTCCTACAATTCATCTGCTATTCACGAATCCCGCCAGCAAGCAACATATGCTCCCGCTACAACCCAACCATACATGGATGTATATGCTTCAGCGCCAAGTGCCTATCCTCCTCAGGCGAGCGGACCTGGATATGGCCAGTCATTCAACCAACCTTCAGGCTATTCGTCAGATCCAGCACCATATCCCCCTGCACCAACTCAATATGCTCAAGGACAGTCATCAATGCCAGTTGTCACAACTGCAGAGATGCAGTCATCTTATACCTACGCTCCTGGGAATCCTGGCAATCCTTACCCCTATGCTGATAGCCGTGCCGCACCCCGTTATACCGGCCAAGGATATGAGAATGACGGCCCGGATTATGCACCAGTCCCCACTACGGGTATGGGCTATCCGCCCACCACTGCTCCCGACCCTCGGATGATGGACCCAAGATATTCCCCTGAGAGCGTTTATCCGGATCCTAGAGGCCCAGTTAGCAGGCCAATGCAAGCAAGGGAGAGAGATCCTCAACGCCGACCCCGCTAATATATTACCTGTTCCAATATGAGATTTGAACTTATTCTGTGTTCTCCAATTCAAAAGGAAAAAAATAAATAAAAAAGTCACATTATACAGTGGCCTCATGGAACAGCCCCAAAGAATGTGGAATTTTTACACTCTCCTTGCAGTCTGCATGGCTAGTTTTTTCTTTGCGGCCCACTCTTTGAATCTCTTAGATCCATGTGCTACACCGATTGTCATGGATCGGGCCTCACTGAGATGAGAATGTGTAAAAATTGGCGTCCACCGACGTCAAAACTGTGCATTGCTTTATTCGCAACGATACAGTGAAGGCCAGATTCTCGACGCGCTATTGGAGTGGAGCTTAATTCATATCTCTTCCCGTGGACTACTGTTACTTATTCCTGGATTCGGCGCGTTACGGGCTGGTTTGGGGGTGTTGGCGGAAAAAGGCGGCTTCGTGTATGAACCTGGATCCTCCAGTGATGTTATTGGAAAAAAAAAAAAAAAAAAAAAAAAAAAATGCCTGGCTGTTCCAAGCTCTTCTGTGAAAGCAATGTACAGGGATTAATATCTGCTTTATGTTTTTTTTTCCTCTTCTCTTTTCGTTCTTTTGTCCCTTTTAAAAAATTCATGTTGCATCACTGCCTTTGTTACCTCCATGCTGGACTGGACATCTGTACCGAAGACTCCTCCCTATCTCGCTTCTGCTTTGGGAAATCTGCATCTTGGAGCCAGGCTGTCTGTTTTCATAAAGAAGGCGAGGCTATTAATGCTTAGATAATGCATGAGAGGCGTTCATAAACAGGTTAAAATGATAATATGACCTTTATGCTTTTTATATCCAAGATGACAGCTCAACGGCTTGGGAACCAGGTCCATTGATAGAATTTGAGAGCATATGCTATCTCTTGAATGCTGCGTTTTGCAAAATCTCGGCTGCAGAGGGAGCTTCAATTGACATCTCTAGACCCAACTACCTCAGAGTACAGGTCGATGGTACCCCGTTCACGTCGACTCTCTGTGCTGCACGTTACGTAGCTCGACTCACATTACTGCTAATGCCCACAACGACAAGTCGTCAATTCCGAAAACGTGACAGACCTTTACACCTTTTACCGGATATGAAATTTTTTACGCCTTTTTTTTAAAAAAAAAATTTCGCCATCGCCGCGCGCGATAATGGCGTCGTCGAACATTTCGCTAAACTCTATAGATATAAAAATAAAGAGGAAACAGTTATGCATTTATGTACATACATGCGATACAACGTAAAGGGAAAGGCAAGAGAAGGCTTCCAAAAAAAAAAAAATCAAACTCTTCTGCGGGCATTTTATTCTCTTTTTATTCTCCCTTTTTCCTTTTCTTCCTGTTTCCAGGTCTGTAAGAAATGATACACCACACATTGCGCTCGTGGTATCGAAGGTGCAGCGCATTTCAAGGCCCTGAAAGGATTAAGGGATTGCCGTAGCGGAATGAGCGATAATTGGGTAGGACTCCGTAACTGCGAGATTTGAGAGACAGAGCTTACAGTAGCAGCTCCAGTGTTATCGTAATTTTATTTTATTTTATTTTATTTTTTTGGAAGGTCGGCGGGGAATGTACAATGAGGCTTCGGTTACTCGTCGTCGTAACCTTGTGGTATCTTTCTCGGGCCGGGGGGAACTAGAGCGCGACAAGTGGGATAATGTTAGCTTGCTACTGTTCTGAATCATGATGCGCACAATGCCTAGTTCCCGAGGAACGGGCGGATAATTGGGGAAAAAAAATTGGAGAAGGCGAAGGGTGCCAGGGTTCTCAGGCTAAAGTGATGTGCTCTGAGGTGAAGGTGAAAAGGAAAGAGGCAATACGCACTCGGATAACTCATGGGCACGGGCGCAGGATCAACGTCTCCAAAGTATCGTCTAATTGGAGGTAAAGCAACCAATGCGACAGGACCCAGTGAGCCCATCAAGATGGAGTAGAAGATAGCCGGTCTCTCGTTCGCTGCCCAGCGCATGTAGCGGAGGGGTGTGGACCAGAATACTGGCTTGGACATGGCTACAACCTGGATGTGCGGTATTTCGAAGGCCTCAATTGAGTCGGGAAAGTGTGTATTCGGGGGGGGGTTATATCGCCGGATAGACAAAGCAATTGGGTGTTGAGGGCAAGGAGACGTTCGGCCGGTTAAGGTCTCGGAGCGATGGTGGTGATGAAGGGTTGTGCCCGCAACGGGACTGGATGTGATGCTGCTGGGTCTTGGCATGTTGGACTGGGTTCCAAACACGTAGCTTCATTCCACGCCCCAACACTCAATCAGTCACCTCCGGATTCATGTTATTGCCAAACATACGATAAGAGAGCCACCGAGCAGTTGGCAAATCTGCCCGTTAGTCTTTCCTCCTCTGCATTGCCCGCGCGCACGGGTTAAATGCCAGTATGCGGTGGTTTCTTTCCTTGCTTGTCCTTGGGATATACTATGGAGCTGTTCAAGCGTTAAGTAGCTCTGGCAGCCGATTACTGGTGATTCAGGAGGAGTCTTCTGAAAAGCCCTTATATTCTACATTTTGGGCTGACCTTGAAAGTGCGTATTTGGTTGCTGCTGCTGAGCGGTATATCTGTCTGACCAGGTCTAACCCGGATGTGCGTAATTAGGTCGGGGCTACTCAATAACCTTTACAACTCCAAAGGACGAGAAGCTCTCGCTTTTCCAGTATGGCGTTAGGGCATATGACCACCTCTTGGTCCTACCCCCGAAATCCAAAGGTAGTGTTTCAAGGGCCTCTTCAATTCGAACGGGCTTTAAAACTAATATGAAGTCTAGGACTTGGGCCGGCTTTGACGCCCAAGGCTCTCCTCGACTTTGTCAATGACGAAGGAAACATCATTCTCGCCCTTTCTGGAGGCTCGCCGACTCCCAGTTCCATAACATCCCTCCTCCTCGAGCTCGACATAAGCCTTTCTCCCGATCGGGCCCCCGTAGTCGCGGACCATTTCAATTATGATACAGTGTCCTCCGCCGATTTCCATGACACCCTACTCATTTCCCAACCTGGAAAACTGCGCCCAGGGGTGAAAAACTATTTTGCTGGTGATGGGATTCTCGCATTTCCGAAATCTGCCGGTCAGCTTCTCGGGAACGCCAGTCCTCTACTTGCTCCTATCCTTCAAGCTCCCGAGACGGCATACTCGTATGATGCCAAAGATATAGATGCGCCGGTAGAAGATACTTTTGCAATGGGATCGCAGATTGCTCTCGTCTCCGCTATGCAAGCGAGAAACTCTGCGCGTGTCACTGTTCTGGGTTCGGTTGAGAGCTTGCAGGATAAATGGTTCTCAGCTACCGTTAAAGGACCAAAGGAAGGAAAGGAAAGTAAGACGGCGAATAGGGAGTTTGCGAAGCAGCTTACGGCCTGGACGTTTAAGGAAATTGGTGTCGTCAGAATGCGAAAAATACAGCACTATCTAAGCGAAACGGCCTCCACAAGTCCCGCTCTTCTGAATGATTCTAGCCCGACTATGTATCGGATCAAAAATAATGTGGTATGTTCCCCTATACCTAACCTGTTACGAGTTATCAATAATACTGATTGCTGCAGACCTTCAACATCGAACTCTCGGAGTACGACTACGACCATTGGGTTCCCTTCAAGGTACCTGAAACCGATGCCCTGCAGCTTGAATTCGCAATGCTTTCGCCTTTTCACCGATTGAACCTCAAGCCTATCTATGAGACAGAGAGCGGTGCAGTTTACGGGACCTCTTTTATTCTTCCTGATCAACATGGCATCTTCTCTTTCCGAATTAATTATAAACGTCCTTTCCTCACCAATGTGGTTGAGAAACACGAAGTTACAGTGAGACACTTTGCACACGACGAGTGGCCGCGCAGCTGGGAAATTACTGGTGGTTGGGTCTGGATTGCTGGATTGTGGTCGGTTGTTGGTGGATTCTTGGCCTTTGTTATGGCATGGCTCTATTCGGCTCCGCCGAAGGAAGAAGATCCGGTGAAGAAGAAGCAGTAGATCGGGGTATCACACATTTTTGTTGGGCTGTAAGGATTTATCATGTATAACTTGGGTTCCTTGGATGTATATTTTATGTTATAGGGCGTTGTTTTAACAAAAAAAAAGAAAAATCAGCCTCGAGGGTTCATCCTATCTGTCCCTCAAGGGCAAATAAAGCAAAGAGCAAGAGAGGAATATACTCTAATCGTACAGGTATATACAAGTTATGTCACGGCATATTACGTCAGAAACTAAGGGTTCTTGCAGAGCACTATGCCCGAATGCTCCAACCCCAACGCCTTTCAATAGATCTACCATCAAAACACGAAAAAACGCCATTATGCAATTAGATTTTCTTCGTCCCACACAGAAATCCCCTCCTTTGTCGTTATAATCCCCTTGTCTTCTCCGGATCCATCTGTGCCTCGTCGCCGCTAGTCTGCTTTATAGATTGAACGGCGGGTTTTCCGGCATATAGTTGGGGAACGGGGGTTCTCTTTTCCACGACTTCACCCGTGTCTGCATCGGTTTCTTTCGTAAGTGAAACGGGCGCATTGCCCCGGAATCGTTTGCGCATATCGACCATTCCACGTCTAAGGTTGGACGAATATCAGTTAGCACACGGGGCTGGAAGAAAGTTGCTGCGCGCGCGCAGGGGGTGATGTGTGACGTACTTGCATTCACTGAGACCCTTTCGGAGCTGTTGGCACTTCACGGGGAGTTGGTCAAGATGCGGTTCGCGCAGACATTCACGGGGGGTGTTGCGCTGGACCATGATGCAGTCCGACTCTTGCAGGCATTGGGCTAAGGCCAGTCCTGGATGTGCGGTATTAGCATGCAAGTTTTACCATCTGGGCTTGGGTGATGGCTTAGGCGTACGGATATCTTTGCAGGAACTCGGCATCTTTAAAGTGTATCCAATGAAAGTCTTGTGCTTGGCTCCGACCTCTCTGTCGCAATTTGAAGCCCGCTCGGGTCCGTGAACGCTCGAGGAGATATGCCTCAGCGTCGGCGTGTCTCTGATTGGCCAATCTCTTCAATTCACGTGCTTATTATATAATCAAAGGATTCATGATTATATAAGCAGAATGACGTCAGCGGAGCTAGTTAACTAGTTCAGTCAGTTTGCGCCTCCCCTGGCGCCGGTGCAGCTTCTCTTGAGGTTGCGTCTCGACTGAACCGGGGGTTGGCTTGAAGCAGGACGACATCGCACGCTTCCGGTGCCCAGTTTCCTTTCTTCATGTCTTTTTTGGATTGGGGGTTTTGCTTTGGAGTTGTAGTCGGCTTAATGTATAATAATTCCCGTCAGCATCGCAATGCCTCGCGTTCCTGTTCTTGGCAGGTTATTCTGGTATGTCCTACTCCATATCCCACATGACGGAGTCACTCGGACAGCGCCTTTGTCTGCGTCGTTTCAAGGCGGCAAGTGGATTTCACTGACAGAATATTTGTTCCTAATCTAGGAATGAATACCTTGCGCTCTTTGGGTCGTTGATATTTATTTTTCTTGAAGGGTTTCTACATCTTATAACTTCCTCACTGCGTAAGCATGCATGGCTCCGATAGCTCCTATTGCGTCGAACTACACTTTATGGAGAAGTCTCCTAATGAGTCTGCTAGCTGCACCCATCATTAGCTTCTTTTACAGACAGTCCAAGCGGCTATTCAATATCTTCTCTACACCGCAGGTCCTGGCGAATCAGCAAGAAGTTTCCGTGTCGATAGCAAGAGCCCCTGACTTTGTCGATCTGTGTGCCCTATTCGGGTATGAAGCCGAGGAGCATATTGTCCAAACTGGAGACGGATATTTGCTTGGCTTGCACAGGATATCCTGTCGAAAATCTGAAAGAGGCACCAAAGTAAATAGTGGCGAAGGAAGCATACAGAAACGAGTGGTGTATCTACACCATGGGCTTTTGATGAACAGCGAAGTTTGGGTGTGTCTGACGGACGAGGAGAGATGCCTTCCGTTTCGTTTGGTTGAGCAGGGTTATGATGTGTGGTTGGGCAATAACCGCGGGAACAAGTACTCCAAGAAGTCCACGACTCACTCCCCATCGTCAACTGCGTTCTGGAACTTCTCGATGGACCAATTTGCATTCCATGACATCCCGGACAGCATTGACTATATCTTGTCGGTCACATCACAAACCTCCCTCTCTTACGTCGGCTTTTCGCAAGGAACAGCCCAGGCCTTTGCGACGCTCTCGATTCACCCTGGTTTAAACCAGAAGGTTAACGTATTCATCGGCCTGGCACCTGCAATGTCTCCAGCTGGGCTCCACAATGGTGTTGTCGATTCACTGATTAAGGCTTCTCCCGATGTCCTGTTTCTTGCGTTTGGACGTCGAAGCATCTTGAGCTCGGCGACAATGTGGCAAGCGATACTATACCCGCCTATATTTGTGAGGATTATCGATATGTCCCTTTCGTTGCTTTTCAATTGGAGAGGGACAAATATCAGTCTTGCTCAGAAATTGGCAGCTTATCCTCACTTATACTCTTACACAAGCACGAAATCTGTCGTCCATTGGTTCCAGATTATCCGCAACAGGAGCTTCCAAATGTACGATGACGACGTCGGGCCCACCCTGAATATTGGCGGAGTGGCGCGATATTACAAGCCTGCAAAATTCCCGACGAAGAATATCCGAACGCCAATTGTGTTGGTATACGGTGGCAGCGATAGCTTGGTTGACATTAGCGTAATGCTGAAAGAACTTCCCAACCACACCGTTGCGACGTCGATTCCTCACTATGAGCATCTTGATTTCCTATGGGCAGAAGATGTGAACGAACTGGTCTTCCCTTGGATCTTCGGGGCACTAAGGGACTATGGTCCTGACGTACAAAATTCTTTGGTCGGATCAAAATATGTAAATGGAACAAACCAGATTGACGACTTTGAATAAAGATGACGAGACGCTAGGGCGCCATGTCATAATTCTAACCCAGCAGAATGGCTACCGGCATCAGTGCCACAATGAGGTTCCCCGCCCTGATCTGCTCGCACGGACGTACATGGAGCGTGACGGAAGAACCGGGTCCACCACGATTATCTGGCGCGGGGGTGGTTAATTCGGTGACACGAACCGCAACTACATAGGTATTCCATGCCTGACTCTGTGATCGGCACCGACAAATCCAGATTTATATATAACTATGGCCCTATGTATTCCAAGGTCACTAGAGATACAAGGTGGGTTGGCAAATTGGTAGTTGGAAATGAGGCCGTGGAGAGTATTTCACCCTGCACACATGCATATTCGCGCCCATTCTCTACAGTGTTTTGAGAAACTTGTAGGTCAGTCTTGCATGCTGTATATTTACCAGACAGGCGTGGCCGGTTCACCGCCCTGCTAAGTCAACATACTTCATGGATACCTTATCTTCCTCTCCGTACTAAATACCTGTAGACACATATTGAGGTGATATTTCCTGAGATCCTCGTCTCAAGGTCACGATAAATCTCCCGATATGTTTTGATACGCATTCAAAGTGAGTGGTAAACCAACCTACATGCCATGGCCAGTTACCTCGACATTGTCAGACAGTCCTAGTACATGCTCTGGGAACCTTAACCACTAGAGACCTCATGAGATAGTGATATTCTTTGAGGTATTATTGCAAGCAGTCGGCCCTTTAGTCCATTCGGTCGAAAGGGGACGTCATCAGTGGCTTATGCCGCCTCAAGGGCTTCGAGGCATGATTTCTCGGCCCGAAAAGCTCCTGCATATGATTACAAGAAAGGAGGACGCCCATAAGGCTCTGCTTCGACGCCGATAGGTGCGAATTGTTGCGCAATTCCCCTCTGAAAGACAATTTAATGATCATGAAAGGGAATATTGGACCATTATGCACTTCCATCCGTCCTGGTCTCTATCCCGAAGAGAGAGAAGGGGGAAAAAAAGGTAAGGAGAAGAAAGGCGGAAACCAGGGCCGTGGAAGCTCCCCGGATTAATGGCGACCAATTGCAAGTCTAACATTTAGCTTCTAGTCTTTCTTTTTCCCGTCTTGGACAAGCCAGGACAGCGTTGAAGTGAGATGAGAAGATCGTCCTGAGACGAAAATGCGCGGGAATGGCTTGGTACCGGTGAACGAGTGGTAGCCGGGCTGCCGATAACTGGGCGCGAGCGAGCAGCTGAAAAGGTGCATTGAGTGCAGTTCAGTTGTTGTGCGCCGGGGGTGGTTAAGGTTTGTGTTTGCTCTCTTCAGCTCTCTCCTTCGGCCCCTCGCATCCGACCCGGGAAGTCTTTTTTTTTTTTCGAGGCTAACCAGTTGTTAACTCGTGAAGCCGACCAGTGACAATTCTTCATTGGCCTGGGTAGAAATTTGACGGAGTGTCTTCATGCACTCTCGATCAGACCTTGGATCCTGTGATAGGTGAGGTACCTTCAACTCCCAGTCTGCCTGTCCCGGTTCAATAATCTGCAGCTCGCTTTGATTTGGCCGAGCTCCCCCTTCAACCCTACCAAGCTTGTGGGAAATGGTCGATTCTCGTCCAATGATCGTCCAGATTGCTGATATCTCTGCCGCTGTTTTAGAGTTCACGAGTTTCAGAGCTGTGACCCTTTCTCTCCAGTCGCGCTTATGACCTAACCTGAGCTCCCAGCTCGAGAGCGATCGACGGGCCGTGTCAGAATCATTCTTTGCTTCGACGGCGAGCGTCGCCCAAGAGAGCAAAAAGCCGCTGTCAAAACGGCGGATGATATAACTACTCCCTTTCCTCGTACGACATCAGGTTCAATCCACATGCCTTTTTTTTTTCTTTTTTTTTTCCTTTTCTTCTTCTCCTTCACCATTCCATAACTGACTGCTTAGCTGTTGTCTGCCGCTGAAGGTCGAAATATTTCTCCGACAAGGGAGTTACGAAACCGAAAGCCGTCCCCACTGCCTGGTCCTAGACAGCACTCCCCGCCTCCTTAAGACCTGCTGCTGTGCTACAACCCAGACCCTTGTCTTACCTTCACCTTCAAGGTCCTGTTGACTGGAGCAAACCTCCCGTGGATGATCTGCTTTGCCTCACCTCCTTCCGAACGACCGCTGCAATAGCCCTCTCTAGGCGGCTGGCTGTGAGAAGGAGCTTGTCCGGCGTTGAGATCCGCCTCACCTTTCGTCCTCTGAGGGGGGGAGGAAAAAAAATAATAATAATAATATTTTTTTTTTCTCTTCTACCCCTTCTCACCGTCCCTTTCCTCGTCGCGTTTAAGGCCTTTTACACGGGTTAAAATACAGGGAAATAAGACCCTAGCCATCCCTGCGCAAAAGATCGAAGGTACTTTGGGGCCAACCACAAAAAAGGAATAATAAAAAGACTATTTATTCCTCCCACGCGCGAAATCGACACTCCGCGCACAAACATACGACTGGGATCGAGACAGGGCTTGCCCTCCGGGTTGCTTCGGGGAAAATTGCTGCCCAGTAACTGCTGAGCAAGCTCCGCAAAAAATCATCTACCGAACACTCGGGAATGAACTGCACGCATCATACAACACACCTTGCCTTGTCTCAGTTATTCTTTTTTCGCTGCAATCGGTACACTTTCTCCGCGATTATCTTCCCATCAATTCTGCCATAATTAGTCCGTGCTCATCCGTCCGATCAACGCCGCAATCCTTCCATCCTCTCCCTACCTCCTTACTTCTGCGGTAGTTGGGTTCCGCTATCGACAGATTTGCCCCAGAAAATGGCATCGAATTTAAGGCTCCAGCCGCGGTATGCCATCCTATTTTAAGTGTCTCCTTGCACCTTTGAGTCACTTCTTCTCTCCTACTCCTACCATGTCCTTTCTCCAACGGTTAGCAGCTTGGCTAACGGCTCTCTGGCAAATCAGGCGGGAGTACCACATCGTCGTGCTGGGCGCTGGTAAGTATTCAATTGTTGGATTTAATGCAACTGTGATCTGAGCTTCTTGATAGCTGATAAATATTTGGCTGCATGCTTTAGGCGGTGTCGGGAAGAGCTGTTTAACAGGTACGGGACTTGTGACCCTGTGTCTGACATCCTTATCGTCTCAGAAATCCTTTACCTCCCATTTCTAACCGCCCACTTCAAAAACCATTCGCTATCATCGGCGCCTAATTTGGAATTTCTATAGCACAATTCGTCCAAAATGTGTGGATTGAGAATTACGATCCGACGATCGAAGATTCGTATCGCAAACACCTTGAAGTCGATGTAGGTCCGATTCTTTCTATTCTCCTGCCTTCGCGAGAATTAACCTTCGACCATAGGGACGACAATGTGTTCTAGAAATGTGGGTTAGCCATCTTGGCTCTTTGTGAGCGCTAATCTTTTGCAATATCACGGAGGGCCTCGTGTACCTCTGTCGCTACCCTGGCCTTTTAAGGTGCCCCGGTCATAATTTTGAGAATTAGCTGATGGAATCCAAATGCAGCTTAGATACCGCTGGAACGGAACAATTCAGTAAGTTCCTTGAAGACATTGAAGTTCAGCTAAGTTTCTAGCAAGTATCATGGCTGACTCGTGTGTTTCAGCTGCGATGAGGTACATACCCCTGATTATCAAATCGTTACCAATGCCCATGACTTTGCCATAGGGCTTGAGCGTCACCTGGACTGCTGAAAGGCGAACGGACATAAGCTAACGGAACGCTCGGTTAGGGAGTTATATATGAAGCAGGGTGAAGGGTTTCTCCTAGTGTTTTCGATCACAAGCATGTCCTCCCTCAACGAGCTGGCCGAACTCCGCGAACAAATCATTCGCATAAAGGATGATGAGAACGTTCCTATTGTGATTGTAGGGAATAAATCCGACCTCGAAGAAGACCGTGCGGTTTCGCGGTCAAAGGCCTTTCAGCTCTCACAACAGTGGGGCAATGCTCCGTATTACGAAACTTCAGCGCGGAGGAGAGCTAATGTTGACGAAGCTTTCATTGACCTCTGCCGGCAAATTATACGCAAAGACATCCAAGCAACGAAGGATCGGGACCGAGAACAGAATCCAGCGAGAAGGAAAGATGGCCAGAAGCGAAGCAAAAAACCAACCAGGAAAAAGGGAAAGCGACCCGACTGCGTTATTCTTTGAGAGCACGTCCTGGCTCGTCTTCTATCCTTTTTGGCCTCTCCCCAGTTTGCAACTATTTCTTCCTGTTTCCTTTTTAATTGTCCTTTCTCTTCTCTTCCATTTTTCTTCTTAGACATTTATTCCCCTCTCTTTAGTTCTTCTATATACATGAAGCTCGACGCACATCCGTATCTATTCTCCTTTTTCTTTTCTTTTTTTTTTTTTTTTTTCCAATGGGCCCCAGCCGCATTTGGATTTATCCTTGGATATCCTCCCCGAACCGTTGGGTCGGATTCGCAGGTATATATATATATATTCTGGTCCTTTTATATTCTTTTTGTCAAAAGAAAAAGTTTCCTTGAAAATTCGATCGTTTACTCGTTTGCACTCATCCAAGCCGTACGGGAGATTACTAAAAAATGCTGGTGATGGTTCGCCATGTTTGGAATGCCTGCCTCTGAAATGGATGACTTTGGACTTCCTATGTATATTTCTCTACTGTTTTTCCTCTTGAGGGCTCAATGATGCCGTCATCCCTTTTTTTTTTCTTTCTTAATATACCTTATTTCTTGTTCCTTCTATTTCTTTCTATTCTATATTATTCTACATTCTCCTTTATTTACTGCCGGACCGGTTGTTTTTTCAACATTTTGCAGGAAGACTTCTAGGCTGAGCTCGAATTTCTTCTCTTATCTTTCACACATAGAGCCTCAGCTTCGTTTTCTTGCTCTCTACATTCCATATATCGGGCCGAATCTTGCATCTTTTTTTTTTCTTTTTTTTGGATTCCTTCTGGCGATAATGGTATGAATAGCTTCTAGCATTCGCCTTCTTGGAATATATTTAATAACCTTTCTTCGCTTGATGCACCATAACGCCTATGCCAGGCTCCCTTTGCCACATTACTTCTGATGCAATACTCTTCAGTGTCACATGGAATAACGCCACTGTTTCCCAATACTCTTGCAGCGCAAACCATCCTCGGAAAAAAAACCCATGGTCCTCGGCGAGGTCGTGAGATCATCGTTGAGACCAGACCTTTGGAGAATGAAAAGCCAAAAAATCTCAAAAAACAGGTCGTGTGGGGACAGATGCATGGAGCACTGACTCGTTCTGTTCGTCTGCGCATGACAAGGATGTACATGCAACTCAAACCTGACCAATGGGCCAGTGCACGCCTGAGCGTGCATAAGAGCTTGGTCCTGCATGTTTAATTGGATAGTGGCGATTCGGAAAGCAGAGCTATGCAGAAGCTTGAATCGCCTGCGCGCTGGGGGTGGTGGTGGTGATTCTCACGGAGTCTGCTTTCCGGAAAAGCAAAAAAAAAAAAAAAAAAAAAAAGAAAAAAAAGGAAAAAAGGGTATTTCCCCAATTTATGCACAGAGTAACCTAGCCTCTGGAGAAATTGAGGGGAACTTTAAGCGACCTTTTTTTAAAAGAAAAGAAAAATTATTCGTAGCGTATTTGACGGGAACTTGGATATACATTGGTTTACCCCTTTTGAGTCTACATAAACTGGGGACAACAATTGGAAAATCATAAACAGTTGATAACCGGGGATAAAAACAAAACACCCCCATTCCTCTCATCCCTCCCCTGACCAGATGCCACTATCTATATCATACTACTTCGAAATGTTTACATTCTGAACACACCAAACTTCGTCTTCGCATCTTCGGCCCTTCCACCCATGGAAGCGGCCAAGCTCAGGCCTAGGATCTTGCGTGTGTCCGCTGGTGGGATGACACCGTCATCCCATAACCGCGCAGATGAGAAGGTTGCTTCAGACTCTGCGTCAATGCGAGCCTTGAGGCTGGGATCAGCGGATTTGCCGACAGCAGCCATAACTGAGGAGAGCTGCTCGGAGCCCATGACGCCGATCTTGGCGTTGGGCCACATGTAGAGGAAGCGAGGAGAGTAAGCACGGCCGCTAAACACGTATTAGTTTATTACTTCTTCCGTCCATCTGCTGCATAGGAAGGGAGGTGAAACGGCAAGATAAGTAAGGGGGATATGAGGGCACCGGGGAATTTTCTTTTTTTTTTTGAAAAAAAGAAATGAAAGATGAAAAAAGCAACAAAATAACGTACCACATTCCATAATTTCCGGCGCCGGCACTAGAGCCAAAGACAACGGTGAACTTGGGGACATCCGCACATGCGACTGCGGTAACTAGCTTAGCTCCGTTCTTCGCTATTCCCCCCTTTTCTGCGTCTGCACCGACCATGAAGCCGGAGATATTCTGCAAAAATACCAGTGGAATATTTCTCTGTGCACAGAGCTCGATGAAGTGAGCGCCCTTGAGCGATGATTCAGAGAACAGGATTCCGTTGTTGGCCACGATACCGACTTGGGTGCCGTATATCCTGGCGAAACCGGTGACCAAGGTAGTTCCGTAGTCGCGCTTGAACTCGGCGAATTCGCTGCCGTCGACGATGCGAGCGATGACTTCATGGGCGGGGATCTGGCGGCGGAGATTGGTACCTACGATTCCGGCGAGTTCTGCGGGGTCGTAGAGAGGCTCCTTGAATTGAGCGGACGTGAGAAGAGGGAAGCTGGTTTTGGGATAGTTAAGGTTTGAAATGGACCTGCGAGCGAGGACGAGGGCATGGGCATCGTCGACGGCGAGATAGTCAGTAACTCCGGAGATGGAGCTGTGGAGCTTTCCGCCGCCAAGGTCCTCCGCGGAGACGACTTCGCCCGTTGCGGCTTTGACGAGTGGTGGACCGGCAAGGAAGATGGTTCCCTGATTCTCGACAATGATGGTCTCGTCGCTCATGGCGGGAACATAGGCTCCGCCAGCGGTGCAAGGGCCCATGACGACAGAAATTTGCGGGATGCCCAGGGAGCTCATTCTGGCCTGGTTGAAGAAGATTCGGCCAAAGTGGTCTCTGTCCGGGAAAACGTCCGCCTGATGGGGCAGGTTTGCACCGCCGGAGTCGACGAGGTAGATACATGGTAGCTTATTCTCCTGGGCAATCGCCTGGGCGCGTAGATGCTTCTTCACGGTGATGGGGAAGTAGGTGCCACCCTTCACGGTGCTGTCGTTTGCAACGATCATACATGACACGCCTTCCACGGTACCAATTCCCGTGATTATACCTCCAGAAGGAACTTGGTCGGCGCCATACATCTCGTGGCCGGCCAATGGCGACAGTTCCAGGAACGATGTGCCGGGATCGATCAACGCCGTGACTCGATCGCGGGGCAACATCTTTCCTCTTGCAATGTGCTTATCTTTGGCCTTCTGCGGGCCACCCTTGGCGATGGTAGAGTGAAGCTCTGACATCTTTGCCAGTAGGTCGTTCATCTGTTGAGCATTCTCTTTGAAATCGTGTGATGATGTGTCCACAGCTGTGGGCAGGACGGATATGGCGGACGCCTGGTGGGCATGGGTGTAGTTTGATATGGAGCGGGAGGAGTGGCGGAGAACAAAGAAGGCATTGGGTCGCTGTTGTCTGAGGGTGAGATGGGCATTGGAGGAGAGAGCACAGCGAAGGCTGCGGAGGAGCTTGGTGGAGGGAGCGCGGACTGAGGCCATTGTGTCTGAGGGCCCAATTGCGGGAGTGGGAGGGGGGGAGGAGGGGAAGAGAGAGAGGGAGAGAGAGAGAGAAGAGGACAATTAGTTCAGACGGGAGGGTGGATGATGAAAAGAGATATTGCTCCAGCCTGGGGAGACCGCGAGTTCAAGAATTTTCGCCGTCTCGCGCAGAGGATTCGATCGCCTCAGTTGTCGTGCTCCTCGTCGTCTCGTCTTTCGTCGGCCGGCACATCCACACCGCAAAGCAGCGACCGCACAGAGCGTGTTTGGCGTGTTTGCTGCCGGCGGATCGGCGACAATAGCCGCTGGCAGCCGACGGGCCGGCCCCCCCCCGACGCGGAAGGTCAGCCGAAGCCCGCAAACCGCCTCCGCGCCGCCTGATCGGGCATTCGACTGCGACAGACCGTGATCCTTCGCTCCGCTCATTTTTCGTGATTTTATTTTATTTTTCTTTTTCTTTTTTGAACCGTCTATCCTGAGTCTCTCCCGTCAACTGCCACACGTCCTCTCTGAGTAACATGGCTTCTCCCTGTCTTCCCCGTCTCTTTGGCCGCACCGCCAGAACCCTCTGCAAGCCTAGACGACAGCTTGTCCCGCGCTCGTCATGGCGGGCCGCGTCCACCAAGCACCCGCAGGGCTTCGTTCCTCCAACAGAAGAAGACCTCGTGGAGTTGAGAGAGCGAGTTCAGGAATTCACCAGTAAGGCCGTTAAATGATGATCAATTGTCGCCCAAGGTGGACGTTGGTTAACCGTGCTCCGTAGGGCGTGAAATACCCGAGGAGGTTGCCGCAAAGACCGACCTAGAGAACAACTTCCCACCGGAAATGTGGCAGAAACTGGGCGAGGCTGGTTTCCTCGGGGTCACCGCAGACGAGCAATACGGTGGTCTGTCCATGGGATATCAAGCGCACTGTATTGTCTTGGAAGAGATCAGCCGTGCGTCCGGCAGCATTGGCCTGTCTTACGCCGCCCATTCCCAGCTCTGTGTCAATCAGCTGTCATTGAACGGAACTCCCGAGCAGAAGGCTAAGTATCTACCCGGTTTGATATCGGGAGAGAAAATCGGCGCCCTGGCCATGTCTGAACATTCCGCCGGATCTGATGTCGTGAGCATGAAGACGACCGCCAAGGCCGTTGACGGAGGGTATATCCTCAACGGCACCAAGATGTGGATCACCAATGGTCCCGATGCGGATTATATTGTTGTCTACGCCAAAACTGAGCCTACCGGTGGCTCAAAGGGCATCACTGCCTTTATCGTGGAGACTTCCTCCAAGGGATTCTCATGCGCACGAAAACTGGACAAGCTGGGAATGAGAGGCTCAAACACCGGTGAACTCATCTTCGAGGATGTCTTCGTGCCCAAGGAGAATATCCTTGGAACAGTTAACCGCGGCGTCAAGGTCCTCATGGAGGGATTAGACTTGGAGCGTCTGGTCCTCAGCGCCGGCCCTCTAGGGTAAGACACCCCAGGATCTGGTGTCCAAAATCCATTTCCAAAAATTTCTCCTGCTGACGAGTTACATTTAGTATCATGCAAGCTACCCTCGACCTCGTCCTTCCCTACACCCACACCCGCAAACAGTTCAACGCCCCCATCGCCCATAACCAACTCGTCCAGGGCAAACTCGCAGATATGTATACTAAACTTGCCGTCTCGCGCGCCTACACCTACAACACCGCCCGACAAATTGATAACTCCGCCGCTTCTCCCGAGGGCACTCAGATCCGCACCCAGGATTGTGCGGGTGCCATTCTCTACGCCGCCGAGCGTGCGACAGAGTGTACATTGGATGCCATTCAGTTGATGGGTGGTACGGGTTATATCAATGAGATCCCCGCGGGAAGATTGCTTAGGGACGCGAAGCTATATGAGATTGGCGCTGGAACAAGTGAAATTCGACGAATGGTTATTGGCAGGGCGTTTAACAAGGAGTATGCTTAAGAGGGCTTTTAGGGGGACCTTTGTTGTCAGCGATGATACCTATGTATATGGTCATCTACGTTAGAGCTTTATGTATAAAATTTTGCTATCATTTTATTTTTCCAGGCATTGAATTAATTTCGTCAAAATTCCAGTTGATCGCAATTTTTTTTTTCTTTTTTTTTTCCCTCACGAAACGCTCAAATCCCATCTGCGAGATTCGTAAAATGCTGTCCAAACCCAGAAGCAAAATAAAACTATCAACATCCATTATTGATCACCTGCGGATCCTTTTTACTTCAAGCTTTACGTTTTCCGCTGTCGTAATGACCTTCTTTTGCCAACTGACGTCGCTGCCGCCGTCGCCGTGTCATCCGGTCCTACTTGTGGAGTAACTTTTCTTGTTTTGGCTGTTCTTGTTTTGGCTGGCCTGCCTCTTTTTTTGATCCCCATTTCGCACTGTTGATCACCATCCTCATCTGCAGGTAGAGGGCTAGTAGCCTTCCTCTTTCTCCCTTTGCGCAGAGGCGGCTGCCTCTGTTCCTCACTTGATACAGAGTCGTTAGCGAGCATGGGAAAGCTGAGACAAGAGCTCTTAGGAGGACCCACAACGACCTCTATCCTTTGAGAGGGGAGTGGACGCGATAAATCCCTCCTTTGCTTTGTGGGGGTCGTCTTTTGGGAGGATGAACCGGTGGGAGACGGTGGTAGATCGTTGCAGCCAGCTTCGGCGCCGGGTGGAGGTGTGGGTTCCTCTGCGGTGGTCACTTGCTTCAAGCGGGACGGTGGTTTCCGTGTTACATGTCTGGATGGGGATTTGGGTTTGCGGGATTTGTCACCATGCGTGTTGGAGCGCTCGATGATTTCTTGTTCGGTGTCGTTAAAGTGGCAGGGTGGAGGCGTAAAGGAGCTATTTGGGTTCTCAGGGAATGTATATGGACGTCCATACTCAATATCAACACCATCCTCCACGTCTTCCTCACCATGGGATGAGAGGCCTGAGTCGTTCGTTTTAGGTCCTTGCCGTATAGCGTTTCTACCTTTGCCTGGATGATGTCTCTCCTTCGGGGGCCCGGGCCTGCCGGCGGAAGGATGATGGTCAAGAGCTGGGGGTGATTTATTACGGTCTGGGTATTTGAATAATTCACGCCAATTTCCTAACAGGGAAACCGTCTCACCCTTGCCGGCTTCGTATAACTCTTCTCGACGCAACGAATGACATGGGGTGCGCCATATGACCCCACAGAATGAATCTATGTCCGGATAAGGCCTTCGACTATTCTTCGCGGGTCGCGCGTTGTCTTTGAGAGTTGTGCGTTTTCTCTTTTTCCCAGAATATTTACCACCGTCGCTGTTTAGAGGTGTCTGGTCCTGTTTCTTCAGCAGGAACGGGTCGTCATCGTAATATTCGTCGGTGAAGTAGTCCCAATCCGATTCGCTTTCCAACGCAGCGTACAGAGCTTGGTCAGTAAGATAAACGGGCGAATGGACAGTTCCTTGAGCAAGATCATCCTGGTACAATGTCAATATAGGATATTCCCTTTCGTGAGGCAAAGCGGGAGCTGCTCACCGCAAGAGTGGGATCACCCTCGTCCCAGAAAATCCATTCTTCCTCGAAGGCGTCATCGTAGTATTCCTCTTCATCCGACATGATCACGGAGGGCTCGTTGAGGCGGGAATTGAACCCTGATCTCGAATCCTACACTGAGCCTCCTCAGATAGGTAGTGTGCGGAAGCTACCAGCGGAAAAGAACGCCAGATACAATGAGACAGATAGTCACACAGAACCGTCTCATCGAGAGCCAATGATGCTTGCCTTTCTCTGTATCTCTCTTATGTTTCACGACCAAGGTACTGCGGGGTTCATCTCTGTTGAATTCAGCTTCCGACAGGGCAAAAAGCAGCCCATGAACCTGACTAAGGAAAAACTGTTTATAATGTTAGATTGTGCGTCAGCAGAAAACAGCCGGCAGCAACACGCCAAACGGGATTGGCGATGCTCTCGTTTCTCTCCTCCTCTTCGCGCGCCGTCCAAGGCATTCTTCGACGTGTCCAGCTGAGACTCTGACGTAGTGACGATAGCACGTGACCTCCCATGTAGAAGGAAAGTTTGCCGAGGCTGCCACGTGACTATTCGGCAGTTACGCAGGGTACGGTAACCTTACGTCAGCGGTGTAATTTTCGGAGCCCCACGCCGAGGCTCGCTTTCCGTCGGCACCAACTCTATCTGATTAGCTCAGCCAGGCGGCGGCCGCGATCAACACGCCGATTCGGGACTTTTGGGGCGGACGAGCGCTGCGTCTCGGTGTGGGGGAAAAAGCAGGCAGGAAGGAAAAAAAAAGAGAAAAATAAGACTCCTTCACACCTTGCAACCAGCCTGGGAAGGTCATGATTTTGTCTTGATACCCTACCTTCTCAGCTTGTCCAGATACACCCTTCTTCCAACTCGGCCAGATGTCTCTTCAATCCTTCATATCCCGCCTTCCTCCTGCCTCCAGCCTTAGCCGAAGGGCGCTCCTCAGATCGGCCGCAAGGAACTCTTCTTCCCTTTCAAGCACCTCCGGCCGGGATGGAACATCTCTCAATTCCATTCTGATCGCCAATCGCGGTGAGATCGCGCTGTATGCTCACGTCCCTCCCCGTTTCCTCACCTTTCGACTGCGTCCTGGGCGGTGAACGGCTCGGATCAAAGCTGACTTTCGGATCAGACGAGTAGGAAGAACCGCCGGCCAGCATGGCGTCCGAGTAACCACTCTGTACACCGATCCAGATGCCTCCTCTCAACATGCGCTGAGCTCCCCCTTCGCTTTCAATCTCGGCGAGACTTCTGCGTATCTAGATGGAGATCGGATAATTGAGATTGCAAAGCGTGAGGGCTGCAAGGGAATTCACCCGGGCTATGGCTTTGTAGGGAACCCCTTTGTTCTACGTGTGTTATACTAAGATGAATCTGTTTTTTTTTTGACTGACCAATTGAGCTTAGTTGAGTGAAAATGCCGGCTTTGCACAAAAGTGCACGCAGGCAGGACTCGTGTTTATCGGTCCACCATGGAAGGCGATAGAGGCTATGGGAGACAAGAGGTATGAATCAACCCCAATGCATCAAATCGAATTTTTTAACTATCATCTGATAATTACTAACCACATTGCATAGCCGATCAAAGGAGATCATGACCGCCGCCGGTGTACCCTGTGTACCTGGTTACCATGGGTCAAACCAGGATCCCGACCTTCTTCAGAAGGAAGCCGACAAGATTGGATACCCTGTTCTAATTAAGGCCATCAAGGGAGGTGGCGGCAAGGGCATGCGTATCTGCTCCTCCAGAGAAACCTTCCAGGACAAACTCATGTCCGCCAAATCAGAGTCGAAAAATTCGTTCGGCGACGACCAGGTGCTCATTGAGAAATATATCACGACGCCTAGACATATCGAAGTGCAAGTGTTTGCCGACAAGCATGGAAACTGTGTGGCTCTGGGGGAGCGAGACTGCAGCATCCAACGCCGACATCAGAAGATCTTGGAAGAGTCCCCGGCTCCACATTTGCCGCAGGCTACGAGAAAAGACATTTGGGAGAAAGCTAGAGCTGCCGCTTTGGCCGTTGGGTATGAAGGTGCAGGAACAGTCGAATTCATCTTTGATAATGACACGGGCGAATTCTACTTCATGGAAATGAACACTCGGTTGCAAGTCGAGCATCCTGTCACTGAGATGGTCACCGGTCAAGACCTCGTCCACTGGCAACTGTTGGTGGCCGAAGGCGCACCTTTGCCCTTGACCCAGGAAGAAATCGAAGCCAAGATCGCCACAAGCGGACATGCCATCGAGGCCAGAATCTACGCTGAAAACCCAGACCAAGGATTCGTGCCTGATTCCGGTCGCTTGATCCACGTCCGTACCCCCAAGCCTACCGAGGATATCCGAATTGATGCAGGATTTGTCGCGGGCGATGAAGTTTCTTCGCATTACGACCCTATGATCTCCAAGTTAATTGTCAGGGGTGCCAACCGAACCGAAGCTCTTCGAAGCCTCGCCGCTGCTCTCGAACAGTATGAAGTCGCTGGACCGATGACAAATATTGAATTCATCAAGCGGGTATGTCGGAGTGCGGATTTCGCAGCGGGTGAGGTTGAAACAGGGTACATCGAGAAGCACCGCGAGGAACTGTTCAGAAAAGAGCCCATCGAACCCGAGGTGCTAGCTCAGGCGACTCTGGCGTGCTACCTGGACGGCAGCCTGACCGGACCGGCTGGCTCCGCCGTTGGTTTCAGCCCTGCTTATCAGCAACGACAGTTTGCTTTTGTGCAGGCCACCGCACCGGGAGAGCCGGAAGGAACCCCGTTCAACACCCAGATCGAGCAGACGGAACCCAACAATTTTAACATCACCGTCGACGGAAAAACGTTCACGAACGTTCAGAGGCGGGTAGGCACCGCGCAAAATGTGTTCACATCGTTTTTCCCACATACGAGACTCGACACGACGGTGATACGAGACGAAGATAACGTAACTGTCTTTCAGCGGGGAAAACAGTATCGGCTAAGAATCCCACGCGCCAAATGGATGGAGAAAGCACTTGGAATTAAGGATGTTGCAAACAGCGTGATCGCGCCAATGCCATGCAAGATTCTGCGAGTGACGGTCGCAGAAGGCGACACGGTGGAGAAGGATCAGCCACTGGTTGTCATTGAAAGTATGAAGATGGAGACGGTGATCCGCGCTCCTCACAACGGCATAATATCGAAGGTGGTACATAAACAAGGGGTAAGCTCTTCCCAAAGCAAATTTCTCTGGATTCCAACACTAATTGCGGTGTTACATAGGACATTTGCAAAGCCGGGACACCGCTAGTTGAATTTGCCGGCGGCGACGAAGCGGGAAAATAGAATTTTTTTGATTTTATTAGTTGATACGGAGTAGTGCGTCTTTTTTTTTTTTTTTTTTTTGTCCCCTTTTCCCGACCTTGATTTTATTTTATTATTATTTTTCCCCCCTCGTGTGGTGCGTTAGGGTAGGTAGATACGATAATACCTCAAATGCGTTTGCCAGCAATGTGTCGGAGTTTATTATGTATGTACAGTATCACATCAGTCACATTATGGAGAGGCTCAATGGGCCGCAGATGTCTCAGATGCCATGCTGTCCTTATCTGTAACAACACTAGGGGAGGTGACAAATGCACAGTTGTGGCGGTTTGCTGCCAGACAAAGAATCTAGAAGGGCTTCGATCACGCCTTCGAAGGTGGAGGCCGCTGGCAGAAATCCCTTCACCTCATCTGACCTATTTTTAACTGGGCAAGGCCGATCCCCACAGCAGGTCTCCACCGCCGCCCAGGGTTGACCCCGAGTGGCCCGGAGTTCCAGGTAAAGCTGCGTTAAAGCTCTGCCCTAAACTCCTCCCGCTTCCGGGGGCCTTCGTCAGGGGGCCAGACCATCGTGAGTCTTCCCTGGCTACACGTTGCGAGTCCTCCATCAGATGACCTCCAAGGATCAGCATCGTGAAATAATACTAGGAGCTGCTTAGCCAAATCGGTGTGGCTCGTGAAAGAGTCCCAGGGAGAGGAAAAAAAAAAAAATAAAAAAGAGGGAAAAAGGAGGAGAAAGGCCTTGTTCTCTTCTTCAGCTGAAATTTTTTTTTCTTTTTTTCCTTCTCCCTTTCAGCTCCTCCATCCCTCCCCTAGTCGTCGCAAACTCGGAGAAGGAATCTTCTTCTTTCTTCACTTAACCTTTTGATTCTCGCGCTTCTTTGCTAGCTTTGACTCAAAAACTTTTGTGTCCCTGAGGTCGAAACTCTGATATCTGGCCCTGGTTCTTGGATTGGCTTTCTCCCATAACCACCCCTTCTTCCCTGCTTTCAAAAGGACTGGCTGCGTGAGTGTCCTGGCCGCTGAGATCATTCAACATCGTATCGTACCATTCAAGCCCGTACACTCATCGCCCTCTTCTTCTCAATTGCTCTGATTTTGACTGTTTTTTTAAATTTTTTTTTTTTTTGTTTTTTTTTTCAATGCTAGGAGTGTCGATCCTAGCCTTCCAGCGGACATAAAAGCTCTGGCCCTCACTTATCGAAAAGAGCCCCTCCAGATTTTCCACAACCACCACCGGGAATGTTCCCAGTTTCAGTCTCTCGCCATGTATCCCATGGTTTGAGGACTGCTTTTCCCCGAAAACTCACCATCACAATCCCAACAACCCGTCTAACCCCCGTCTCAACCCGCTTCATCTCTTCTACCCCCTCCCTCTACGATTCCAACAAAAACCCGCCAAATAACAGCAAGAAGTATCCCTCTGAGTCATCCTCTGCAGCTGCCAGTGTCGAGGAAGCCACTGAACATGAAGGCCGCTACGCTCGCACGGACGAAAGCGTTCGCGTGGAATATCCCCCAGACGATGAGATGCCCCCTACTCCTGTAGTCCAAGGCCGCGGAGGAAGGCATTTCAAGCGAACATTGGCGTCATACTCGCTGGAGGACCGTGTCTCGGTGGTCACCGGTGGAGCAAGAGGACTGGGATTGGTCATGGGACAAGCGCTGGTGGCGTCCGGTTCGGATTTGGCAATTGTGGACTTGAACAGTAAGTCATGACCTATTCGCTCCTCCACTCCTTTTCTTTCGTGCATGTTCTCGCTTTTTCATTGCCACAGTGCAGCAATGTGTCGGAAGAGCCTCTGCTAACTACCGAAAATTTTCAGTCCAAGAGGCGCAAGAACAGGCCAAGAACATGCTCGCCCAGTTCCAAGCTGAGAATCCAGGTCTCGACGAAAGATCGCTTCCTAAAATCACCGCCCATCAGGCCGACGTCGGCAACCCAGATTCTGTGGATAGCAGCGTCGCGGAGATCCTCAAGGAGCACGGCCGTATCGATCATCTGGTCACATCTGCGGGGTTCACTGAAAACTTTGACGCCGTGTCCTACCCGCATGATCGCATGCAGAAACTCTGGTCCGTCAACGTTGATGGGTCATATCTTTTTGCAGTTGCTGTTGCCAAACATCTGATGGCTCGCAAGTCGCCTGGCAGCATTGTGTTCATTGGAAGCATGTCTGGTGCCATTGTTAACGTGCCTCAGCCACAAGCGCCGTACAATGCTGCAAAGGCTGCGATAAGGCACTTGGCTGCTTCCTTGGCAGTTGAATGGGCAAGTGTGGGAATCAGAGTGAACTGTATCAGTCCAGGATACATGTTGACTGCCCTGTAAGTTTTTGTTTTGTTCCCTTCTCGTCTCTCCTTGTTTGGCCCCCTTTCAGCCTTTTATAGCTACGTTACCCAATGATTCACGCTTATTCTAATCGCTGTGGCTACGCAGGACCCGCAAGATTCTTGACGACAACCCTGATCTCAAAGAGAAGTGGACCTCCCTCATTCCACAAGGCAAAATGGGTACACCTGAAGACCTCATGGGCCCAGTGACGTTCTTATTGAGTGATGCGAGCAAATATGTTACTGGGGCAGATTTGAGGGTTGATGGCGGGTACACTTTGACATAAAGTCAATAAATGCCCACTCAAATCACCCACCCCTTTTCCCTTCGAGTCCAAGTTTTCTCAGTCGGTTAGGTCTATTGAAGGGATGGTATTGTAACATTGGCATTGGTGTTAGGTTGTTTGAACATGGGTGTGGATATTCAGCTAGACTAGGGGGTTTTTTTGCTTCCTTCATAGAACACTCGTATCGTCCTCACAGACTTAAAATGAAAATGGAATAACAACACCCGCATTAAATTATTCCCATTTTACTGGCAGGTAACCACTCTTAACCATCCAAGATAATCTCCTAAGTGCCTGGACACCGAAACCATTTTAATGGCACGCCCAACTCTTCTGCAAGATTTATTGCTGACTGCCCCAGCCCATCACGTTTGTTTGCATTCGCCCCTTTCTGAACCAAGAACCCGATCATATCTCTACTTTTCACCCATACAGCATCATGTAGTGCTGTCCTCCCAGCATATAAGCTTGATACATCCCACCCCAGCCTCATCATGTCCTCTACCAGTATTTTAACAGCGCCCAATTTACCTCGTGCAATTGCTTGCTCCAAGGGAGGCCGACCAAGCCGGTCAACGGCGCATGAGTTCGCTCCTAACTCAATAAGATATCGAACTTTGTCCACTCTGCCATCTGTGGCCGCAGTGTGAAGTGGAGTGGCGCCGTCAGTCTTGGGCAGGAATAGATCTCCGTTGACTAGTCTGACTCGCCCAATCACGAGTTCCAATGCAGCGGCGTTATCTACTCGAGCGGCATACGCAAACGGAGTGAGGCCGAAATTGTCTTGGGCCATGATATCGGCACCCGAATCAAGTAGGAGCTTTATTACTTCTGTTTTCCCTTCGCAGCACGCCAGGTGGATCGGGCGGCGCCCGTAGTAGTCCGTTGCGTTGACGTTGGCACCGCTGTCGATGAGGGTGCGTGCGATGGTGTCGTTGCCGCTTTCGGAGACAATGTGTAGAAGGGTAAGACGTTGGTCATTGGCGGAGGAGTTAATCTTGAATTTCGAAAGATGGTTAGCAAAGTAATCGGTAATGTAGAGTGACTTCCAGGCGCGGAGGCAGGGAAGTGCGCGAAAACGAGAGATGCAGAATGGTTTTGCCTGGGCGCCGCGTTGCTCAGAATCCACGGCGGGCGGATAGGTCATTTTAGCTAGAAGGATGCCGTAGAACTTCATGGCAACCGCCACCTCATCGGCGTTGAGGAGGTGACCCAGCACTTCCGATCGAAAACCATGTTCGGTTGCAAAGCCTTTGTCGTAGAGCGTTGGTGTTAGCATTTCAGCCGCGGTCCTGTTTGTCCGGAGGAAGCTATTCAAGTCTGATTCCTCGAGATAGCCCGCAATCTGAAAGATGAGCTCCCCGGGCAGATCTAGGAGAGACATCCTGTCACTTGAGGCACATAGTCCCGTGGAGTTGTCGGCATGCGGAAAAGGCTTGGTGGGGCTTTCTCTGGCCGATGCCCAGTTACACGCTCAGCAAACCATCAACCTGCGCGCGATCCAATCCAGCAAGGCGAATTTATCCTCGAGCTCGATCAGTTGCGGATGGCGTTTGGCTTTGGATGACCTCACGCCATCCTGTCATTGACCTTCCCCGCAGCCGCATCATGCCAAGCCCTTTAGCGTAACACGTTTGGTGGGGCCCCACAAACTGCGCTAAATTGCTTGGCGTGATCTGATAAGATAAGCCGCAATCTCAATGTAACGCGTCACGCGTCGTGCGTCGGGCCGTCTTTGCGGTTCCGTGTGAAATGAATGAATGGATGGATATTTCGGGCCTGAACCCGATTTGGCGAGGATGTACAGAGTGTACTCTGTACTCCATACTGATTTGGGATTCGAATGATGTGCCTTTATCCCGTCAACGTGCCGGATTACTCGGTGAAGTCTGGGCTCACTAAGCCAATGAGCCCGTCCAAAGCTTATGTTAAACGTTCACGGATGGACAGATGCCTGCTGGAGTTCAGCAGTGTTTCTATTATTAAGATCTTAAATTTCATTTATTTGCTTTCTGGTTTTATTGGTTTATCGAGATCAGCTACATGGGAAGTGACCTGTAGCGCTTCTATCTCTCCCCTGAATTTAAATACGATTAAAGAATCCCTTTAAGCTCATCTCCTTTATGCCTATTTCTCTGTGCAGGATTCATAGTTTCTCCCGATGACGCAAGCTCGAAGATCTAGTCCCGGCGACAGGGCTAGAAGGCATATTAAAAGGTGGCAACGACTGCTTCCCGACCGGTACTTTCGCCCTCAAGAGTCGCATGTATCCTGGAAAACCTCAGTCTTTGTCCTACCAGCCCAGAAAAAGCAATGCCTTTTCGGTCTGCTCGTTCGAAGCTGAGAGTTCACAGTTCTAAGTGCATGGGTTATGTGCTGGACTCATGGACACAACGTAGTCTAGGTGCGGAAGGACAGCAGTTCGAATCGCCCTATCTGTGGGCGCCCAAAATGATGTTCGGACATCCAAGAAGAGCTGGTGGTTCGCTCCTCTATTGCATTGAGTGTTCGCATGACATGGCATAATGGTGCTGAATGAACCAGGCGTGGTATGTACATTCAACTCTCTGCAGCCCCAAGCATGCCGTGCTCCCTACCTTCCCGCTGCGACGTATCACCTCAGCCACGCCTGATGTCGGGTTGAAATGGATCGCGGCGGCCAGCCCAGTCTCATAGATAACTACTAGCCTAGGTCAGGGTGTCATCTATACATGTGAATGTGCTCTTTCGCTTCTCCTTAAACCGGGTCATCTGCACTCGTGCTTTGTTAGACCAGCGGTAGGTTGTGTTAGCAGAAGCCAAATCTTGAACCGCTTCCAAAAAGCGGTGTCCAATTTAATTGCGGAAATATCCCCACGGAAATCAATAACCACGTATGTACTCCGTTTCGTGCCTACATAAGGTACGGAGTACATACACATTTGAGCGAACCTTCGCTCCTTGGTAGCGGAGATGCGAGGGCAGGGAGCAAAGTGGGTATGAAAAGCTGTTTTTTGGCAGCCACTGTTTAGTTACCTGAGGACCAACTAGCCCTCCCTGAAATTGTGTGCGCTTAACATTTAGTTCCCAGCTTCAGATCAGAGTCAACCAAGAGGTGCTAAAGAATGACTCCATATATGGTGCTCTGAATGGTCAGGGTGAGAAGAAATTGTTCTGCAGAAAGTTCGCTAGCCTGCATTTTTGATTGTAGGAAAGTTCCGGGGCGCTCCGATTCGCTTTGCTGCGTGAGAATGTAAACTTGAATCATCATATTCATAGGAGCATCACATCGGCCTCGATGCAGAATGCATCGATTTTGGAACATCTTTCATCACCCCAGCCATAAAATGAAGGTAAGCTCAACTATCATTCATCGAGCTCCGTTAGGCAGCCTTCGGCAAATGGTGCTAGGCTCAAGGAAATGAACGCGCGCGCACACATACACACTCGCAGATATCAGGTACATGGATACAGCGTTTCAGGCCCTTGTATGCCGAATGGATATTCCAGGCGATGGCGAGGTTCGAAAGGCGGCTAGATTCCTGTACGCTCGGCATCGCCGTCAAAAACACAGCACCCCACTAAGCGGCATATCCCCGATGTCGTAATTAGATCGTCATCGAGATTCGTCGCCCCGCTCCTGAGATCGAATATTCCCATTATTTATTGTCATACGGGAATCATTTTGATCCCTGTGTTCCGGGATCGTGTTCGTTAACAGGCTGAGCAATCCGAATTGTCAATTCCGGAGGGAAACTACACAGTTAGTCAAATAATGTTTTGTCAGCCATCACTGGATCGTAAACACCATCCTCAATACACCCGCGGCGATGACAGCATTAAGGCAGCTTTCGCTTCGGCCAACCATCTCCCCATAAGGCACTGTTAATTTCAAGGCGGCATGAAGAAGTTGCAGGCGAGTTAAAGGTCCTCATTCCGGCTCCCATAAGCATAGAAGATCAACATGGCAGGGACCTGTTTCCCGGCCACGCAATGTTCAAAGGTCGCCTAACCCCCGAGTTTCGGGGGGAGTGGTATAACTAGTAACTTGCATTTCTTGGTATCAGTTTCAAAACAATCTCACCGTCGCATTGGAATGCATCCATGGTGAATCTTGAACGTTAGCACAGATACACCCCAAGGATAGACTAAAAAAGAAACACTGAAACCAGACCGACTGGGTTTTTATTTTGGAGATTTCAATTTTAAACGGTTAGTGGGCTTGGATAAAGTGTATTTATTTGGTTGTCTCGCTGCCAGGCCCAAATGTTTTCCGGGCACGCAAATTCGGCAGAGAGGCCATCTCCTGCTCAATGTGAAGGCGTCCGGCGAGATACTTGACGGATCGGGTCATCAGGCGGGAACATATTGAGTTGAAGAGTACCTAATGATAACCGTTGGCTTGCATAAGGTAAGTTTCTGTTTTCGAGCGGCCAGGGTGGACCGCGGCGGGATCATCATATAATCACCAGGAACATCCTAGATGAGGAATCACGATCCCATCGGGAAAAGCTTCCAGAACATGAAGCTAGCTTTCATCGACTCCCGTTTTGATAGTGCCGATGCAACGTTTTCCCAACAACGTCTTCTAGGATGAGCGGTGGGCAGCAACAAGAGCGCCCACGCCTCACTACGCCATCCACCGCCTCCAGAGCGCGCAAGAACGCAGCTAGGTACTCGGTACGCCTTTCGGGTCATTTAGACGCCAAGGATGGTTCGAAGGAAAAGTGCGTAAGAGGGATCGAGATGTCCACCGTGGCCGATAGTGGTTGGGGGTGGGTTTTGTGGGCGGAACCAGACGAGCTAGACAGTCAGCCACGCGCAAGAGAGATGAGCTGGGCATATGACCACCTCGGTCCGGCCCTAGCCTTCGCTCTCGCAGCTGCGCGGTGCTGATTTCACAAGTTACAGTAGCTATTGGCCTGCCATCGGCGAGTGGCTGTCAACAAGTAGGTTGCAGTCGCCAACTCAACCGGCTAGTAAGCGTTGCTGTCCTTCCATGCCGCCAGATCCCCAATATATCCATCTGCTATTCATCAGCGCCATCGCCAGCATCCAGACAGCCCTGATTCTCCCCGCGTCCGCCAACTGTCCACCACGGAGATGCTTCCTCTCAGCACATTTCTTGTCTGTGAGCCCATTCACCCTGACTGCCCTCTTTAACACCTGTAGAATCTAGCTCCCGTCGTTGACCGCCGCGTCTATCGCAAAGCTTTCATCCGAAGGCGGATGAGGCGGTCAGGTGGAGGCCTATATTGAGGACATCTACGCAGATACCCATTTGGCTCCATTTTCATTGCTTGCATGTCTTAATAGCACCCTCAGCACAAGGATATCTTTTTTTTTTTTTTTTTTTTTGCTTCTCTTTTCTTTTCTTTTTCTCTTTCCCCCTGGTTTGCTCCATTCACCTATTCGTAACTCACTCTCCGTCAGCTGAATATCTCACGTGAGCGATCTCTCGCAAGAATATTTCCTCATTTTCTTGGGCTCACCTTTTGCAATCTTCTGTTGTTCCCTTTCATTATCTTGTGCGCTGGCTTGGTGTGACATCTTCATGACATTTTAGCCGCTGGGCATCTAATTGAACGTTGAACGTACCGTGCTTGTGACGGTTGAGATGTGACGACAATCCACGTGCAGATACACCTTCTCCAACTCTCTGAGGCCTCTACAGACTTGTTTTAAACTCTGTATCAAGCTTACTTTTGTGCATTTGCTGTCTTTCCCACCTTGTTCCCTTTAACGACTTTGGTGAAAGGGGCTTAGGGGGGCTGTTCTGTCCACCATGGCGGACCCTCTACCTCATGGGTTGGTCTCAAACACCGACCATGTAAGCTCTGATCTGAAAAGTGCGGACTATGTTGAGATCGAAGATGTCGCAAAGCTGTGGCGAGGTTGGTGCTTTCTGCTATTTTGGAGAAATGTTCATTCACTCACCATTATATCTTAGTTTATACAACCAACAAGACTACATTAAAAAAAGGAGCGGGAAAACGGCTGGAAAACTTGTTCTGGAGAATCTGGAGTAACGGGCGCATAAGTTCCAACATCAGCGGATCGACCTTGGCCCACCTCTTTATTCAAATGACAAATGAGACTCCACTGTGGACTCGGGATAAAGAAGTATGATAGTATGCGCACCGTGTTGACACCCACGAGCCTCTGACTTCTTCAATTAGGAATTAGGTTCTATTTCAAGGAACTCGCCTTCAACGTTTCCGCGGCTTGCAACAGACTCGGCGTCTGCCTGCAAGGACAGCTCCAGGACACAGTTTTCTGGCAATGAATCCAAGAGTCGCAGCCGGACAAGTCTTCCGCCATCTATTCTCAAAAAGCCTTCAAGGTCATCATCACAACATCGTCGCAAAAGTACTCGCTTTGCATTTGAAGAACTTCAAAATGCCAGGGAACAAGGCGATGCTTGGAGAGAGTTTCGTTCATCACCGCGTTGGGCAGAAATGCCACGCAGCGAGAGGTTTAATCCGAGATCTAGATCCTATGTTCCGAACCCCGGCCCAGCTCTCTTTCAGCCTGTTCCGGGTATGCGAAAGTCAGCAGTAATTTCGGACAATAGCATATTCGATGAAAGATACCTGCGCCTCGCTTCAGCTTTCGATGGTGAAGTTCGTACTCGGAAATTAACCCTGGAAGCCCGTACGTTGTCCCTTTCTAAATCGCGCCCTGAAAATCTTGTTAATCCACACATCGTCTAGTTTCTCCAACCTCCAGGAGTGCAATAAAACCAAAACCGCCACTCATGATCCCTCCACTCGCAGACACCACGTGTGACCAACCGCTGGATAATACATCGCCGCACAACTCTCCAGCGAGCACGCCATCCACAGAAACCCAGCTCACTCCCAGGCCTATCCTTCAACGAGCGCCGCCGTGCCCAAAACCACCGCGACCTGCCGAACCTCATCCAACAACCCCATTAGTCGATAAGAATTTTCGGGCCCGTTTTGTCGAACGACAACCCCGCGAATCCCCCGTGTCTTCTCTAACCACATTAATTTCCTCGAAGGAACCTCCCTCCTTGCCTGGCTCCCCCGCAGCCACCGATCGAACTGACTTCATAATCCAGCCTTCGCAGACCTCGCGTATGAGAGATTCTCCTCGCGCAGAAATGGTACTCGGTCAACCACCAGAAGTATCGCTCTCCAGGACGCTCTCAGGCTCTCCACCGGCCCCTATTTCGCGTAGTGGGTCACGACTTCCAGCCCGACATGGACAAGACAGTCAGCTGAGCAAATTGATCGAGGAAAAATGCAAGGAATGATGAATTCTCAACCTTTGAGCAACAGGCCCTAGCACATAACAAATAGCAATAATGACCGTGACGAAGCAGCAAGATGAAGACTGAAGGGAACCATGAAGAAAACACAAAGTTTTTTGTTTCTTTTTTTTAAACAAAAACAAAAAAAGAGACAAAGCTAAATAAACTACCTGAAAAAAATAAGAAAATGGAGAGAAAACGATAGAAGATATGAACCAAGGAAAACAAGTATCCTTGTCTCACCTTCAGATACATGTGGAAAGGGGTGGAAGTGATGATGAGATTGAACTCCTGAAACCCTGATCAAGTAGTTTCTCCTATGTAGAACTACATATTAAAGGAGGCTTAACTATTCCTTTTGGTGTATCACTATTATTACTTTTTGTCTTGACACCAGCAAGCCCAACTCTTGGACCTAAGGGGTATTAGAACAGTATAGTATGTAGCTTCATCTCGATACAATCAGGACACAAGCCAGCAGAAATAATATCCAGGGCATGAAAACAAACCAAAACACTTATACAACATAAAATGTTGAGCAGCATAATGCACATAAAATGAATTGGCCACCCAAAACACCTTGCCAACACCGTGATATGATTAACAGGATAACATGTGAGTATCTGGGGATGTGGCCATCGCCAACGCAAAAGGCTCGCCTCCACAATTATTATCTCCCTCACCCATTTGAGGTAGATATCATGCAGAATCACAAGGATTCTAATGGATCTGCTGCATCTGTCCCTCTTCAGCAGCAAACTGTTCGTTCTTCTCCGCCTGCTTCGCCGCCCTGTCGCCCCTCCACCACCTCAGTCCGCACCAGACCGCGGTGATCATCCAGAATGACAGATTGATCAGATCGACGTACACGGCATGGTGCATTCGCTTCAAGTCTGCATCTTTCTTGTGGTCCTTCGAGATGTACATTTTGGCGAAGATGCCGAAGACCACGAGCCATAGGACGAACATGAGTGAGTCAAATGCGAAGCAGGGTAGTTGGAGAACCCGGAAGCTGGAAAGTGGCCTGTGCGCGGCGCAGGGGAGGAGGATGTAAATTATGGCGGTGATTGAAGAGAGAGAGCCAATGACTGTGGCGTAGATCTAGGGGGTTATTCCGTTAGTTCATGGACGCTGCCTCTATTGGGGGGGAAGAGGTATCTTGCGTACCCATTTTGAAACAGAATCCATAGGAAGTCCCGATTTCCTTGCATGATTAACATCCTGGGCGTAGAGCCCAATGACGGCGATACCAAAGACAAACTGCAAAAATCGAATGCAGGATTCGAACAGCGTCGAGATAATATTTCCGGTGCTGTAGCGTTTCTTAACACCGTCGATGACGAGGGACTTGATGAGACCCATTGTATTGTATTCTTTTGATTTTATCTTTCAAAAGAAGTCGTCGCTTGAATGACTCGGAGGTGTAGGTCGCAGATGATCTGTACGCAACGTTCAAGAAGGCTGTATCTCCTTTGGTAAGAAGCAGTGGAAGGTCGATGCTTGAATTCGGAATCCGTGATTCGAGCGCTCAAAGTCTTGTAATCGGGAAAGCAAGGAAAGACACAGAAATTCGTCAAAGTGCGAAAATAAAAATCAAGGGGACGGGTGAACTTCTTTCAGTGAATTAACAAAAAGATGCAGGCAGACTCCCGGTCGGCTTCACAAATGCAAGAGCAAGGAAGCAAGAGCGCAGCACCAGGCAACGATATGGGCGACGGCAGAGAAAGGAGTAGAAGAAGCTGCAGGTTCCGTCGAGGAACAATCTCGCTATTAACAATTCTTTGCCAGGGAATGAAGTAAAATTCAATCGAAATGAGAGAATGGATCACACAGTGAGAGTGAATACTACCCACAAGGGTGAATGAAAGACACTACAAAGCTGTGAAGAAAACACACAACAAACGGAAAAGAAAAAGGGAAATAGGAACCAGAGCGATGACAATCGAACAGAAAGACAGGAATCCGCTGATGAAGGGTAAAAGAAGAACACTGTATCGAGAGGAGCGGCCCCGTCTATATATGTTCTTCTCCATCTGAGCAATTTGCCGGCTGCATGTCGTTCCGTGGGCGGAAGCTAATACCTACCTATTCCTGGGCTGCCGCTCTTCGACATGGTGTTTTCCTTATATTTAGAAGGGAAACAGAGCATGGGATAGCCAGCTTATCCACAGGGGAGAGGAGCCAGTAGAATTCACTGAAACGGAGAGGACCCATCTGTCCAGGCGGCTTGTCCCTCGATGCTGCTTGGAAGCAGAAAATGCGAGTTTGAGCGCAATGGAGTAGTGACAATGGGCGAATCGTCAACCACCATAGTGCCCTTGGATCAATCAGGATTCAATATTCTGAAACCGTGCAGCTCCCATGAAACGAAGACAAGGGAGAAGGTTAAAGAAGAGTGTTTAGTTCTGATCGCTTCGGCGACCAGAGCCGGTGTGACATTTGACGCTGAGTTTGTCTGGAGTTGCAATGTCGAGAAGTTGGATGGTTGGCTGGTGGTCAAAGTTGGCTGGGATGGAGACAGTCGAAGCGCTGAGGCCCTGGTGCGGCTGGGAGATATCTTGTCGAGTTACATTAAGCGCCGGCCCCATCGAACTATGGAGGAAGTACAAAGTAACTAGTATCCTCTCTTCAGTCCTTGGATTTGCAGCTAGTTGGTTTATATTTAGTAGCTTTTTGAATTTAAAATGATAAAATCAGATCCATTTAACTCTCTCTCTTTCCAGCGGCAAGAGGTCCGTTCCAGCACCAGGTAATCAACATGCAGATCCTCGAAGACATACATTACATTCATCTAGCACCAGACACCGTTGGCATGCTCATTGGCCATCAGAAGGGAATCTTGCACGATAAAAAGGAGGTTAGGTTTCTGATAGTTTACTGGCAGTCCAGATCAGCTGCCTATGGGGCATCCCAAGACGAGTCTAATGATACCTTGTGTCCTCCAAGTTGAGGGCAAAGTGATAAGAATTTAAGACACTGACCAGCTACAGGTGTCAAACAAAAAAGAATGCAGCTTAAATGCTAAGCGGCAGCCTGTACATGGGCGAAATCCGTCGTGATCAACTTCATGTCGAGTACAGGCCTCCCGTGATATGCCGAGAGTATGAATCCCCAGACACTATGCAGCGGTTTGGTTCCAATTTCATCCACCCCTTCATACACTCAGCATGCTCATGCGGGTTTTAAGCAGAAACAGATCTCTCTGACTGGAAAATGGAAACAGGGGGAAGAGACATTCCAACATGATGCCAAGGGCTTCAACCAAAAATAATGATGATGATGATGATGATGATCGTGATGACGACTATGAGTGGGGATGTGTAAGGGCAGCTTTTAAGAAGCTGAAGGGCAAAATATGGAATTGAAGATGAAGCAAGCAACAAAAAACAGACAGGAGAGAACACAAAATTTGAAAGAGCAACAGATGAAGGAGATAAGGATGCCCAGCAAGCAAGCAAAAGGTGCTATTCCTCATGGGAACAAGGGATGAACACAATTTGATTGCTCACTTTCCCATCATCCGGCACGCCCCGGACCTCCCCCACCTAGGCCAGTACTTGATTGTGAACTCGCCTGGGTAGGATTACCTGGATCAAGCGCCGGCGGTTGCTGTACTGAGCCAGATTGCTGGTGCTGGGGAGGTGGTGGAGCTTGCTCGTCATAATCGTCACCTTCCATAGTTCCTCCATAGTCTTCATCCTGACCCCCGTGTCCTTCAGCAAGCTGATCCGGCATCTGCTGTCGGTCATAGTTCTGATGGTAAGCAGGTTGCTGAGCCGCCGCATTCTTCGCAGCATTTTTCGGCGCCTTTTTGCCCTTGCGTCCTTTCATCTTCGCCTTTTCCAGCAATCTTCGTTTCTCTGCCAATCGCCTCCGCTCCTTTCGATCTTTGATCTCGTATTGCCTAATCAAGGCCTCCGGAGGGTGCCCAAAAATGCTCTCATACTCGCAAAATTCACAGATCCAAATATCTTCAAGGTTGGGCGGGTGGTGTAGGTTCGTGTATTGTTGTTGTATCCGACGCTGACGTGCAGCAAACGCGTATATACTCCGGGCTGAGCGACGGGGTTTCTTTCCCTGAGCTGGGGGTTGGGAAGTCTGAGCAGGATGTGGCGGCGTAGCCCCAGCTTGGCTTTGCGGGTTCGTCTGGGATGCCATGTTTGGGCTGGTTTGTGTTCCTTGGGTTGAGAATCTTCTTTGTCCCGAAGCTGGCCCGGGGGCTGGTTGAGAGGCCGGCCGATGTTGCTGTGGAATCGGGAACGGATTTTGCGTTTGCCAAGACGCCATTCCTTTCGATGAATCCGACTCACACGTAAAGGTGAATTGTGTTTTTGCGGGTGTAGGCTTGGCCGATTCGTCTAATAAGCTTATGTTCCCTTGGCTTTTTGGTGACGATGACGGAAAAGCTGCTGCGTTGGCTATAGCAGTTGAGATTATTCCCTGATCTGGATTTTTCGCCGAGCCTATGGGAGAACACGTTAGTTTTTTCCTTTTTTTTTTTCTATTCCAACCATGATACACATGGGGAGGCTCAAAGAAAGAACGGGGCGATACCAGTCTGTTCTTGGCCGAGGTGAGATGGCTCTCGACGGCTCCCCGGAGGTCGATTTCCCAGCCAGTTACTGGAATAATTGGCGAGGGGAACCCGGCCCGCAGCAGAACGAGCGGCGTTGCGACCAAATCTTCCGCGTCCGGACCCGGAGATGCCAGAGCCAGCTGGAGAGACGGGGTTTCCAGACCCATAATAGGAGCCAGTCGCACTGTTATCTTCTAAGATCCCCGTGCTTGTGCCGTTTGGACTGGAAGGGCTCATATTCAGGATATCGGCGGAAATTGAATGACAGCCTAAGCTCCCTGAGGTGGGTATTTTCCTCTTCTTTTTATTGTTCGTATTCTCGAACGCATCGTAGCCATCGAGACTATTCGAGCTGGATTTGGATGGAGTTCCCATATGCTTTACGTATTCCGAGTGTGGTAGCGAGGATCTGTCCAGGCCGACGCTGCGTCGAACAACAACGGGGCCGTCCTCGTCGGACTCGACACCGTCTTCATAGATATGATGATCGTCGGGGTTGGGCTCGAAGCCATAACTATTTCGTTGAACAAAGACCTTGGCGTCGTTCACGTCTCCATTGCCCGCATAAGCACCGTAGAAAAGCTGGGTGGCTGGGGGGGCAGGGGGATAGAGGATCGACTCGGCAACTTCGGGGGATATGCGAGAGCGTATTGGGCGTTTGGGCAATGGCCGGATCAGTCGATCAGGGAATACCGGGGACGGTGTGTCGGGAGCGGAGGTATACGTCCCGCCTAAATGGCCAAGGCATCAGCAAGTAGAGTCTAGAAAATTGACGTTACTCTGACAGGGAGGTGCTGCCGGTTTCGCCGCGCAGAGAAAGGGTGGCTTCTTCTTCTTCTTCTTCTTCTTCTTTTTTTTATTTTTTTTATTTTAATTTTTTTAGTTTTACTCCCCTCCACGTCAGTCATTGTAGGGGGGTTGTATGTGGGTATGTGCGTTTGGCGGTGTCATAGGCCGCCGGTGTGGGTTGGGCACGTACTCAACGTAGCAGCCATACTGATAACCCCTTGAACACCGAACAATACACAACGCGTTTGTGCTGGCAAAGAAAGAGTCTAATTCGCAGGAGGTTCTTCGACGAAGGTTGGAACAGATTTTTGTCCTCGGTTTGAATGGGTGACAATCTAATCTCCGGAACAAGCCAAGTTAGCCGCTATGACACAATCACAGGCTTAGAAGGTTCTGCAGCGTCCAAGACTGCGGCAGGAATCCAACGGAGTCTCTCGCCTGGCCTGGAGGGCAAGCAGGCGTGATACTGACATCACAACAAGCCAGCAACACAGGACTACGATGACAAATCAGAGTGCCGTGCAGAGGCAGATATATGAATGTGTCTCTCTCTCTCTCTCTCTGTGTGTGTGTGTGCGTATTGACGGGGGACGAGGGCAGTTCCCCAGCAACGACCCGGGTCAACGGAACGGGGGGCTGGGAGGCACGTACAACACTCAGCAGGACGGGACGGGGCAGCGAAACAGGCGAGGGAAACACTCAGCGGGATGTCTGGCGGGCGGGCAGCGAGGGCGGAGAGGGAGCGAGTTGAGTCGAGTCGAGCTGCGGTTCGGGGATAAAGGTTTCCCTGCGTGTAAAGTTCAGTTGCCAATCATGGGGAGCCGGCGCCGCACTAGCCGCTTTGGGAAGGGCAGCGCCCCCTCGCAGGCAAACTCGGCCGGAATCAGTGAGCCGGCAGTCTCTCTACGGGACTAGTATGTAGGTGGATGCTCTACGACGGGCTGCGAGGGTCTACACGGCTGTCTGTCCGTCCTTCTACGGGGCGTGGTAGTGGGAAACCAGCCAGAGCAACGTCGGGGGGGCCGGGATGAAGGTGCCATCTAGCAAACTACGCACACACATTTTCCGGAGATGCAGGTCCGGATGGCAAATGGAGGCCCTGCTCTGTAACTGATCCCCCATCCGCTGCGCTGCTCCTCGACGTCAACGTGTTCTTCCGATGCCGTCGCTGCGAATTCCCCCTTTCCTTTGGCCCTGTCCTGTTTCGCACGCCCTCCTCTCTATCTCGAATGCCAGCGAATCAGGCACACAGAACAGCTCCCATAACTGTCACGATTGGCTCTTGATACTGTCCCCAAGGCGTTTCACCTCCTAGTCGAGAAACATCAGACATCCAGCGGAGGCACATGTGAAAACACAGAGAAATAGAAACTTGAATCCGTGTGGCCGGTTCTCCCAGATTAAGAGAGCTGCTGTGAGGGAGGATGGGACGAAAACACACATCCTGAGCTTCCTGCACAAATTGTAGCTGAAACCACTACTTATTCACGAACAATCTCCTCCAGCTCCTTGAATTTGGCTCCCATGCTGAGGACAATCACCATTGTAGGAAAGGGTCAGTGTGGCTCTGAACAAACCGTTACGACAGGGAGTCAAAGAGTGTGAAGCAATGATGGGCCGGTGCAACGTAGAGAGCCTGTAGTTGGCCGTAAGACAGCATAAAGGCCGTTGAGGTCAGCGCAACGATGCGATATTTCAGTGATGATGAGCTCGCCCGGTGCTCAGCAGGATAAAACAGCTTTCCCTCATCCCCTCTTGTTCACTTTTCCACATACTTCTGCTGCTTCCGTCCATCCCTGGTTTGAGAGCGGACCATTCCACAGACCCATCATTGTCGTTGGAGAGTCAAAAAAAAAAAAAAAAAAAAAAAAAAGAAAATTCAAAACCAAACTCCAAGTTCAAGGTTTGTGGCTTCTCTGGTTCGCCCATTTTCTCGAAAACCCGAGCTCGCTGACTAGCGTTGAGAATGGGCATGACGGGACGGTGCGCGGGGAATCACAACTAGCGAATGGTACTTCGCTCGCCCAGATCTCCGCCCGTCAACTTCTTCTTCCCACCTTCTCCTCCCAACCCAGCACACACCGATCCAGGGCATGTGGTCCTTCGAAAAGTTGCTTGTAATGCCGTCTGACGCTGTTTGACCCTTTTGACTGCTTGGTCTCTGCTTCAATTGCCTTGCCCTGCCCTGCCGTGATCCGCACCCTTCTCGCGCCCCGTCTGCTCCTAGCTTGACCGCCGGGCGAAATCCTCTTGCCCTCTTCTCTCCCGCCTGAAAAACCCCCCCTTTTTCTTTTTCTTCTTTTTTTCCTTTATTGCTTATCCTCTTTCATCTGCGTTCTTCTACACGAAGAAGTCCGTTCGCCCAGATTCCTCTTTCGGATCGACTTTTCAGCCATGACGCCCCGTCGATCCTCTCGAGCTCGCGGCTCGCAAGCACCTCCCAGCGCAATCCATTCCAGCTCGTCCAGTTCCATAACCTCCCTTGGACGCATCGAGAGAAACACCCGCTCGAATAACAAATTGTCCTCTCCACGAAGATCATCCACCCACCCGTCACAGTCCGTAGACGACGCCGACGCACGCTCGAGACACGACCTCCCCCAGACCCGCCAGCGAAACCGCGGTCGCGACGATGAAGACACCCATCAACCCCCGCCCGCCAACGATGAGTACGACGAGGAAGATGGCGACGAGGAAGAGATAACAAGGTGTATTTGCGGCCAGCAAGACTATCCCGGCCTCCCACCATCCTCTCGCGAGACAATCGGTCGTAGTTCCCTAAAGGCTGGAGTCAAGGAAGAATCAAACCAGGATCCTTCTGCCGCTGCCTCCGAAATTCTCTCGGACGATGCTGGAAGCCTGTTCATACAGTGTGACTCTTGCAAAGTGTGGCAGCACGGTGGTTGCGTGGGGATCATGGAGGAAGCTCTTAGTCCCGACGAGTATTTCTGCGAAAAGTGCCGAAAAGACTTACACAGGGTAATTGTCAGTGGAAATGGGTAAGTTCTTCAACTGTGAAGTTCTTTATTCAGTCACTTTTGATCCTATTCACTTTATTCACTTGCTTGCGTGCTCGCTATTGAGTCCGACAAACCCTTCTCATCGGCCTCAAGCTGGCCAATCTCTTCCCCAAGGCTTTTTTTTCCCTACCATTTTAAACCCTCTCCCCCTCAAGAGCCATCCAAATTGGTCCGCTTGAGCTTGACTTCTTCCTCTTTTGTTTTATCTTGTGTTAAAATGTGGTCCACACGCTTACGACCTCGCAGTCAGAAGTCCTCTCAGTACCTTCCGGTCGCCGGGACCCCTTCCCCTATCTCATCAGCCTCCTCTACCCGCGACAACTCTAGGAGCGCAAGAGATAAGAAATCCAGAGACAATGCAGACGCACCCAAACGAAGATCTACTATGAACAGCCGTGAGGCCGCATACGAAGAAGAACTTTTGCGTCGAGCAATTGAGGAAAGCAAGGAGGAGAGCAAGTCCATCATCGAGGAGACGAACAATCGTAGAGGAAAAAGAACCAGAAGCGACAGTGAAATGTATCTTACTTCTCCCCTCCTCAACGCTGCTTTTATGGACCTAGACTAACTACCACCACCCTCACAGAACCAAACAAACTGCCAAAAGGCAGCGCACCAGCTCCCCTTCTCCTTCTTCCATTGTCTCGAAACAGTCCCAGTCCCAGTCCCAGCCAGTGTCCGAGGACGAGAAATCGCGAGCAGCTGTCAACGGCAACAAGAAAACAAGAGGTATCGTGACTCGAAATCAGCGAGAGAAGGAAGCTCCAGCTTCTGAAAAAGAGCCCGAGAAAGAAGCTGAAATAGCTGGCCGACGGAAAGGAAGATCCGAACGAAGAAAAGCTGATGGTATGTTAAAACACGCCCCCCTCCCTCCCCGCCCCGGGGCCCGGCTGGTGACCCAACTAATTGATGTTTTGAATTCATAGATTCAGAGCCTGAAGCCAATTCACCAACCAAAAATACTGTCAACGGCTCAGTTCCGGCTCAGTCCGCCCCTGAGACCCCCGATATCCCTCCACCCACGCAGAAGCCATCCTCCCGTAAATCTGGCCGTCCTGCACGCAGAGGCCGCGTCGGTCGCAACCAGTATACTCGAGATCGCGACATTGCCAATGGAAATGGCACGGATAATCAGACAAACTCCCCGCGCCGCGGCCAATCCCGGGATGGAAACGGAGACTCTCCACCAGGAAACGGAGCGAACGGTGTTCACGTTAACGGCGGAGAGTCTGGAAAGCCTAGCAGACCACGATACATGAACCCAAACCGAACGTCGATGAACGACATGCGAAGACGAGTTGCGGCGATTCTCGAGTTTATATCCCGTATGCAATTAGAGATGGCGGCCACAGAAGAGGACGCTACCCCTCACAATGCAGCGGGCGCCAATGGCTCTCAGAGTTCTACTGTGGTGGCGGCACTGGAGGGTGCCGTCGTGAACGGTAATATTCAGGCTCCATCAGTTGCCGGAAGTGCAGAGACAACACAAGAATCCGCGACGCCCAAACCAAAAGAATTCAAAGATCTATCGAGTGTGGAGATGATGGACGAGTTGACTCGCGGCCTTCTCAAATGGCAGCAGGAGTTCGGGAAATACGGCGAAAAATGAGCCGAAGTTGCCCCGACAATTTTGCCGATGACATACATACTTTTAATACCTCCCCTTCGCAAACTACTTCTCTCTACGCATCAGCCATCCATTGCATTTTCTCAATTGTCGGGATCTTTGGGTTGGGCTCGTGTGACTTTGTTTCCATTTTTCTTTTCCATTTTTTTTTTTCTTTTTCTTTTTCGATACCATGTACAATATACGGCTACATCTCTCACACGGGCGACAACGGGGCGCCCTGGTTTTTCTTATTTTTATTTTTTTTTGCCCTCCCGGCGACGCGATTGCATCTACATAATCGGCCTAAATACATTTCTCACCTGCGGGAGTACATCCTTTCGCCATATACCTTTCTGCATATCCGCTACGAACACCACTCATCAACATACTACCTCGGATGATCAATAACGAAACGGAATGGACGCGCTCCCTCCCCCCCCCCCAAAAATCATCATGACCACCATAATCTCGCTCTTCAAAAATCAAGACACACAGGGAACAATGGAGACACGGTGTTATTACTTCAGGAAGCAAGGGGAAAACGAAACACATACATAAGGGGAGAGGAGAGGGCGCTGAGGAATAATGGCATTATACACAGCAATGTCGAGTAACGAATCGGATGACGGCGTTTTCCATTCTCCCAGGCAATTAAACACCTTCGCATTCATACCAACCGGCCCCGATATCTTTCTTCCTTCTCCCCTCCATTGCGATTAATTGCATTTTCTTTTTTTTTTTCCCCTTCTTGATTCGGTTTACATACTGCATCTTTGTGTTATTTGTTGCTTTTTTCGTCTTGCCCATCTGCTCATAAATAACTTTGAAAAAGAAAAAAAAGAAAAGAAAGGAAAAGAGAAAAGGAGGGTTTGTTAAAGAAGCTTATGAAACAGCAAACATGAAAATCTCCCCCAGGTCTTTCCCGCCTTTTTGCTTTCGTTCTGAACTGCTGTCTACATAGTTTACTCATTATTATGCTGGGAGTTTTTATTCTTTTGGGAGAGGGAGACCATGTATCTACGTTGCTAACATCGGGAGGGGAATGGAACTTTTTGAACGCAAAAATATCATGAACGGTTTAACTAGCTAATTTATCGGAATATCGAAGCATTTCATTTTACTTTGGGCCTCGCGCATTTGTACTCTTCTAAGTCATGGCTGACAGTAATGGTGGTGGTGATTTGATGCTGAAATGACGATATACTACGCACGAAGTACACATCGGAGGCCGGGAAATCGCGGTAGTTCAGGGCCAACACCAGCATTCTCGACATTACAACCGAAACCATTGGAGTACAAGTCAACGTCATTTGATTCCATCAGTCATCTTGAGAGTACATAATTAAAACCAAAAAGCTACCAATTTGATCCGTCACTCATATCCTTGCATTTCACCGGCGGCAAAGGCAACATAAGGAGAAGAGGAAATTATAAAACGTCGTCCTCCAAAGGAAAAGGCAAATTCTCCATTATTGACCCATTAAGCCCCTCTCCACCAGAAAATAGCGGCCATTTTTTATCCTGTCATCAAAAGAAAATTCGCAAAAATCGTAACTGGTGATCGAGATTAGTAAAGTGAAATCCATGGTTGAGATGTGGGGATAAGCTTACCATTGTACAGCTGGTTTAAAGGCGGGATCCATGGATAACCTTGTAGTCAACGACAAGCTCACGACCACCATCATTGATGACGAGAGCACGAACGCTACCTCTGCCATCAGAGAAGGCGTCGCTGATGCGGTTCCAGAGGCCACCCTGGTCAATGACGCGGATGCCCTGCTTGATGTCGCCAGTCTCGGTCATTGCGGTGATGCGGCCGTCATCACGGAGATCAAGGATGCGGTAGGTCTTGTAGACGGGGCCGAGCATGCTCTGGACAACGACAGATGGAGATGGGTTGGAAATGAAGCTAGACTCCTCGTGGAGCTGGCCGGTGAACAGATCGACACCGAGATAACGATGCTGACCGGTCTGGGAGGAGACAGAGACGCGGATCACCTGGCATGGGCGGCCCTGAAGGATCAAAAGGTCGCCGATGCGGATGAAGTGGCAGGGAATAGTAATCGTGTCTGATGGGCGGCCGCCACGGGGCTGGACAACTCTGACAGACTCACGAACGCCTTCACGGACCCGGGATGGACCACGGTCATCAGCAACTTCATCCTTGTGATGGAAGGGATGGAGGATGCGGTCGGCAGCGCGCTCAACACCGCGACGGAAAGAGTGATATTGGCCGTCGTCGTCGTAGTAACCCATCTTTGGCTTTGGCGCGTCGTAAACGGGGCGGCGGTCGGTGTTTACTTCGATGTGTGTGTCGTACCGGCTGGAGCTGGTGTCGTATTCGATTTCACGAACCTGGGTGCGAGGCTTGTATGTCTCGACTGATTCGTTCACGCGGTCGTAAGACACGTCAATATCACGAGTCTGGTTCGAGTATGGGCGGACAGTTTCGTACTGGACAGCGTAGTTTGGGTCGGTGCGTCGACGATATTCTTGTTCAGTTACGTCGAGTTGAGCTTGAAAGCCTTTTCTCTCGTGGGTGTTGCTGCTACTGCTGGTGCCGTAGTATCTGCCCGGTTGGTCAGGGGCTGTTTGTTCGGAAGGAAAAGCAGATAGAAGAGAAGGATAAAAGAAAGGGGAGGAGAGCTATTACCTTTCACGAGCAAGTTCTACTTCGGGATATCTATCCGGGGGGGCAGGTCTCTCCTCGTAGACTTGAAAGTCGTCACGGGTGTGGGTGCGAACAGGACGATACTCGGACGACTCGACGTGGCGGGTGTCGACCTCTTCTCTGGCGTAAGCTCGGGGGTCACGGAGCGGGCCTTCGTATCGAGTATCTTCCCGTCCGACGTGCGAAGCGGTGCCTGCTAACTTGACCTCTCCCTCTACTCTCGTGTGAGTAGTCTCAGAGACAGCGTCACTCCGGTACGAGGACGGGAAGACACTGAAGGGGATGGGGACGCGGGCGTCAAAGTCCAGGTTGACTGTCCTTTGGGCGTCCTTTCTCGAATGCCTTTCGAAGTGTTACAGGAATAACAACTCGAAAGGCGAGACAAGAAAAGACTCAAGTCTCTTGACCTTGGTCAGGCTGGAGGGAAAAAGAAAGAGAATTGGAAGTGTTGATTGACACTTCTACTTCTGCTTTCTCGATTGGATGGACGGGGAATTGGAAGTGATGGAAGATGAATGGGATGAAGGGGCAATTGGAGCGGGCAGATGGATGAAGAAGAAGAAGAGGAAGAGGAAGAAGAGAGCAGGCGGGCGGACGGGGAGGGCGGGTTATATCTGGCGGTGGCCGGGGTGGCTGGTGGTTGCTGGGCCAGTCACTCCTGCTGCTGCGTGGCCACACCTGCCACCGCTGAACCCCCCCGGTCTGTCAACAGCCGCTTTGTTGATGCTTTTCCCTTTTGCGACAGCTCGGTAAACAACGCTAGACCGCTTCAGGCTAAGCCCTACGGATTCCAGCCCCATGCAGCCGGCCAATCGCCTCCTAGCGCCGTTTTTCACATGATCCTCGCTGCAGCCGCCGTTCAGCTGGAGAGTTTCTCGCTGGAATTCTCTCTTCCCGTGGTGAAATGACACCCGCAGTCCACCTGTCAATTCCCCTCGTGCTGGCTGCTTCTTCCTGCGCATGTCGTTCTGCCCTCTCAATTCCCCGTCTTCTCCTCCCGCCGTGCTGTGTCGCCGTTCAACCGCTGATATTTGCCAGAAATCAAGTTTGGTGCCTGGTGGGGCCCTGAGTAGCCTCCGTGGACTCCGCTAATTGGGCTGGCTTCGTCGCAACCCAGGCGATTTCTCCCACCACAGGCGATCCGAGCACGCAAGCCATTCCCAATCACTTTGTTGGGAATCTCTGAGAGGTGAGCATCACAGGAGGCCAGGCTCCTCTATTTCTGGCTATTTTGTCCGTACGAAGCTCGGAGTCGTGAGTGACTTCACATATGGACGTCCATTCATACTACTGTGGCAAGGGGGGGTGCGCGGCGGAAACACGAGCAAGCACCAAGGAACCTCAGCCAGCCAGCGTGGCTTCCCATGTCTCAAAGTCAGATTCCTTGTCAATTAATAACCTCGGGAAAGAAAGAGCCTTTGACATTGCTCTCGCCATCTGAGACCGCCGTCAACCTGCGTTGCCGTGTCAACCGTGTCGAACTCTTCTGCAAAAACAAGACACGAAACCCCACCTTGAGAGCGGATCTCCAGACACACTCACTCCCTCTCTTTATAAATTTCCCCCCACCTGCTCCATTCCAAACGGTGGTCAACCCGTTTCTGTCTCAACCGGCAATCGTTCTGGAGAACCTAGGCATCCGTGTTCGGAACTGCTTCCTTGCCGTCATATGTGACGGTCATCCTAGGCTTCTTCCAAGGAATCTGGCATTGACGAACTGCTGGGATCAAAATAAGCTCACTCTGCTTAGATCGAGAGCACCCCGGTGTTGGGTAACTTGACGGAACTCAATTCCTGCGAACGCTTCATGCGTTGGCAATAATCCATAGGGCTTCACTGCAGAAGTCCTACAGCCAATTATTAGCAAGTAACTGTATACTCAATACACCATGCTTCTCGCGGTGGTTTGTTATTGTAGAGGGTCACTTCTCCCTTCGTCAGCCAGTATATAGAGAGAGAGAGCGGTCTGATATGCCCAGCGTTTGGATTCCATGATGCTGTTGGAAGTTTACTAAGTAGTACAGAGTACGGAGCACAGATCAACTTCTAACCTAAACTCAGCATGCAATCAGATCAGTCATTGTGATGCCTTCCCCCACAAGTACTCCGTCAGCGGCACAAATATGTTGGGTCACATTCGACACCACCATGGTGCTGGTTGCACAGCGATCGGAAGCGTTTTCCAGAACTATTACAAAAAACGGGAACAATTAATATGACCCCAAGGGACGGTGCAGAGCGAATACCCGTCCAATTCTATGCGTTGAAGTTCCACGACGTAGGGGTATCCGACTGGAACGATTTGACTAAGAACCTGATGCAACCAGAGACGGTCCACCATGAGAGCGACAGCTGCAAGTGAAATCGAAAGGTTTCGGGAGGCGGGAAGGTTCCAGGATATAAGCTCTCAGTAACCAACTTAACAACAGGATCAGGTCTCAGCTGCCAAACGCTCAGGGCTTTTGAGGCTTGATATCAGCCATACCAGAGCGATGCTTGATAGAATTTGTAATTACGTATGTCAAAAGAGTAGACTTATTCGCATCCATGAGCTTGGGATATCGCGGGAAAGCAAGTCTTCCAGGAAGGATTTGAATATCTTCGCAGCTGGGATGTGGTCTAGATCATAGCCAATGATGTCCAAGTTGGCCACCAGCAGTGGCGACTGTTGCTCAGCTTCGTCAAACGGCTTTCGGGTCACCTCCAAAAAAACGTTGAATTTCGAACCTCCAGCTTATGAAATCGGTCTTTTCCTTATTGACTCTCTGCCCTTTACTCCGTACTCCGTACACAGTTACAGTTTAGCTCCAGACTCGTTACGGGGGCCTTGTGCAATAAGTGAGGCGTCGTTTCTACCTGAGACGGACTTGGCTGCGTCAGCGATCGTTTCATCGCATCATCAAGCTGGTGCATACAAGGGCAGCTCAAAAATTCTTTCTTTGACAGCTTTTCCCAAAACGCACACCCACATGGCAGGATATTCTAAGCAATGATATTTTCGTGATGTTCCGGCGCAAACGGAGTGTCTCTCACGGGGTAAGCTGCTTTTCTTTATCAGTCTGCTATCAGCTGTGCGATAATAATCGAGGTCGTGAGCTGTAAACCATCACCCCCACAACCCTCCCCCCAGAGTTAAAAAGTAAATGACTGATCTGGAATTCCCTTTCTGCCAGCCTATAAATCCCAACCCGTCGCCCTCTGCACAGTCAGCGGCCGTCCAAGCATTTCGCGCATCCCAAGCCGCACACGCAAATGCAAAATTGTCCTCGTCGGCGGCCGCAGCAGCTCTACGAAAGCACACTCCGACTCCGACATCGGTCGAAGATGTCCAGACGAGGCGCATGTTACAAAGAAAGCAATCCGTTTCGTCGATTGGAAATTCCAAGGAAAGTATCCAGCGCGGACAGGATGTGACTGTGCGTAGGGCGAACAGTATGAGCTCCATGAGCAAGAGGACGTTCAGGGATAGTTCCCCTGGGCTAAATTCTCCGGTAGGCGTTGGGCATACAGAGCATAAAGATGAGATTGATCCCGTACCTCCTCTGCCACGGGTTTACGCAACAGCTACTGCCCCCACGCATCGACGGGCCATTAGCGGCGGAAATACAGGCCGGCGTGCGATTTCTCCGCAGACACAGCTGGTTGGAACACAAGCAACCAGTGGGAACGATCCGGGTCAGCCAACGCAGGGAAGTACTGCCGGACCTTCTCTTGGATTGCAGAGGAGGAGCAGTAGGAGCTCCATTAACTTCTCCTATCCCATCAATGCCCGCCCAAACTCGCCACGGCAACCGTCAATTACAAGCGTTCTTGCGGATACTCCCTCGATACGTACTTTGTCTCCTGCGGGATCGCTCAACACGAACTTTTCGCCCCATGTATACGCTCCCCAAAAGGAAACAAGGGCTGATTCGATAGGGCAAACGAGCCAGGTCGACTGGCAATGTTCAACTGGCGCTGGCCATCAGTCAATACACGCGGATGGCTCCAATGCAAAATACCAAATGGAAAAGAATGCGCGGTCCCCAGAAGAAAAGAACGGACAACAATATGATCCCGATTCGCTTGACCCTCATACACTCGCCTCTGGTCACATCCCACCTGATTTTCTGAGAAGACATCCATCTCCGATCCCTGAGATCCACGAGATAGGGGAGGGAAGTAGAGACGGTGGTTTAATGCCAGAGAAACAGGAGCCTGGCTATATTTCTCTGCTTAGGGAAGAAGCGCGAAAAGAGATAAATGCTCTGGAAAACAAAAGATACATACGGAAGCGAAGAGCCTCTCCCTCTACCGTGTCTGATTCATCGTTACACCTTCCAGAGAGACAAACACAACCACGAGCCAAGGATTGGACTCGGCCGTCAGCGAAGCGCCTTCAGGCCGAAAGACCCTCGTCTCTTAGTCCATCCAGGTCGACAAGATTCTCAGAGCATTTGGAGATTGCCTTTCCGGGAGATCATCTTCATGAACCTCCACCGCGGTCAAAATCTCCCGTCAAGTCGGCCTTGAAAACCACCGCGCCAACCCACACTGTCCCGTCTGATCCCTCGGATACGCATAATTTGAAGATAGCAGACGTTCTTAGTGAATCCGAGGGGACATCCGTCCTTTCTGACGAAGGGTCGAGGCTGAGCTGGAAGAGAAGACCTGCAAAAGTGACTTTTGAAGATGAAGCTGAAATCTTGGGCGCCACGGCCAGCCCCCCTACGTCTCCTGATTCAATTGTTCCCTCGAGTCCACAGTCGAAGTGGAACGACAATCTTCGTAGCAGGTGTAGCCATACCAATGACCTTGATGACGTAATGAAGCCACGGCCAGCCCTTCCATCATTCGGGAGTATACGAGGTCGAAGGAGGATTGTTGAGGACGATAAATCGTTTACTATCCGACCGGAGAATGGCAGACCGCTGTTAGCAGATTCGGTGTTTGCCGATTCATTTTCAGGTGACTTTGCCATTGGTGCAGTCTTGGAATCTCACTCGCGGCAGACATGCCAGACAAGCCGGGCCGTGCCGTGGCCATCAGAAGTCACTTCACTTGACGGATCAGGATTTGACTCTCCCTCTGAGAGTGAATCATCGAGTGACGAAGCTGACCCTAGTGAGTTCATTTTGCCTGGGCAGGATATCTCGGGCTTGCGACACTTTCGGGGGAATGAATTGGACCAGCTAGACAAAAATTCGATCGCCCGTGTAGGAGAGTACAAGAAAACCGACGTCGTCGTCCCGATAATTGCAATTCAGCCTGCTACTCCAATGTTCGAAGAATATCCAAAGGCTAGGCCTGAAAGGAACGGGATCCCACGTTCTTTTCCAGACATCTCAAATTTAAAAAACAGCTTGGATATAAGCAAGAGTGAACGAAAACTTTTGAACCGACAGAAAATGAGCGAGATTAATTCTGCTAACGAGCCGATCGACACGGATTCTGAGTCCGGAGATAGCGTTTACAGCGATGCTGCAGAGAATCTTGATGACCTAGAAGGAGATGGTTTTGGCTCTATAAATGCGATTGTCTCCGGTCCTACGTCTCAGGGTCGTATCCTCCATGCATCTAGCCCGGCAGACCCTCCCGTTTCCTCTGTGGGAAGCGATAACGATGTTCCTCAGCCCAATGTGGAGATATACTCTACCGAGATTCAGCACCAGTCCCCACCCATTGCTAGCCCTCGAAAGGAAGAAGTCTCCGCTAGAACCGTCTATGATAAGGACAATTTGCGTGAGGAGCACCCAGTCTCGAAACCTGTCCGTCAACGTTCCTTAAAACAAGCTAAAATGAACGGCGCACCTCGGTTCGGCGGTATCAGCTCGGAGAAGCCAGTTCAGGAGTCAGCCCCCCAGGAACCTAGAAGAAACACAACCGAGTCTCAAAGTCCAGCCTCCGCCACTATTCTAGATACCAGACGGCGGAATTTTAGGAATTCGGCGTTAAGTAGCCCTATTCAAAACAATCCTATATACTCGGAAATTGTGAACAAATCCAAAGCTGTGGGCCAGCAGCCTAGGAGAGCCCAAACTGTATCGTATGGCAGCCTTGCACGGCAGTCTCCTCAACGAAATCCATCAAATGGCAGCGATTCATCTAGCAGTTTCAAGCGAGAAAGAAGGTCACCAGCAGGTACTAGAACTTACAGCTTACGGCGGACAATGAGAAGTGGCGCTGGACATTCGAAGGCAGATGATCTCGAAAAAAGTAATCACGCAGCTGCCTCATCTTCTATTTCTCATCAGCACCACCCGTTTTCCTCTGGGGATAGCCATCCAATTCTACGAGGGACGCTACGTGGCTCCAGCTCTGTATTACACTTGAAATCGCAGTCGACTTCGTTTTCTGGGTTTAGAAGCCTAAGGTCGAAACACCCATCAGGCTTCAAATCTCGATTTGCTGATTCTAGTGATGAAGAGCTTGACGTGCAAAAGTTCACTCCAGTCCGCGGAATTCCACGGAGAAGGGGCGCGATTGATGGAGACTCAACCGATCTCGAGGATAGCTCTGATAGTGATGCTCCGCGAAACGTCGTCAGAAGATTGCGCTCCAAGCGGCCTATTTCTAAGAGGGGTGCTGCCCCGGTGCTTGCAGTTGCCGCAGGAGACACTCTATCAAACCACAAGCCAAGCGCTACAACTTTGTTGCATGATCAACAATTCCCCACATACCAGGAAAAGCCGAAAAGGGGTGTTCTCAGCCGGATGAGTCTATCGAGACGACATGCCCACGGCGAAACCAAGATCCGGAAATCGGAGATTGAGAGTGCTGCTAGAAAGGATACTCCACTGGAGAGATCTCAGCCTGAGCTTGACCGGGTGCGCGATGCCAAACTCTACATGGGTGGATATGCTTATGTGCCGGGAACTGTTACGAACACTAGCGGTCCTTCTACTCCCGCCCCCAAGAGTAAATGGCCTCGCCTTTCTCCTCGATCCGCGAAACAAACAAACAAGCTCACCCGCCAATCGGGTAATTCTAAAGTTATTTCATGGCCGTTACCTGCTCCAGGCGGAACTCCTCCTCACATACCCCGATTATCATCGAATGCTCGCGATAATGGACGAGGGCCCGGTCTCAACTCCGTTGCTTTTAGCAGCGAAAACCCTCATCGACCACATACTTCCGACGGCTTGAATCGGAGCAAATCTCAGATAATTCCGCGTGATACCTCGAGTGACGTGGATTCTACCTGGACATCGCGATTTCTGCACAACCGGCACAATCGCAGAGGCACTGAGAGCGCACTGAACCCGCAAGCTGGCGGGGGTTCATCGGGGGGAGCCACGATGGCCACCGAGGGCAAGAAGAAGAGTAGATTCCCAAGACTACGGAAAGCGTTTGGATTATCATGACTCTCAATCCTGCCTTTTAAGTTATGTACGATCTATATGCCTTAATGTTGCCCCCATCCCTTTCGGATTATGTGTGGTACGGTGCCCCAATTTAACGCCATGTTATGATACTATACATAATATTAATGATTAATTTCACATGGTTGATGTCTCTTATTCTGTATAGCTGCTGCGCTTTATTTCTGGTTTATTTCTAGCTACCTTCAATACTCGCTTAGAACGGATATGCTTAAAGAGGACTGGATATACCCATACATCTGTTACGCTTTTTGCCCTTCCAGTTTTCTACCTCCCATGAGGATGGCAAAGCAATTCTGCCCACTGAATGCTAAATATAATGCAGAATAATTAGTTAAGGATATGAAACTACGTATGAGAAATCATTGTGAAGCTCGTGATTGCGGCCTGTGGCAGTTGATGGCAATATCATCCAATGGCATGGTCATTTAATATAAATTCATTCTTTTCACCGCTAACTTGCCAATTTCGACTGTTTACGGAGTAGAAAGTCCACGATTCTCGTTATAGCCAAATCGACCAGTTGAATTAATAGCGAGTACCCTGTATTCAGTCTTTGAATTCTCGTACAAATGCCTCATGATTGGTAAACAACACCGCCGATATCACGAAAGGGCAATGCAATAATTCGAAATATCACCTCGGTTAACATCTCTCTGTCGCGACCGACCACCTGGATAACAAGGGGTAAGTTAGCCTTGTGTCATGAGACGGTTCCTCGGTCTCTCGTCTCGGTGTCTCAGGATTGTGAGTGAAGATGTTCCTGACAGTCGGAGCCTTGGCGCATTCAATCGACGTCAACCTGCTCGACGATCGAGTTCGGTCAGACAACAACAACATCACATCGGTTCACTCTCAATCATCACTCACTCTCTTTCATTGTTCATGGGTATTAATAGTTAGTGTGTTTTATGCATTTATTCACTCTATATCCTGTACCCGAGCTTTAATTTACCTAGTATACCATCCTATCTGAACATCATTACCGTCCCAGGCCCTCGTCATGAAGTCGCTCTCCCTACTGGCGCTCGCCGCCATCGCTCCTCCAGCGGCTGTGGCTGCTGTAGTAGACCGCCAAGTTCCCTTTGAGAACAGGCCCGTGCAAGGGCTTCCAGAGAAATTCTTAATCCAGCTCGGACCCGAACAGACAAGATGGGTGACAGAAGACGAGAAATGGGCCTTGAAAATGGTAATTCTATCCCAATTTACCGACTTTCTCCCGAATTCTATTGATGGAATATTTTCCTTAGGAAGGAGTAAACTTTTTTGACATCACGGCCGAGCCAGACAGAGGGTTCTCTGCTAAGAGCCACGAGCGTATCCAAGTTAGCTTTCCATCGGAAGTCAAACACCAAACGGAACTGGCGCCTCTGCTAGAGCAACTGTCCAAGGATAATATGCGCCAGAACCTTGTTCACTTTACCTCTTTCCATACCAGATACTACAAGTCGGAAACTGGTGTTCAGTCGGCAACTTGGCTGTTTGAACAGGTGGAGGAGGCCATCCAGGATTCTGGCGCTGCTCAACACGCCGTCAAAGTCGAAAGGTTTGAGCACTCATGGGGCCAATTCAGTATTATTGCAACTATCCCAGGAAGGACGAATAAGACTGTGGTCATCGGCGCTCACCAGGACAGTATCAATCTGTTCCTGCCATCGATCCTTCCCGCGCCTGGTGCAGACGATGATGGTAGTGGAACTGTGACTATCCTCGAGGCGTTCCGTGTTCTGTTGCAGTCAGAGGCGGTTCAGCAGGGCAACGCTGCCAACACCATTGAGTTCCACTGGTACTCCGCTGAGGAAGCTGGCCTTCTTGGCTCCCAGGCAATATTCTCGGACTACAGTAAGACTGGCAGAGACATTAAGGCCATGCTGCAACAGGATATGACTGGTTATGTCGAGGGCACAACTAAAGCTGGTGAGGTAGAGTCCGTAGGTGTTATCACCGATTTTGTCGACCCAGGTTTGACAGAGTTCATCAAACGTGTCATTACAGGGGTAAGTTGGATTTAAACCACGAATTCTCGTAAAATCCTTTTGGCTGAAAACTTTCACCCAGTACTGTACCATTCCGTTCGTCTTGACACAGTGTGGTTATGCCTGTTCGGACCACGCTTCGGCCAGCCGATATGGATACCCGTCAGCATTCGTCATTGAGTCAGAATTTAAGCGCTCCAACCAGCGGATCCACACAACGGGAGACACTGTTGATCTTTTGAGCTTTGACCACATGCTACAGCATGCAAGAATGACGCTTGCTTTCGCGTATGAGCTTGCATTTGCAGAGCTGTAGACTCCATTGACCTTTTTGCGTGCTCCAAATTTGCCCGGACACAGGTTTGTTGGGCATCCTATGATCTCTATATTTCTGTTTGTGCGAATTTCTTTGGCTGGAAATGGTCATTATGCCCTAGAGTATAAACACCCATAAGCCTATCGATGATGCTAAGATTCACCATTATTGTTTACTATCATTAGAGAACAAAGACAATGAAAGAATACACATCTTAGGTCTGACTTCCGCTCATGCTGCTGTGGATTGGGTTGATGTTGTGATTTCTTTAGATCATTATTCATTGAAGCCGTAACGCGCTGGGGTTCTTTCCAGTTGCTCAGTGGATTCGAGCAGGCCGGAGAACCTAGGACGGGCTATTTTTCTATAGAGTGTGCCTTGTCTACTCTTAAACCAAATTTGGTTGGGTAGTTGAAATATATATTATTTTTTGTTTTCGTGGCCCATGCAAAAGCTGTGGGAGACGGTTGAACACAACCATGGTTTTCCATATCCCCGTCATCAAGTAGATGGCTTTATCAAAGAGCGAAGCAACAAGAATTGACGACGTAGCTGAACCCATTAATATGCCAACATGGACCGAGAGAGGTTTGCGTAAAGTCGTAAAGGGGATACGCTTAACGTAATGCCAACCGGACGCCATGAAAAAAAGAAAAAAAAAAAAGAGGTATATGTTACATACATCTCGGGGAAGTATTGCCTGAGTGGGATATCAAGAAAAGGGAAAGGATGAAAAAGGGGCCCGGATGACATAGTGCGCTGAGTAACCAGGGAACGCCGGCTTCCGATAAAGTGTACATATCAGAACAGATTTCCGAAATAGCCGACCAGCAGCAACGGAATAAGGAAGAGGCCGGCAGATATCATCTGGGGGTGAGCTGCTGCTGACTTATCGACATCGACGGTATAAATATATTGGGCGGTTAGGTGGGAGGAATTGAAACAATTCCTCCTTGTTACTTGCTCAACATCTTCTGGCTCTGCGAAAGTAATATCGACGCACTATATGGGATAACAGGTCAGTCAAATAAACCTAGCTAGAAATGCGGATATGGGCGCCGTTTACATTATACAATGCAGCTCCGTGCTTAGCAATTTCAACGACTTGGATAGTGGCGTTGTCACCAACATTCACGGTGATATTAGGGGGCAAAGGGACCTGCGGCATGCAAAACGTGCCAGGATAGGGCTCTACCGTAGGGCCGGTTATTTGGAAGGGAGAAAGCATCGGGAGACTCATGTTCAGCGGGACAGTTCCGATACCAAGGTTAATGTAGATGAGTGCCGTCTTGTGGCCAGGGAACCATCCGGGCTGGAACGACACCGCGCCACCCTTTACGGGCCACTTTGTTCGGTTTTGGGACATGGGCATTCCCCCACCTAGTTGGAATAATTTCATGTCAGGTAACTGGCTCCAATTTCAATTTCCACAAGCTGGTCAACTAACATGGATACAGCCATTGCATCCCGAAAGGATACAGATAATCTCTGTCCCCAGTGGCATTGCTGGCGTATTTGACGCTTAGCCCATCTGTTTCCTCAACTGTTCCATTTGAATATAGGTTGTTCCCGCGCCATCCCGGGTAAACGATAATAGTATGAGCACGGGCGACAGTCGCGAAAAAGAGTGAAATGACGATGGCCCACCACGAGCCTATCGAGTGTTGTCTCGTCATTGTGGGCGTGTGTACGGAATTTGCGAGCGCAGCAATGAGAGGTGGAGGATTTCTGACGGTTGAGCGCCAACCAGAGTTTCCGCACGGTCCAGGATCTTGAAGGAGCGAGGTTCTGTCGAAGCAACTGCAATTTACCACATCTGACCTGTATTTCACTTTCGACAAAGATGAAGGCACCGAGGAGAAGAAATGATGGGAGAGGTTGAAGCTGAAAAGATGACGATATCTTGGGCGGCTAAGAGACGTGCCTATGTGGCTAAGATCGACCCAGGACCCGACTAAAAAAGCAAAGACCCTGGAGGAGGAGAAGCGACGAATCGCCCCTGGGGGTAGTACAAGGGTTATCTTGTTCAAAATAGACCATTCAATTGAAGGGGCAACTTCGAAGGTCAAGGCACAGTGGTTGATAGTCAGTTAACTACTCCGTAATCATCGCAAATTCTAAGAAAAAGACCGTGAATCACAAGGATAAAGATAAAAAGAATGCCCACCGGCAACGAAATATCCACCGGATCCCTGGTACGGAATGAGATTTAAGAACTGCTCTGTACAGAGTACGGACTTTTGCTTTCTCAAGACAGACGTTCTCGCTCTTCAGGCCATTGTCCTTGGCCGCACTGGCCCCATGTCCATTCACAAAGCTGGACCTTGCGGAAACCAACGAATCATGGCAGAGAGCGAGCATGCAATCCGATGCATGCAAGGCTGTGATGTGATTGCGACAGGCCAATTGCATCGCTGATCACAAGAGGCCCGTTTCCTGTACCCCTGTCCGACGGCTGCGATTCGTGGAGGCGCACATCATGCAAGCGCCCACACTTGAAAGAAGGTTGCGATCCCCCGCTGAGTTTGGGTGGGGCTCGCAGTTCGACCCAAAGGTCGGTTTCCAGCTGGGAGCGCCGGCTATTGAGAGGAAGTCTGCCACAGAACCACGGCGCTGACAAAAACCAACCAGCTCCATCATGGCACTTCATGCAAGTGACGAGCAAAGCAGATCAAAAAAAGAGCTATATCACGTGATAATATTACTCAGCGAGTACTTTGATGACTAATCAAGGCTGAGTATCCCGTGACCTCATCGCTTGGCCCGTTTCCGACGGCACAGCGCAAGTTTCCCCAACCTGCTGCGTCCTGCAACCGTCCACTGCCATGTCGCAGCCGGCAAGACGGAGGAAGGTTGTCGATAACGATGGGTGGACACACATCACCTCTACCAAGAAGTCCTCGAGTCTCCACCACCCGCCGCAGCCCAAGGACCAGCTAGCGCCTGCAGAAATTCCTGACGGACTCACATTTGAAAAGCTGAAAGACAAGTACGATCGGCACAAGCAGCAATGGATGGAATCACACAGCTGGACCGTTCTAAAAGGATTGCTGGAGCAAGAGATTGCCCGTGTTTCGGGAAAGATTCGTAATTGTGTCTGTTTTGGGTTGGGAAGCCCGAGCGGCTTCTCCCGTGGAGGATGGGTTGATCGAAGGAGTATATCAATGTTTCAACTTGCCGCACTCGAGTTGACAGTGGAGCTTTTATGTACGTTTGCTACGATATTTATTGTTGGAGGATATACAGAAATGAGGCTGACGAATGTACTTGCGAAATGCACAAAGCCCAAGCAAAAATTATTAACCCTGATAACCTCTATGCTCAAGATCCTGTTTTTAATGACATGGATAAGAAGCTGCTAAAGTATGCTGGGTTCAAAGTAGTTCAAGATCCAGATGCCTTTGCAATTGTTGCCAAAGAGACATTTTTGTATGCTCCTGGCGCTGAAAAATCTCATCTAATCGATCTTCTTTTGCGTGACCCGGTCCTATTTTTCGGAAGTACTTTCGATGACATTCACTCGGCAACCACTGAAGGTGACACATGCGCGCAATTTGCGGGGAGGAGGCGCTCACTTTTGCTTCCGGAGTTTGAACCAAACCCAAGTGCATTCTGGAGGACAACCTTGTATTGGAACGGCGAAGCACACCTACCGCCTTCCGCTGATTGAAACCCTTCTGGATGCCCATTTCGATTTAAGCGATTACACGAGGACATTCCATGTCCGTTCCACATTCCGCCGAGGAAGCCAAAAGGCCTTTCTGGCACGGTATGGGAAATTTTGTGCCTCCGTTGCACTCAACTAGGAGAAGGAGTAGCGATGCGATATGCAGGAATTAGCACAGAGGCTAAAAAAGCTTTTGCGTTACTTCCGACACTACCGCTGGTTATCTGATAGTTGGCAAAGGCCGTCCTTTGACTTGATATAGGCGCACTCGCACTCATTCAGTTTCCTTATCAAAACACCGGCCTAAGCAAATGGACCCAGAATATTTTGCAGTGATTGGGTTCCGAATCCCTGGAATCGCCTATGTAAATATGTACAACGAATGTTTGGCAAACTATCCTGTTCGAGGTACTCCGTATATATTTGCAATATTCACATTTATTTTTTGGCGGTGATTTATAATGCCAGTTTACACACCCACCAATTCCCTAGTTGATATCTTTACTATCCACCAAGGTACCAAAGAAATCTGCAATCTCTAGGAGCGCCATCTATAAACACCGCCGCGTTAGTGACATCTAGCAACCAATTTTTGAACCGCTCTGGACCAACATACCTTCTTCACTTCTTCACCATTATATCCCGGGAGATCTCGATCACCAACACCATCCTGAGCAACAACAACATCATATCCGAGCTCGTTCGCACTCCGAGCTGTTGTTGACACACAAACATGGGCCTGCAAGGTTATTAGCGTACTAGAAACCACGCAGACACTCCCCTGCCAGGGGGTAAAAAAAAGCAGCCTGATATTAAAAAGTGAAAACCGTACCATGTATCCAACCAACACCACTTTCTTGCATCCCTTTCCTTTCAGCCACTCGTCCAAACCCGTCTTCGCAAACGAACTCGGGAACTCCTTGACAACCACCTTCTCCCCATCCAGTGGTTTCAGCTCGTCGAATTCTTCTGCCAGCGGGGTGCCAGGCGTGAACACGGGAGTACCCTCCGGTACCTTGTGGAGAACATGGACGATGTTTGATTTTTCGGATTTCTGCGCAGCGGCGCGGTATTTGGAGAGAAGAGAAGAGATGACAGCGCGAGATTGGTCGACAGAGCGAACCTTAAGAAGACCATTGGCATATCTGGAGAGTTTAATTGTAAGACTTCTAGGCGGTATGATGCGGAAACCGAAAGGGGCTCCTTACTCGTTTTGCGCGTCGATGATGATCAGGGTACTATCGGCAGTTGACGCCGTGAGGGGAGGGATCCCCGCCATATCTCTAAATAGAGCCATTGCCGTAGATATACCCCCTATTAGTCGTAATAAAACGTTCTGTCAGCTCTGATCTGTGAGTGCCTTTTCGTGTTCTTGCTGGATATCAAAAAAAAATTCAAATTTTCGATCAAGGTGGGAGAGCCCACGAAGAGGAAATTGGATTAATAAACAATCGGGGGAATCTTCCTTTTCCGCCACTCGCGGGTGCTTCGTCCGAGGCGCGCGGCCCCGCCCCCGCATCTGGCTTCCCCCGACGCCAAGGCTTTCCGCCGAAGCCGGCGTCGTCAGGGGCAAGTTCCGGCGATGCGGGAGACCTGGTACATTCACCTTCAACAACTAATAGCCCGCAAGCCGGGATCACGCTGGGCCGTTTCGATGGATGACCGATTAGAGAAGCATTCGAAATGAAGAGACGAAAAAAAAAAGTTTAAATATATTATATATATACGACGCGCGTCGCTAAAATAGAAGAGGCACGATGGGGGAAAAAGGAGGGACGGCGCTGAATTGGATAATTACAAAGGAGAGATGACATAGACAATGGTTCAACTAGTGCCAATAATTGCCTTTAAACAACATGACACCGATGGAAAGAAAAAAAAAAAAGGTATATACGCAGAGGAAATGTCCGTACGCCAACCTGCCAAGAAACCGCTTTTAAACAGCAGATGGATTCCAAGGGAGGGTTAGAGATATGAGGTTCCAGTGCTGGAAAACAATAGGAAAAGGAGACTATGTCGATCAGGGAAAACATAGGTACGGGGAGGTGAGCAAGGTGAATTCAAACAATACAGACAGGGGAATCAATATACTGCAGGGATGCATGTATAAGTATATTCACAAAAGGAAAAAAGAGAGCATGCATAGTAAATTGCAAACATATGATCAAACACAAAATAGGTCAAAGTATCCAATATATGCAGAGAGATTATGAGCAGAAATGAAATGTATGTACTGTACCGCTGTTCTTTGCGTTTGTATGCATAGAGAAAAAAGCCAACAACAATGGCTGGATGTCTAAGCGTGTGAAATATTCACTTTATATGGTTTTCCCGCCGCAACTTGGGATCTTAATCCCGGGTTTGAGGTTTCTTCCAGGGTCCATGAGACCCCATTTGTCTTCCCACTCTTTGCCCGGCTCATTGTATTGTTCTTTCCAAGGCTCGTCGAATGCTTCAAACCTGTAGAGATACTAGCATTAGCACTAAGCACAAAAGGAAACGCAGTGATGGAGCCGGCAATTGGCGGTGAAGACCAACCAGAAATAATCCGTGCCCTTTTCCAGGGCAGGGCAGACCCAGTCTTCCATAAACTTGTTCAACTCCTTGATACCAGCAACCGCCCCAGAATTGGAGCTGGAACACTGGGAATTCCCACAGTTGCTCCCACCACCGCTAGGCCAACCGACTTCGGAGATCAGCTTTTTCGTGTTAGGCCCTCGGGACAGGGTAGAGTCTTTGTTGTCCCAAAACTCATACGTCCAATCGGCGGCCTCATCGACGGGGACGCCACCAAAGAAAGGATGAATATTGGACATGACAACGTCGACAACCCTAGCGAGCCCTGCAGTCCAAGCATCACCCAAGTCCGAAGTTGTAACTGGCAGGTCGATGTTCATGTCTTTGAGCTTGGATTTGACATCTTCAAGGTAGTCGCTCAACATCTGCAGTGTGGCAGGGGACCGGTGACCGCGGAACAAGACTTCATTACCAACGATCACTCCCTTGAATACCGATTTATCCGCTGTCGATTTGAGGATATCGTACATTTGTTCCAGCTGACGGTCGTTGGTCGTTTTGTTTTCGTTGTCGATCCACACACCCACCCAGAGTTTCATGTCTTTCAGCTCCAGCTTATCGATCGCATGTAGGACCATCTCCGTCTGGTTGCAGTCCGTGCCGTAGAGTCTCACAGTGTTTGTGAGCTGCGAGAGGACTGCCATATCCCGAGTAACGTTGTTCTGGCTGGGGGGATACTTCAGACACAAAGGGTACTGTGTGCCCCAGGGAGTGTAGTCCATTCCAGGGAAGACCCTGTGCAGATTAGGGTTATTCATAAGATCCTTGATCTCCTGAGAATCTTTGTTGAGGTCCCCGTTGATCCTGGAGTCGTCATCTGCCGACTGTCCACCGCCTCCCCCGGACGAGGAGGAGTTTGAACGGTTCCTTGATGGCAATAGCCCTCCAGCAACTCCACCAGCGATGCCTCCCAGGACGAGAATGGCAATGATGATACCAACAATCCACTTCAACTTCTTCTTGCTTGCTCTTTGCTCGACCAACCACTCACTCTTTTCACCGGGAAGAGCATCGTAGGATGGACCACCGTCGGGACTGCTGCTTGTTTGACCGTTCACGCGACCGCCGATGGTACCTGCTGCACCACCGACAGCCGCACCGGCACCAGCCGCTCCAGCGCCTCCAGCCAAGCTTTGATGACTGCTACTTTTTCCAAGAGCGCTAAGGACTGATTTTCGCTTCGGGTTTGGGATGAAACCATCGTCGCCGTCATCGACAATATCGTTCGGGTTGATAGGCTCGTTCATCGGCGACCACGAGGTGCGTTGCTGGCTGTAGGGACCATTGTTGAGTCCGTCGTAGTGAGGGTTAAACTGGGAGCTGTGGATGTTGTTGTTGTTGTTGCCGCTCCCATCGGTCGCACGGCTGAGTGGAACATTGGACGAATAGGACCCGGGTGTCCTTGACATCGACGATGCATCCATAGCGACAAGGTCCGGGTTCGAAGCGTAGTACTGCGCGTCTGAATGAGGATGGTGGCCGTAGTGGTGTGTATTGTCAGGGTTGCCTCTGATCGCCTGAAGCCCACTCTGCCGCTCGTGGGTGCTGGCTATGCCCGCCGCGATACCGGTAATGCCGCCGCCGGCAGAGAGAGGACCCAGGTTGTCGGCTCCAGGAGACACGGTGGAATCAGTGCGCGTGGTCTGCGATCGCACGGGTTGGAGAGTGGGATGCGGGCGTTGGGCGTGCTGCGAGAAAGGCTGCGAAGCTGGCGAGTGTTCGTGGCCCTGGTGCCTCTGGTCCCTTAGCCTGCTGTATGCGCTATCCGGGTGGGCCGCCGGGTGGAAACCGTGAGGCTGAAACGGCGCGGACGAAGGCAGCTCGTATTGGTAGTTGGAAGGAAAGGAGCTCTGCTGGGAGCCATGGTTATTGTAATTCTCGTTCGGATCGCCACCGTTGTAGGAGCGTTGCGGGTGGTAAGGCATTGTCGGCGGTGCGGCGTGCACGACTCGCAGCACATGGAAGGTTTCACGGCGTCGGGCACTGTTCCCGGGGAACGGAGCGGCTTGTGTCCACGGAAATGGACAAGCGGGGGGTGCCCTCAACCGCGCACCTCTCGAATTCAAGGACGCAGAGACGACGAAAGAGTGACGAGAGCGACAAGACCGATGAGAGATCTCGTCATGAGAGAAATCTTGTCTTGAGACGAGATGCTGAGACCTGCAAAAGGGGGAAATGAGCGCAGGACAACGCCAGGCTCTAGTTTCGCCTGGGACGGGGGTGGGGGGTGGGTTTCGACGAGCTAAGCGTGAATGAGCCGGCAAGCAAGGTTCCAAGGCTCGCGAGATGGCCGGTTACCAGGGCAGAGCGAACTCGCCATCCGCCGCTCCGTTCCAGGCCAAAAGGTAAATTTCTCGACGCCTGCTCCGTGCTCCGTGCCGCCACCCGCGCGTGCGCTCAACTCTTAAAACGTGCCATCGTCGTCATCATCGACTGTCGTCCGCGGCCAATCCGTTGGTTGTCAAAACCGTTGCACCGGCGCGCTGCACGACATCGCCATGACAACCGCCGCTCCACGGCCCCGGGGCTGCCAATCACGCCGAGCCCTGAACACGAGCCTGCAGCGATCTCCGCATCATCGAAAGAAGGAAAACCCACTTGGGTCACTTGTCCTCCATCCTCTGAACTTGGTATCCTCGCTGACGCGCCCGCATAAAAGGTTGCTGCTGCACCCGCCTGCCTGCCACACGTCGTCGGGCCTCCGGAGCCGTCCATCGCAGAGACGAAAGGCAAGGAACGGCCAGCTTCGCTCGCAAACGGACCTCCCTCTTCCCCCTCTACCTGCGTTGCCGTTCAGAATCCTGGATCCGCTGATCACACTGTCTCACACTCCGCCACACCGACACTGAGACATGCTGCACAGCCCAACAACGGTCGCGTGTTTAACTCCCAAGTCAGAAAAAATAAACAAAATATAAAATAAAATATAAGAGGTAAAAGGTCAGAAATAAAGGCATAAAGAAAAATGGTGATTGGGGATTTAAAAACCGTGCTATCTTCCCTTTCTTGAGATACAGGAATCTCCGATCCGACAAGCAAGGGTTCCTACGCCCAGTGACCGCATTCCGCTTGAGCAACTATCTTCTTTTGGTATCTCCTCAAAGGTCTACGGAATATTACTCGTCTTCTGGCTGGACCAACATCATTCACGCCTTATGATATCGATGCCGACAGAAACGGCAAAACCCTCCACCAGGCTTCTACGAACCTTTTCAGCATTTTCTCTCTGTTCCCCCGATCTACCATCCTGTGGAGTTCACAAGGCGACCAAAGCCGCCAATCCTCCGAGCGCGCATGCATTCATCGGATGCGATGGCGTGGCTTTTTTTCTTTTTCTATCTCTTTTTCTTCTTTCTTTTTTGTTTTTTTTCCGCGTAACACTCGGGGCCTCGAATCTACCAGATCGGGAATGACTTCAGGTTCCTTTTCGTCGGAGTAGTTTACAGAGACCTTTGTCGCATTGCTCGTCAATACTATCAAGGGGAGAGGAAGCATTGGTTCCCGTCTGTCCTCATTCGATTTCGATATCAAAATCTAATACGTCCACGCTACTCCATCCATATCCGCGCCATAGCTTACGAAGAGTTTATACTTCCTATAAAATTGGTCTTTTCTGTCTATCTATAGAGCGTCTATCGACGGTCTACATCTTTTTTTGGCATGCCTTCACCGCCAGCCCTCCACCTCGCCCCCTCCTCGAATCGCACCACCTCGCATTGTGGGAAGAACACGGGTGCCATTTAAAACATCCGCTGGCGGAGTAGAATTTCCCACCAGGATGTGCGTCGATGAGTTTGGTAACATCATGGACAAACACTGGTAATGGCAACAAGAGCTTTGTCATTCTTCAAATCAGTTATGAAACCACTCCAATGGGCAGCACTTCCCAAAGTGGAATATTCCTCGTTTCTAGCCGATGGCCCGTCTTTCTCTAGACCTACTACACAGTCGATCTCATCTCAATGGTGTGAAACTACTGGAGGTTAGAGGCCCGACTAAGCTGCTTCACAGTTGACTATTTTGTGGGGGTTATTATCGCCATCTTATGGCATTCCGATAACCCGATGGGAATTGGCCGAGACTCAGTTGAATGGACATGGTATTTAAGATCAGAAGACACCTATTTCCTTCATTGATGGGAGTTATGTTCGCCTTCGCCCAGGCTGATAAACGCGGCAATGATGTAGTCGCGAGGTGAGGCCCCCTCGTCGAATGGCTAGAACTCGCTAGCGGATCCGGGGCAACGAATTTTTGGGTATGGGAGCCAACCGGCTTTGCGCCGCCCAGCCAATCGGCGCGAGAGTTGACGCAGAAGGTTGCCTGCTGGACAAATCAAATCCGAAGAATCTTCGCGTGTACCAGACGGCCCTTCCGGTCGCCCTATTCCGAACCCAGCTATCGCCATTTGGGAACATCGTCTCGAACACAAACATAATGGGGCCATAATTCTCACCTTGCCAAACCGCGATGGGATCCCCTTTCAAATTGGAGATGCCCGTTCGACCGCAATTCAAGATCCTACTTGATCAGCATCTGCACGGGATGCGATTGCCACCGCAACACCGGCCAGAAACCCCTCCCGATGGAATTTGAGAATTTATCGAGAACGGATGCCGAAAAAGCAAATTTATGATAAGAGAATAGCGAAAAGCATGCAAGGGATGCAGGCTTCTCACTCAATATGCAACTTTCGGCAACTTGACTCCAGTCTCCATGGTTATGGTAGTAAGTTTAAGCATGAATATCTTGCGAGTGGTTGGCACCCCAAATTTTGTAAATGGCATGGAAAGCCATGAGGACGAGCTCGAATCTGGCCGGCTGAATTGAATGCAAGAGATTGAAGACAATACTATGGATGAAAAGCTAGGACGGCCAACTCTGGACATTCCTTTTCTCCAGCAGGTATCCCTTGAACCATCGGGGTAGCTAGGGCTCATATCTTCAACTCACCACAAAATAAATTTTTTCCCATAGGTCTGGGACTACCGTTCCCGGGGTTGATCTAAAACTCGCTTGCCAGGTCCATGTGTTGGCAGAAGACAACGAGGAAAAGCCTGTTGATCCTCTCCGACATCAAGTCTAGCCTTTGCAAGGGTAAGAGAGCGGTGGACCACCCGTTCGGCGTGGCTAGATTTCAAAATATGAACAAGATGTTAAGGGTTAGCGCTAATACCTTTGGAGTACCTTCATAAAGCAACCTTTAGATGGTCACACGAAACGCAGTTTACAACTGGCACGCGTGGGTGCCCAATTTGCGGTCCTGGTGCTTGCTCAATGTGACAGGTCAGAATTACAGACTGGCCAACTGAATATCCCGTTTGATGGCCCTCAATCCAGGCGCTCGATACGTCAGAGTATCTAGTTAATTGGAGGACTGGCGACAACTCGACCGCATTGCATCCTATCTAGTGCTAGCCACGAGAAGATGTTCTCCTTTGGCCTAACCAGTGGTCTACAAATACCTCTTTTTTGGTTTTTGGGGTTTGCGCGGTGCTCTACTCCGTAGTAGAGGCCAAATCATTCCCGGGATGCCGTCTTTACTCGTTTGTCGTGTTATTTCTAGCTCCTCCCAAAAACAATATTTAGATCTGTTACTGTCTTACTAATTATAGGTTGCTATTTTTGCCATCCTCAAACACGGCTGAGTCAGTGGCCTCAGTCCTAATGATGACTTTGTGACGAGTACATCTATTAGAGATGCAGCTACAGAGCAAACCGCCTAACCTTGATAAGACCTTGGCAGCGAGCGGAGTAAAATGTGTTGATGCCTTTCACCTCGATTATTTAGCGGGCGTTCTTCACCCTCATAATACATTGCCGGGGGACCAGAGGTTCATATATCCCAACATTTATATATCTCACCGCCAGATGATATGTTTGGTTTGTTCGCCTCGAGGCGAAACTAAAGGGAGCTTCAATATATCCCTAACAGCATTCCATTCTTCAATTCTAGCTTCACATAAGGCTTTATCGAAATGGACTTGCTCAGAACAAAAGGTGGTCCTCAGATAGAGTTGTGGAGAACCTTTCCTGAGCTAACTATATAACTACGGCGCGACCAGTCAACTATGGATGCACTGTACAGAATTGCGTTCCCTTGGCAAAATGTGTTCCGGCTGTGATGAGATAGAAACCACTAGGAGCCGGGCTGCTTCTCGGAGAATGGAAGCTCTACAGCCTAGGAGATCATCATGCCTGAAGAAGCCACGGCGGTGGTAAAGAGAGAGGGAGGGGTAAATGGTTTTAATGGACAATGCAAGCATAGCACTTGACTCACTTTTTTGCTGAAAGTATCAACTTCGTTTGAGCGCTGTTGAATCATCTAGGTGCAATCCATAGGTAACAAGACATTTACAAGTGTTTCTTGGAGTTCTTGGTCATTACATGGCTACCCACGGACCTATCTGAACATAGCCTATCGTTCTAGAGGACTTCTGCGCCTTTCAACATACTTCAAGCGAGTAGGTGAATTTCTCTCTTTCAAAACAAAGCTAATTATAACTAGATCATGGATGAATTGAAATTCCGAAGTCTTTGATCCCCGAGTTTGGCTTCGACGGACGATGACGCACGTATGATAAGTGCTCATAGCAAATCACGGCTGGTATAGTAACACAGACCTCCAGCATCCGTTCTCCTTTTCCACTTTCATTCATGGACGTATGCAGTTAACATGCACGATTAACCATTTGCATTCTGACAACGCAACGAGGCTGCACAATTCTCATGCACGGGTACTTACCAGCTATATGCCCTTCCTTTGCTACCCCGCTTGAGATGAGGTGATTTAAGGGGCCGTCTGCCATCCCCTCCGTCTCAATCCTGTGGAAATGTTTTCTGTGAACACCCAACGCCAACTAGCCACCTGTCTGATGCAATTATGAAAGGAAAAAGAAAGCTCAAGAAGTCCAAGGACAAAGACGCACAGGCTGTTGCTGAAAGTCTCATCGTCTCCAACAATGACGCCGTGCCCCTTACTGACTACGACTATGAGAATGATCTACGGCCTGAGTTTTCGTAAGCTCCCATATTTACCTCACCTAGCATAGGTACCTGCTAACTCGGAGAGCTAGACCCTATACAGAAGACTGCTGCTATCTCCTCGTCGGAGAGAGCTGCATTCGCTATACAGTGCCAACTCATCACCTGAAAAAGTCCCCGCATTTGAGCTCCCGAGCACCGGAACGTTCTTTTACGTCTCATCGAGACTATCGAACGATTGAAGTGCCTGAATTGGATGAGGATATCGGACACACACTAGTGCACTTCCTGTACACCGATGAATATCAGACGCTGAAGCATCCGATTTCATCGAAGGCTGAAACCAAGGCAACTGAATACAGGAGAAGCATCCTTGTATATCAGGCTGCTAGCGCATACGGATTGCCTCTCCTATTGGAGCGTGCAAAGGAGCGCATAAACGAATTTGACAATGCAGTATCGATCTTCGAAGCCCTGGATATTGCGAAAATCGTATACGAGAAGCTCCAAGATGGTGACAAGGAGTGGTTTTGTGGTTACATCACACGAAAACTCGAGAATGCGTTTGATGCCGACGACACATTGTTTGCCCAAGACCAATTCAGAGGGTATGTCGGCGAGGCTCCGACGTTTAGCCGGATGCTGGTGAAGCTCCTAGTCGAGATATACAGTGACAGACTCTCAAGAACGCGCATCAAGAACGGCCAGGGCAGGACAGATGGGATTGAGCAACCAGCTTGCAATGGTGAGCTGGCGGAAGAGATTTCAGTACCTGAGGGCTCTGATCCAGAACCGGAGGAGGTTAAGTTGCTCGAGTGCCCTGAGCCAGAACTGGAGGAAGTTAATGTGGTCGAGTACCTTGAGTCAGTCCCCTAGAGATAGGATTGTGGAAAGTTCTCACCACGGAAAAACGCAGGAAGGGCGGCGCATACATGAAGGCGTCCAAGTACCTGGAGCAAATCGCCAACGAGAACTGCCAAGAAAGAAGCGCGGAGAAACTGGCCGGATAGGTCGGCGCGCCTGTAAGGGAGGCAGGTTTACTTATAGTCCTTTCTCATATACCGCGCAACTCCAATTTTTCGGGTCGCATTTTTGTTGTACGTAGGCTTTGAATCTCTCGCTTCTTCGCCGGGAGTTTTGATATTGCGTTTCGGTTGTCTCTTTGAATCCTTATAATTTGTATTGTATTCTGGCCCAATTCAAGCTGCAACTGGAGCTCTGATTAACCTTCAGGTCTAGGGGTTGGGCTAGGTCCCCTCAGTCAATTCCCTGGTCATAATCGGTTCCAATGGGTCGTTTCACCCGAATGTATTAGTTCACCATCTTTGGCTATTTGTCCCAGGGGTCAACAAGGTGTCTTCCTAGCCTCTGGCTTCAGGGGCTGTCCGCTCGTTCGTTGTTGGCAGCGGGGCACCTGACCGCGTATTCAACATTTCTGAGGCGTTTTAACGCGCTGTGACCCTATAAGTAAAGAGCATCAAGAGGTGCCAATCAATCTATTCCGAATGTCGAACCAAGATCAACGCGGTTCGATGGGTTGAGCTGCATTACCTAACAATGTTGGAAGCATTCACCAAGGTCACCGACCAGCCACCAATAAAGCTAGTTATGTGACTCATTCAGTCCCCTGAAGCTGGGAATAATGAGCTTGAGTATTTCGTACATCTTGAGGCAGTCAAGACGGATGTAGTGGTCTAATCGATAGATGGCAAAAAGGATATGAATTCTTTTTAACTTATCTAGCTAACGTGCTGGTTCTTCCAACAGGAGGCACAACGCCATTCCTACAGATTCGGGTATTCAGGCCGTTTGAAGTCGACTCAGAGGAATATTTATCATTTGACGGAGCTGCTTGAAATAATATTTTACCTCCTAATCCGGCAACCTGAGCGAACGCAGGCCGGATCCCTCATTTGGAAGGCCTTGGATGGATATTAACGCTCAGTTATGGCAAGGAACGTCTGCCAAGCTAAGTGTTGTGACGGCGTGACGAGCATCTTCCAATATAAGCGAGCGCAATTCCAACCCTGGTGGCTTGGAATCCTAGTCTTTTGCTGTTGGTGCAGCGGAATATCACATTCACCAGCAACAAGTCTCCAGACAAGAATGACTAGGGATCATGCGCAGCACAATATCCTTGTAGCAGAGAGCATCATTGGAGTCTTGCAGGCAATCAACACTCATTAGTGCACCAGGTTGTGAGGTGAGGAGGTGTAGGCAATCATCAACACAATGAGTGGATTCTGCACTGTATACTGCTCATGGGTGATAGATGCTGTATGGAAGCACCAGTGTTAGTGGAGGATTGCCACAAGATCTTCCATGCTCACAACTGGTTTGTGATCAATCAAGGTCTAGGTCATACTCATTCATCAAGAAGCCCAAGATGTACTTGTGAAGTCCGTGATAATCAGGAACAAGCGCTCCTGTCTTGGATCTCACCTTGCTGATTTATTCTTTTATGAGTTCATCCACATTCAAGAGTTGAAGGAATTTTCTATTCCACCCAGATAGTACTTTGTTTCTGGATCTTGAAATTCTTCAGCCACCAGTCAGTAACTATAGACTTGGAGGTTCTCAGCTGTGCATGCTGCAAGATGGGAATTGGCACCAACTTCCATAAAGATTAAAACAGCGTTGAAAAAGGGACGCTCCGAACCTACAGACCGACAGAGGTAAATTTGTTCTGTCGCCGGCCCACCCCCTCCCCTATCACGTCCCTCTTTTGGTTTTCGTATTATGTTGCAGGGCCTGGGTGCCCTTACACTTTTTTGGCTTCAATATAAGTTGGAATAAGGTTACGGCCTGCGTCTATTGGATATACCTCGTGGGATTACCCGAGTCTCGCCATGGCTATACTTAGCCAGGGACCCATGGAGAGCCGGGTGGCACAAGTCCAGCCCGAAAGGTTAACCTCATACCTGTTGCTATACATGGATTCGAAGCTACTATTAGGTTTTATAATAATACATTACTCCGGGATCCGGTGGATATCTATACCACATCATATATAAAATAACATATCACACCCACATTCCGCCCGCGAGCTTCACCTTATATATGCACACATTTACTGCGTCCATGGGCATGTACCACAAATTAGACAATCCCAATCTCCCTGCCTTCCCATAGTTATTAACTATCTAAAGCAGCGTCAAAGCAAAAACAGAGCAAGCAATCAAGGGAAAAGTTTCATTTCTATGTCCGTATCCAACAATTGCAATTCTCTTTCTTCCAAAAAAGATGCCATTGCCATTTCCAATTTCATAAATCAGTCCAAAATGTTTCCTCAAATATATACGGTCCAAGAAGAAATCAGCATGGAGACAACAGCGAGACATATACAAATATATAAGCCCCCGATGAGCACAAGACAACAGAGCCAAACGGAGGAAAGAAAATGAAAAACAACCCGAGGTATCCTCCAAAACAAGTCATTTCTATACCCATACCCAGCGCAACAAAAGACCAACAAACAAGTCAAAAAATATGCAGTTTCCCAGTTGTATTCCCAAACAAAGTACGTGTCTTCCTTTATCCCCTTTTTTTTGTTATTTTTTTTTCTCTCTCGCTCTGTCAATGGTACATCTTAGTCTGCAAAGATATGTCATAACTTCCCATTAGATTGTGTTGTGCCCCTATGCTTTTGTTTCTTTTTATTTCCCCCTCATGACTCTACTTCCTCTGCGTTTCGTGCAGAGGTCGATATCTCGACGGCAGCTGGAGAGTTGGACTTGTCACGTTTGCTGCGCTCCAGCCATCTGCGTTTGCCAGCGCGAGTTTCAAAGTGCGAGGCGATGGTGGTGGGTTCTTGTCCGGCAGTGAGCATAGAATTGCGCATCTTGTTTCTGTACGCATCCACTGAAGAAGACAATAAGAGTCAATTCGAAACCAAAATCACACCACGGCGAGGGGAGAAAAAAAAGGGGGGGACCCAGAAAACTTACAAGCCCTCTGAAGGAAGAGCGTCCGTCCCGAAAAGACCCTGCTCTGTCCCCAACTCATCCGATACCCCAAGTCATTGAGCAACACCTCCTTATCCCTCTTCCTCTTCGCGATCTTGGGTACTGCCACCGTGCCCTCGCCCTCTAGCATCGGCACGGGCACGACCGTCCGCCCTAGCGTCGCCTCTTCTTCAGCCACGCCGTCAACACCATCCGCATCGTCCACAAACCTTCTCCCGGCCCTCCCCACCGTCGACCCAAACGGGCCGTGCACGGGGAAGTACGTCCGCGGAAACACCGAATTCGACCGCCGATACGAGTCGGGGATCTCCTTCATGTCGACCTGGTCGAGCATCACCTTGACGCGCACCCTGCACCCGCGCTGCGGGTCCTCGACCAGGATGAACTTCCGCCGGCGGCCCTCAGGCAGGTCGCCGAATAACGCGGAGCTATCCGCGTTCGCGTCTTCGCTCCCGTGTGGCCGGCGAGTCGTCGTTGACGAGGAGGATGACGAGGTCGCCACGCCCGTCGCCGTCTTGCCGTAGTGGTCGATGCCGGCGGTGTCGCGGAGCGGAGGGGCCATGGACGGGGCGTTGGCGGTGGACGGCGGGTTCGGGTATGAAGGGTAGCCGTGGAACATGTGGCTGGGGCGGAGATCTGGTGGGCTGGCGAAGGTGCTCGTTGCGGTTGATGGACGATGAGTACCGTTCGTATAGTCATGATTGCCTATAACAATGCTCAATACGAATTTGTCGTATTAGCCTACGTTTTCGTTTTCCGTCTTTTTTTTTTTCTTTTCTTTTCTTCTGGGTTTGTAGGGCAAATTTCAAAAAAGAAAAAAGCAACCCCCACTTTTCAAACAAAAAGACGAAAAGTATGGATGAAAAAAGAAGGCCATTATGTCCCAATCAGACAAAATATGGGCATGAACAGGGATTGCACGGAAATGACCGCTTGATTTATTTCAATCATCAGGCATAGAAGAGAACACAGGTGCGGAGAGAAGAACAACAGGTATGGGAGAACCGGCTGCCATGATCAAAAAAGCAAATGAAAACAGCATAGATACACCGCACAAATTCATTGTACAGATACATTGCCATCTCTGGCTTAAGCAAAGGGAGAAAGAAGTTCTTGAATAAAAGCAGATCATCCAAAACCACCACGAGGGAGAATAGGCAAGATCACTTTTATCCACCAAAAGAAGACCAAAAAAAAGGGGGATGACAAGAAAGGACAGAAAAGAAGTGAAGGGAAAGAACAAGGACGTTTTTGCTTGTACAATGAAATATAATCACATCCGGTGGAACATACCGCTAACATCTTCCGAGCCCGGTGGACCACCATCTGGATGAGCGTGATGGTGATGAAGCTGAGCTCCTCCCATGGAGAGCGCCGGGGGGGCGCCCAGCGTAGCACCACCGCCGGGAATTCCCGTCGGCGAGCCACCGGGACCCGCCAGGTGAGAAGCGTGCTGGGCAGACACGGCTTTCCTATTATTCAACTTGGCCATCCTGCGCACCCTCCTACTCCGTAACCGCGGGTCTTGGTTACTGTTTCTCCAGCTGTCCACGGCGCGCTGGATCAGACCTCTCTTACCGCGGAGACAAGGGTTCAGCTCCGCGAGCGCCCAGCCCACGGCGTTGCATTCGGTCTCGTACACCAGACGGTTTCCCCGGTACTGATCCTTGCTACAGCAAGCCCGTGGGTACACGCAGTTCTCTGTCTTGAATTCTTGGGTCAGGTTTTCGATGTTGATGTTCTCCACGTCGCATCGGATGGTATATTCCATCTTCACCCGATCCCGAGAATACTCAAAGGCAATCCACTGTACGCCGTTGTTATCTTGCCTTACGACAAGGGGTGTCGTGGCCGGGATCGGGCCGGGAGCGGCACTGGTGTTCGACCCAGGGTTACCAGGATGGCTGTTTGGCGCTGAAGAATTTGGAGGTGCGGGGTGTGACGAGTTTAACGGCGTCCTCTGTGTCGCTGTCGTCTGCGGGACTGCAGGCTCCATCTTCAGATGCGGGCTACCTGCCATTGTGCTGTGTGGAGACGGTTGGTGCAGATGCTGCTGCTGCAGCTGTGGTGCGCTTGTCTGTGGACTTACAAGGAGAGGTTGCGATGTGAGCTGTGTATGTTGTGGGGCGGCAGAATGCGTCGCATATGGAGCGGAGTGGATTGGGTTCATCGGTGGGTATTGGGGGTAGCTGTACATCCCCTGTGGGATCTGGGGCGGTTGTCCATAGAGACCGCGGCCATGTTGATCGTGGGTGGGAGGAGAGGCCACAGACGCCGGGGAGTTGGACTGAGGAGTGTGGTAGATCGGGGGGTAAGGACGCTGCATTTGGGCGGTTGCTGCCATAAGATCGGGTGCTTCTAAGCTCAGTCAGTACCAGGCCGCTTCCAATGAGTTGAGAATAACCCCAGAAGAGAGAAACAAAGTAAAAAGAAAAACAAAGGTTTCTCCATGACCAGAGCTCAAGGGAAAAACCACGGCGACAAGATATGACGCGCAATTCCTTCCCTCAAACCTCGTCACGATTGATCGCACAGTTCCAAACACACAGAGATGAAAAAGAAAAAAGGAAACTTTTTTCTTTGGTCGATGCGTACCGCTAGATGAATAGTGTCCAGCGCTTGTCACTGCATATGCCCCAGGGTGTGACGTGTAGTAAGCTGGTTCTTGGGGAGTTGGCGCGTACGGGGGCTGCCGCTGCACAGGTAGACCGTTTCCCAGGACGTGCTGCTGACCATACGGCAGGCCGGAGGCGGACTGGTGGGGCGAAGAGTTGGCGACTGGTTTTGGCTGTGCAATGCCGGCTGGTCGAGTCTGGAGCGATTGGGCGTGTTGCTGTTGTTGTTGTTGTTGTTGGTGGTGGTGGTTCTGGTGAGAGGACTGGCTATGTCGCTGTAGGAAAGCCAGCTCCAGTTAGCTATGTCGAATAGAGAGAGCGAGGCCCACAGCGGAAGATCCGAGCTGAGAGAAAGTAAACAAAAAAGAAAAGATGTAAAGTCAATGGAGTGAAACGGGCGGAAGGACGGTGGAGGAACAAGGTATAAATGGGGGGAAAATCCGGGAAACGCCTTGATGTAGGTGACAGGGGTGGGCGCTGGTGGCGGCGGAGAAAGTCTCTGGGGTAAATAAGAAAAATAAGAAGAAGAAAAAAGCCGTTACAACAAGGTAATAATTAAGGTGCAGTAGGGAATAGCAGAGCGGTTTTATCAACAGGTGGCAAGTCCTGGAGCGGAAATTAGAAGTAAATGAAACCGTACAGGATCTCGCGCGTCAAGTGTTTAACGGCCGGAATGCTTTTAGGGTCTTCTGATCAGAAGCGGACTGCGGAAAGTGGAGGCAAAACAAAGTGCGCGGTGGAAGTTAGGCCTCGGGAGGTGTTAATCATGGAGAAACAAGGGTTGTTGGTGTCTGTGAGAGACTTGTGTGTGCATGCAAGCCACCCAGGGCCAATGACGGACGGGGAGACCTTGCTGGGAATCTCTCGTGTGTTCCCGGTCGCTGTCTCTGTCGCTTGCCTTCTCTTTGCGCCTGGCTGGCTCTCTCTTCTCTCTCTCTCACACACACACACACACACACACTGGCGGAAGAAGAAGTAGCAGAAGAAGAATAGGACTGGACAGGCTCAGAAAGAAAGACGCAAAAGAAGAAAAAGAAGATCTGTATGTAAGCAGAAACAAGAAGCCAGCCAAGGTTTAAGTAGAAGGATCAACGAAGGCCAACGAAGATCTAGAAAAGGTTTAGGGCTGTTTTGGACTTGATTCAGGCGGGGAGCAAAGAGACGCAAGGGAGGGTCGTCGTGGGCCGGGGGGGGAAGCGAGGGAGAGGAGAGTGAGAGAGAGTGCGAGATAGCGTGTGTAGCGCGAAGGGGCCGATGGAGTCATGCCGGGGCGCACTCGACAAGGATGTAACATCAGCCTGCTGGATCCCTGTCTAGCCCGGCCAGCTTCGCAACGCTCCACCCGGGCCAGTCCCAAGCGACGACGGCCTGCTGCTCAACGGCGCACCGCCCAATCGTATCCGTGGGCGGCTGTGGGCGGCTGGTGGCTTGGATGGAGGATCAGTGGAGCTTGTCTCCTTCGGCCTCGCGCGTGAGAAGGTTTTTTTGGCTGTCCTCGGTGCGTTTATTTTTTTTATTATTATTATTTTTTTATTTTTTTGTACTTTTGTGTTTTTTCTCTCCAATCGATGCGTGGTGGTGGTTGATTGTATTTGTGTTCGTTTGACGACCAAAACAGCGACCGGGCGGCGACGGGTGTGTTGTGGCCGGGTACTCCGCTCGCAGGCTCTCTCTCTCTCGCGGAACATTGAAAAAGGAAAAGGTAGAAATTATAAAATAAATAAAAAAATAAAAATAAAAAAATGTAAAAATAAAAAGAAAATAGCAAAAATTCTGAGAGGTGAAATCAAATGATATACAGAGTATATGTGTGCATGTTCATCGTCTTGCTGTTGGAGAGGATCGACTCGGGTTTGCTGGGATCGTTGCTTGGTGGGCACTGTGTTCCCCACGTGTGACCTAGCCTGAGAACTATGATCCGCAGCAAGGATGTGCGAAAGAGAGAGAAAATGTGTGTATGTGTGTGTTTGTGTGTGTGGGTAAGAGAGAGTGACAAGAGAGGAGAAGGGAGGGAATAAGCAGAGCATGAGACAGGACCAGGGAGAATCGTCACCCAACCAAGGAACAAGGTGGTCTGCAGAAACTCTGTATTCGAAACCGCATCGACTTTGAATATTCAATGCTGGCTTGTCTCTGCTCTCTCTCTCTCTCTCTCTGCTCTCTCAGTGTGTGTGTGCTCTTTTTTTTCCTTTCCCCTCTGCACTCCCTCTTGCTTCAAAACAGGCTGTGCAGGAGTAACCCCCCTGTGTGGATGTGCGTGCGCCTCTCGGGCGACTGGTGCTAAGCGAAATATCGGTGAGAGCGAGACAGCGAGAGAGAGCTCAAGAGACTATACAGTTGGTTTCAGATGAAACATCCCGCAGAGCCGGCGAGAGTGTGTCTGGACGATTCGCTCTGGTCGCTCCCCTCTTGGCTTCGCGGGAAGAAGTAAACAAGCACACCTTCTTCTTTTCTTTTTCCTTTTTTAGATACTTTTCTTTTTTTCTTTTCTTTTTTTTTTGTGTGTGTGTATGTTTCTTTTTTCCACCCCCTCTGCCATGTGAAAAAAAAAGCAAGGCTGCATGGTACATGGAGTAACAAAGCCGGACATGCAGGGACAAGAGCACACAAGACAGAGAGCGCAGAAAGTACAAAATGAACAAGATAACTACTCACCGGGTCGTCGAGGGACTGTGGAGGATCGTCCTTTGTGTACTTTGGCGCTGGTGGGCCCGCGCTGGCTTGAACCATGGCTGTCATGGCCGGCGAGAAGCAAGAGAGGGGGAAATGCAGACGGAGACGGTCGTCGGCAAGCGATGGCAGCGGTAAGTACTCTCCCGTAAGTGTGTTCAACGAGTGACAAAGAGACAAGCAAAAGAGAGAGAGAGAGAGAGAGAGAGAGAGAGAAGACAACAATAGAGTTAAGTCCAAAAAATATCGAATATAACGATTTGTATTGCACGATGTGGTAGGATCCGAACGGGCAGCTAGGGTTGGTGGAGGGGAAGTAAGGGAAGCTTTTCTGCGCGCTGAACCGGTGCTGCAGATCGTGCGAGGGCCGGGGGGGGGGGGGAGGACGGGTAGACGAGGATCAGCCTGGCAGCCCCAGGGGACCGGGGGGGAAGGGCAGGCCAATGGGACTTGGTGAAGAAAAGGGCCTTCGGGGGGGAAGAAGTGAGGGGCGTGTGTGGATGGCAGGCGTCGGGGGGAGCGGCCGGGGGAGCGAGTTTAACGGAGGTTGGCGGGTGTTTGGCAGGTTATATTAACGGGCGCAGTTAAGAAATCCCAACCATTTGACTCTGTGTGCGCGTGTGTAATGATATGCACGTAATTATATTCCCAAATACACACATATTACCCTGTTACCTCCGTAGTTACATACTCGCTCTCCCGCTGGCACTAACCGCCCATCTGCGGTAGAATCTCTGGCAGCCCAGCTGCTTCGAATGTATGAAGTATGTATATATGTTCAGACATGCTCGTTCCTCCATGTCTCGACCGATATTCTGGGCCCAGGCACAGCTGGCTCCCTGGCTGACTAGCTCCGGGTTAGCCTCCCTGTCGACGTTGGACGATACCTGCTGCAGGGAAGCTCTCCATATCTTCAAACAAAACCCACCCGTCAAGCTCTATTGTGTACATATGTAAACTAGCGTGGGTATGGATTTATCAGCGTGTCTTGTCTGGATGCGTGAACCACGGCATTCTACGCGGTCGGAGAAATAGCCGCCCCCAGCTTACATGCCTTTCCATGGTCGTCCGCTGGCTCGTATTCATGGGACTGCGGTCCAGGAACCATGGTCACTAAAACTAAAACTCAACCCCAGAGCTATCGTTCGACAATTCCGAGGTAAAAAGTTCGTCTGTTGATGATGTACCTGTCTGCTCTCCCTGCTATTCTCTACAATGCCAGCCGCGGAACGTCGTCACAAGGACCAAAGGTCCGTCATCTCGCGGAGAAGAAACACAGATCTCCAGCTCCTCTGAACTATGTGCCGTGAGCCGTGAGCTCCTTGAATGGAACACACGTATAGAGTTGCAACCTGGTGCTTTGTTAGACCCTGGTGGCAATAATACTCCAGTTAATGACCAGTATCCCCCGTGCCGTCGGCATCTCAACTGTTGCGGCCGGGCTCTTCGTACCACGAGAGAAGACGAAGACCAAAAGCAAAAAAAAAAAAAAAAAAAAAAAAAAAAAAAAAAAAGAAAAAGAAGAATTGATGAAAAAGGCAAAAAGAAAGAAAAGCGACAGAAAGAGGTAAAAGGACACTCGACATCTTGCCCCGTCATTTGCCAGCCATCGCCAGTTCCAGATCCCTCCATCCACGCGCACACACTGGCGCTCACACACACAAACACACACACACTACTGAAGCCATTTTGGCTCCGACGAATCGACCCATGTGCTGCGCTCCGATCGATCTGAACCGAATAATCCATGAGGCGATCACCTCGGCCTGCTCCAGCTGCTCACTAACTAGCTGGCTAGTAGGTTCTTAGACTGTTTCGGTGGAGATTAAACTACTGTCGCTATGGAGTATAACGTACATAACTGCCTTGCCTGCGACATCGCCTTCAGCCTCAACGGACATGGTTTGTGTTTCGATCGTTCGACAGGAAATCAGCCGACGGAGAAACGCGTTGGCTTCATCTTACTTCTCTTCGTCGGCTGGGATCATAGCTATCGTATGATTCTGACACTGAAGAAAGAGAGAGAGCGAGGGGGGGGGGGGAGAGAGAGAAAAGAGAACTAATGCCGTTCACGAAATTAGCCTTCTGCACGACTTGTTCTCCAGCGGTTTCTCTCTGCTTCACTCCCGTTGTCGCCCTCGCTGCTGTTCCTCCTCCTGCTGCTGCCATTTTCTGCCGAGCTTTCTTGCAGCCACGCACTCTGGCAGCAGGAAAGCCCGCCAAGGTTCTAGCGTCGTTACGATCCGCGCGCCCAACAACCCATCATCTGTACTCGAAACACTCGCCCGCCGCCCATCTTAACCCTTCTGGGAAACTAAAACGGGGCACCCAGTGCAAGCCACCGACCTTTTTTCCTTTTTTTTTGGTCTCCTCAAGTTCTCGGTGTAACCCATCTGCGTCTCTCTCACGGGACTCTATGCTGTCCACGCATTGGTGGAAATAACGAGTCGGTCTCGTTTCTTTTGTTTTGCCGAATGATCAGTACTCCGTAACTGGATCCAAAATCTTCTTTCTCGAAGTCGTATTATGTATCATCTTTATCTGTGCCGCCAAACTTTTGCGCTGTCGGAGATGAGAAGCGTCATCGCCATCTGGGCTCACTCCTGCACTGCCTCAAAACTACTCTGCTTCTGGCTCTTTCGTCAAAGTAATCATATGACGATCGTACTAACGGCTCTTTTCCCTTCCCTCTTTCGAGAGGGGGGAAAAAGCGCGCTCTCTGGTGGAGTTTTTTTTCTCTCTCTCCCCCCCCCCGGGGGACAGTCGCGGAGAAGTCGTGGAGTATGGACTGCACATTCCATCCTTCTCGAGACGTGCCGTGACGAACGTCGTCATCAGGATCGAAATGACACCCACCTCGTCCCGGCAGTGCAATTGATCCTGCAGGAGAAAAATTTAAAAAAAGGTTCACCGAGAGACTTCCCGTCCTGACTGGACCGGGCAACTTTCATTCAGCTGTAGTTGTCCCCTCCGCGGGCTTTTTTTTTTTTTTTTTTAGCGCAGGCCTGCGTGCGCTCCGGTGGAAAACGAGTTGCTGGATCGGAATTGATGGGCAAGTTTCCCGTGAGTGATTCCTCACGAGGTGCCTGATGTTGCGTGTGTGTGCGTGTTGCGTACCTTGGTTGCCCATCGTGAAGTGGATTCCCCCAATTTTACTCCCGTAGTCAGGGTGTATATCCCGTTCTCGACATACTCCTTTTGGGTAGCTCATCTCAACGACGCACGGGGAAGGAAAACAGTAATCTGGATGAAGCAGAAAAATTGGCAGAAAGCATGCAAGCGATTTGGTCATACGGAGTACATAATTTCACCACGAAGTTCCCTTTTTTTTTCTTTTTTCTTTTTTTCTCTTTTCTTTTTTTTTATTTTTATTTTGTATTTATTTTTTCTTTTTTGAAGCTTCAAAAACTACATTCCCAAATATCCCGCCAGAAAGCTCATGTTAGGAAAGGTAACGGGGGACGAAACGACCCGCGACCTCGCGCGAATGCCACCGCCCAAACCTTCGTGGGCCAAGCAGCCACCGCGTCCCTCGCTAGCCAGATCCGGCTGCGGTTCAATGCGCCAAGCGGGCTGCTCTTCTCGCCGTTAAGGCCAATGATACGACATGATCTCCGCATCCCCTATCCCGGCGATGGCCCCACGCTTACAGCAGTTAATATTACGAGATGCTTCTCTCTCACGCTCGACCCTTTTTTCTTCCTTTTATGATTCAAGACGACAAGGCGACCAAGTGCAGGAGCGTGATTAACTATTGGGAATGAAATTTTGAGTTTTTTTTGCTTTTGAATCCTGAAAAATGCGTCGTTTTTTGATCGATACCACGCTGGACTACGAATCAGCTTCATTCTCCTCTGTTATTTTATTTTTATTTTTCAAATTTTTATTTTATTTATCTATTTTCGAACATAATGCTTTTATGTATCGGAGCGGATGATGGAAGGGCGCTTGCACAATTCATTAACTCACAGCAGAGGATGGAGGATGCAGACCTGATTCTCAGCTCGCCTCAAACTGT